GTTCAAACTTTTGGTTTCTTTTCCGAACAAACTTTTATTTTCATAGAAGATTTAAAATTCAGAGATAGAGTAAGTATTTTTTATCTTAAGTAAAACAACTGATAATATCTTATCTCTCATGTTGTAGTATATATTATACATGTACAATATATCAAAATGACAAGATATTCTACATGTGATATGTGTCTATATAATATTCATAATAGCATCCTTTATCAAATATTCATCCAGCGTAATATCAAACACTCCTTTTCAGAAAACAGAAGTGATAACATAATTATATAGGTTTAACAACAGAATACAATCTCTTTTATGAATAACGAATAGAATGTTAACTTTCGTCTGTTTATTTTTTTTAGTGTACACAAGGTTTAAGGGATAGGTGTCAGTGTTATAAATACTAATCATGATCTAAATTTTGTGAGAAGTGGTAAAAAACTCAACTCTAAGGGTGAGGTACAATAACCCTTTATCAATTTTTCGGCAACTGGCTCAAATTATGAAAAATAAATTTTAGTGAATATAAAAGGAAAAATGTGAAAATTATTATATGCCGCAAAAGGAAGTGCCCGAAATCTTGGACTTTTACTGACCATGGTGATGCAATTCCCACCCGGAATCCAGAGTTTCAGAAAATCACACAATTCTGATTTTTATTCAGGGTGTCTAGTTCTCAAACTATAGTTCCAGAAAACTCGCCCCGATAGGCGCTGTGGTAAAGTCGTGTAGCCATTGTATTTTTCGAGCAAAAATGATACCCCCACCACTTCCCCAGGAAAATCGGCCCGTACGCCTAAGTGTACGGCTATATTAGCATGGGGTCGAAAAGAAATCGTTCTAAACTATTATAAAAAAAATATTAAATTCATCCATGTAAAGGTGCCAATCAAGACAGGAGGTCAAGTTGACCTTATTACCGATGGGTAAGGTTGAATAATTTATATCGGAGAATGTCTACATTTACTCGTTGTGAACAAACAAAATTGCCCACGCATATAGTAGGAATTTATAACCCTTATGCAACTAAATAACTATAAAAATAATCAACACCCAAAATAAAAAAAATATCAAGTAATGCCCAGAATAATATATAGAGCGGTTTCGGAGAAAAGCTTATAAAACTTCTAAATTTGCAATTTCGTGGCGCCAATGCCCCTACCGCGTCGCTATAACTATGGGAACATTCTAAACGTCGAAATATCTGAAAATGTTTTAATTTTCCCACACCCCACAACTTATGGGTTCTAGTGGGCAACTTCATTTTAACACATCTAAACAAGTGACACCCAATTTGTTTTAAATCTACCAAGCAGTTCAGGATGAATTTTCCCCATTAACGTGCAACCACCCAGTTCCTATATATGGAGTCAAGTAAATTATAGTGTCAATGTCACAAAAGTATTAATATGAGACGCAAAGAAAATGCAGCTCTTTTGTAAAGCCTGGCGCACACTATGCGACAACTTTAGCGACGAGTCTGGCGACAAATATCGCCGGAATATAAGTGGAGTGAGCACACTACACGACGACTTTGACGATAACGAAAGAAACACCCTGTCACGTGCTTCATCATACGTGACACCTCTAAATTCATTTTAGTCGTCATCGCGTTGAATGCTTCAATTAATATTGTTTTGTACATAATGAACAACGCCCGTCGAGTGCAGTATTCTAAGTAACTAGCTCAAATTGGACGACTCTTGAATGTCTAAATATTCCAGAGAATTCTAAATATAATCAATCCTCTCATTACCAAACAACCAACCAACCAAGATGAGACGATCAATAAGCCCAGAAAAGCGATTGACGGGGTCACTCTCCGTTTTCTCGCTACAGGTACAAGAAAAAAAAAACACGCCCATTCTGATTACCATCTATGAATCCTAGGACTATATTATTATTGAGTATATTGCCTACCATATGTATTTGACAGCTTTGCCGGAATTGCAAACTTAATTTCAATTAGTTAGTTAGGGCTAAATTAGAAAAACCGAGCCACATATTATATACTGTACATGCAACAGAAAAAAATTCCGAGAAATCTCGTGTGTGGTTGTCACATGAGAAGAATAACCAAAAATGATTGGTTTAATAGGATGAATTTATTTTCTTCGTTGTCGCATAATTATTTGTTGCCGAGGTGAGCACATTACACGATTTGTTGCCGATGAACCAACGACTTGGGTGATCATATCAAACAAGTCTGATATCGGCGACCATCGCCGCGATGGTTGCTGGCGACGAAATATCGCTTGCGATCGAGTGCGCACTCTAGGCGAGTTTTTAAATTTTCATAGTCGGCGACCAAAATCACCTATGTCGTCGCGTTGTGTGCGCCCGGATTAAATGAATGATTGTAAATCTTATTATTAAGATACACTTTAAAGGAGCTAAATCCCTAACATTTGGGACCTAGAAATTGACAAAAGTGGGTCGCAACGCATATAATACTGTAATATGAATGTATATAAACTGATTTACATTCAATGGTTTCCATTTTTACTCCAATTTCAAATCAGTTATGTTCGGCGAAATACGCCAGCAGTCTCAATCGAGTACAAATTTCTAGCGTCTGGTTATTCCAGTCTACACACGCCGTTCGATTTGGTGCAATGTGTCTAGCCTCGTCCCTCGAGTCTCTTTTTACAACTGGGTCTGGAGCGCATTATGGTACACCATTCGTGTACCAATGGTAAAATGTTTATTTTGTCTTAAATATTGGATATCAAAAGCCTATCTTATTCTGGTAAGATCACAACATCAATGTTGATTTAATTTGACAAATAAATCGTGTTTTCAATGTTGAAGATTTTGGATGATATTGAGTTAGAGACTTAGCTACTTTAATCTTGCAATTCTGAATGTGAAAACATCAGATCAGACAACACTCGAGAATGTTTTCACGATCGCGTAGCCGTAAACACACCACAGATAAAAGTTTTAATACAAGACATGGGTATAAAATGTGGCTTTTGCTATGGTCAGTACAACTCCTTCAGTTCTTCGCAAGAAGCAAGGATATGCCAATACACCTTATTCAAAGATACATTATGGAAGATTAGATAAAGAGCTGGCAGTTCTCACTATAATAGTTAAAAACTAGATAACGTAAAGGCAATTTGCTGAAAATTTCAGTCAGATTTATCGTCTATGAACCGAAAATTAAGTGATTGAAGTTTCGGCCTAGCCTCGATCATCGTTACTAAAGTCGGTACGATAAAATTTACTAAAGTCGGTACGATAAAAAAAAACATAGTCTCGATTATCCATTTCGTGATTAAATCATTAATGAAAGTTGAGCAGTAAATCGGAACATAATCCAATAAATATCGCGGACTTGCGTTGACATCGGGAGTTGATTATGGTTTGGATAAGTTAATTAATGTCTAATTAATAATTTAAATAACATTTCAGGCCTAAAGAAAGACCTGCAATATGCAGATTTAGCTCTTGCATAATGCATGTTTAATCTCATTATTCAAATATATATTCAATCAAATAATGTCTGAAGGATAAAATATGGCCTGTTTTAACAGTTATTGTCATGTTAAGACTAAGTTAAAAATGGGAGTCCGTCAAAAATTATTAGCCGGTCACGCCAAATAACTGACATAATTATTTCATCAATCAAAGTAACATTGCTTAGGGTATATTTAACACAAATTAATCTATCATCTTTTTTATTGAATTACTTTCAGTCGACATCCCTGCCTTCAATAATACACTATTTTTTGCACTATTTTATGCAAGTTTTTCTTTATTTAAACATTGAATTAGTATTCTAATTCTGTGGTTTAAATTGAGAGCTCACTGACTTTACAGAGGGCTGACAAATATCTCCTGAATACACGCTGATATTTAACTTTTCAAGTTTAATGGTGTTGACTAAAATTTACTGATATGTTTGTAACGATCACAAACCGTTAAGACCCCATGTTAGTATTTCCATATTCCAGTAAAACATACCGTATATAAATTATGTATTAGCTTCATGGCTGGGTTGGTTTTAGATAAATTAACAATATAAGTATTTATGGTAAGCTTTATTATACTGCCTGTGGTGTATGTAAAATGATTACCTACTGTAAGTAAATAAGAACCACGCCTGTTTTTAACGCCCCCAGAATTCCTTCACACACATTTTATGACTAGCCTACGCATGTAGCCTTGACTAACCCCTGGAACTTTAAAAGTGCATTCAATTATTATATTATCTTATCAATGGAAAAGTACCTGCGCTTTTTCTTTAGTCATATGCAATGTGTACATAAATATAAGTATATCAGCTTTCTTATGGTTTTGTACAGCTTGCTACCTGTGATGTATGCAAGATTTTCGAGATCAAAAAAGGAGGGGGGGGGTACTTAACTAATCTTTCATAATTCTAAAGCCAATTAAAATGAGTCATTAATTGGGCATGTTTGATTAAATAACATGTCACTCACCTACCAAATATTTTAGTTGGCTAATGAATTCCAGCTAGCAGATATGTATTGTAATGGTTAAGCACAGCAAAGTAGGGGGCGGAGAATTTTAATAATTAGCAGCATATTCCTGTAGTCTTCATCGAATTCCAACTTTTACATGCACGACAATGCTAATGTATATTCAAAGGTTCCTTACGGCTCACGAGATCTGTGCCCCTTGTACATTAAGAACCTTATTGATTGGACAGTATTTGTGTTTAAACAAATTTGACTTTTTCTTCAACAATAAAGGGAGATAACTTCATTTTATCTCCCGACAAGTCAAGTTTCAAAGTTGCTTGCCCAGTTCCCACTTTAAAGGATTAAAAAGTTCTCTTTAGTCTTAAATATCAAGACACTTATTAATTATCTAATAAGATAAAAAAATTATATTTGGCACTACCACTACCAGAGACAATAAAACTGTTCTATTTGACGTTACCAGAGATGATGAACGTATTTGTCTATTTAACATTCCCAGAGACAATAAAACATATTCAATTTCTTGTTACCAAATGGTATTAACAAAACTAATTTAAAATAAGCTACATGGAGGTTAAGAATTAACATCCGTCTCTTTTTATTTTTTAAAATACATCTGTTTCTTTTTATTTTTTAAAATACATACTTTCAAAAGGGCACAACTTAAAGTCTTTTTTTCTTCCAAACAGAATACTTTCAAAACTAGTCAACATAACTTCTAGATCATCAATACGACATCGCACCATTTTACAAAACATACTGAGTAACCATTCATACGATATATGTCGTTGGAATTCATAACTAGCTTGAACAGAGAGATCTCTGAACACCTTTTTGGGGCGTTCATAGATTATGTATTGTCCGCTATGAGGTTGAATTGTTTCTATAATGCTTTCCACCTCCTCACGTTCTGCATCTGTAATTGATGTAACACCAGGGGGCACTTGGGATAAGATATTTTCCACAGCTTGTTGTGTTTTGCTCTTCTTCCGTTTCTTCCTTACCTGCTGTGGAGGGAATTCATTACCAGATTCTAAATCAGAGAAATCATTCTCCCGCTCAGGACTTCCACAGTAAGAACTTTCTACTGTAAAACTTGTCAAACCTGCAAAATGGTGAACAAGTAAAAAATTTATGGAATGTGCACAATGACACAAACTTATGACCTCCAGGTAAATGGTCGGGGAGGTTTTCACAATTAAAGGAAAAATAATTTTATTTCATTCCAAGAACATTGAATGTGTAGATAAAATAATTTTTTTAGCTTTTCAAAAAATATTTTTATTTAACAAATATTCACCTATACCAATTTGATTTTTGATAATTATCATTTATCGGGCCAAACACAACCAAACCAACTGGATTTTTGGTTTTGGGGGAAATGAAAGTTAAAATTTTTGGAGATTACAGTTATTGCAAAGAACAACCCTGTAGTTTTGCTCCAACCTTCCCCCCCCCCCATCCCCCAGAAAGCATAATTGTAATAGATTATATCGAAGAAATAAGATCCAAATTGTTTTGGCCTCACTTTCTAAATTAATTTGTGATTTCTTTAATAAATACTTCCACTTATGTAATATAGTTGTAAGGAATATATAAATTTGAATGTAAAAATTATTAAAGTGTACCTCTTCTTTGATTCTGTTTTATTAAGTCCTCCGCTGACATGAGATATTTTATACTGCTTCTTCTAAATCTTTCACCATCTATTCTTTCCTCTGTATCTGGTTTAAAATCACCATCTATTGAACCATTTAACAAATCTAATGGATTCTGCGTCTCCAATAAAATGTTGTTCACTGGTCGTGGCTTCCTTATTCGATTAGCAAATTCAGTAATATTATCAACTACAGCTTCAAACTGTTTATTTTTTGCTTCTGTTAAAATAAATGTTAAAAAAGAAGTCTGTAACTGTTCCTTTAATTAGTTGGCACCTATCTTATTAAAATGTACACTATAGAGAAGAAATACAAACTTTATGTTTCAATGCTGAATTGGTCATCAGTCTCCAAATTCAACACTGGTATAAACATGTCTTTGGTAGTGATTGTTCTGATTATCAAGTCACTCATAAAACTGAAGAATGAAACCCTTAAAGACTTAGAAGGATTCTATTTTTATTGACAATTTTCCCAGGAAAAATAACAATGAATGAACTAACCTACATCTATACAGTTTAATAGGTAATTCCCAGAGAATCTATTTTTAGTAACACATCATTCATGTCTTTATATAAATTCTACCACCTTATGTGTGGCTCTGTGGCGTAATGGTAGCGCGTCCGACTCCAGATCGGAAGGTTACGTGTTCAAATCACGTCAGGGTCAAGAATATTTTATGCTAGAAAGATTGGAAATGATCTTTTCTATAGGTAGGCCCAAACCTAGAGATCTACTCAAATTATTACTTACAATAAATGTGTTCTACAGAATGTCACATTGACCTATACTTATTATCAAAATATCTATGGGCTCCATAATCAACAAATGACTATTGATCTAGAAATTTATCAAGGTACATGATTGGGTTTGTCATTAGACCTTGTTTATATGGAATAAGGTATATCGATATACAATAGGAGAGAGAGAGAGAAATGGGGTTTAACGTCCACTTGACACAAACTAGGTCATTTCGGGACTAACATGTTTTTTTAAAAATTTTATTTCAATAATTCGCTGGCGCGTAGGGGTCTTTAGCAGTGGGAGGAAACTGGACGACCCAGAGAAAACCCACGAGGTTGGACAGGCGACCCTACTCCTTGTCACGTACAACTGGGGATTCGAAACCACGCCAGTTGACTCAATGACAGGCTTTATGATACAGCGCGCACGTGCTACTATACAAAAGGAATTTTTGATGAATGAAATATCTTCACTTAGAAATTTAGCAACTAACAACATCTGATGACATAAAGTATAAAATGTAGGTGATTTTTGGTTTTCCTGTACTTTAACATGACTTACTTTTCTTTAGACTTTTTTCATTTTGATTTTTAGTTGTAGCATTATATAATTTGACAAATTCTTCCACATCTGTCATCTTGTCTGTACCACTAGAAAAATATGAACATCAAAATATTGTCCCGAATTGTATCATGTTCACAAGCTTTAACAGTCAAAAAATATGAACTGAAAGATTACTTAGTAAAATGCATTCAAACATTCAATAGGGTTCTTTCATATGCAATAATGGGTTTGAAAAAATTGGGTGTTGGTGAGGGGTGGGGTGGGGATTAAGGATGACTGGCCAAGGACAAAACTCACCACATGGCGTTCTGTATCAATTCAAAAGATCTTTCTCTTTCCCTGGCTTTTTCATTTTCACCCTGTTTTATCATATTTTCTGATAGCTGATAGATGTACGTGTTGTTCCAGGAGCCAGACTTATGATAATATTTTTAATATTTGACACATGTGGGTGGGTTTTTAAAAAATAGTTGCCGGGCAGCTAAGTCATCCGAGCTGTCCATAAAGACTGTCACATTTCTATCAGGGGTGGATCCAGAGGGGGGGTTTGGGGGGGTCGACTCAGCTACATAAATTTTTTTGTAAATGAACACTTTTTATGAGAAAAGTTTCTCGGCCGTGTGCTTTATCTTTTATCGTCAGATGTGGCACAGGATGGGCACTCAAAGCATGAGATAATGATATAGACATTATGTGATATCACAGTTAATGCTTTGCATCCATGAAATTGAATCACAATGTCATTGTATTAATTCATAATAAAAATTGACGTCAAACAAGGTGTTGAATTTCTCTGTTTAAAAAGCTCAATGTGTATGTATATACACCAAAATGACCATAGAGACCATGTGGAAGGCGAGGGCGGGGGGAGATATACATTGTCTTAGGAACCTGGCAAGCCCCCTCCTGCAAAAATTCCTGGATCCGGCCCTGTCTATGTTTTTGTTATTAATGTGAACGGAAATGTTTAAAAATTGATAGGCTTCTGGTTCTTCCTGGCACTAACAAAATAAGTACCAGTAATTAGGTAATTACTGAAGCTGTTTAAATTATTGGAAATTGTTTCTTCATTGCATGAACATAAACGCTTTTTATAAATCGTTGAAATTATCTCATCAGTATGAAAACTGTGTATAAATTACAAGTCAATCAGGTGATAACAGAAATTCCTAGAGCGTCCAAAAGATTTTAATAACCAACATGATCAATGACCACTAGTAATTATCAGAAATCAATAGGAGTCTTCATCTAATGAAAATAAACAATGTGTATAAATCTCAAGTGAATTGGATGATAACTTCAGCCTCTGTGGACAACAGATGGATGGACATGCAAGGGTTGTTGACAATACTGGACCGTGTATAAAAACTAAAAACAAAAATCAACAAAACTTTCAAGCTTTCTTACCGTGTATTATGATTACGTATTTGTTGTTTGATTTTAAATTTACTAGATATGTGTGACTGCCAATCTTCCCATATAAATAAATTATGATCTGAAAAAGATTTCAGTTAAAGATTAATTACACTGAGACTATAACAATATTATAATGATATTTTTTGGAAAATCATTTCTGATTTCAACGATAACTAGGTCATAAATGAAGAACAGCAACCACTGCTATTTGAAACAATTTTATTTAAATCCAAATCAACAAAATTATTCAAGATCTATTAAATTCTTCAAAGTTTTGATATATTCATAATTAGTGGTTTATAAAGTTAATACAGTCCTGAAAGGGGAAAGAGATATATTTAGAAACATACTTAGAAATATTCTAGATAGTTTTCTGCCACAATCTGTTAAAACACTGAAATGAAAATAAATGTATATGCAGGTAACATTCACGGTTATCAGTATTTTCAGTTTGGTTGATAAAGTGCAGAAGTTTTCGTGTTGTTTGCCAGTTATTGTTGGTGTAACAATCAAGTTTGTTATTTCTAGTAACAACCTGTATGATGTAACATTATTTACAAGTAGTGATTATAACCATTAAGCAACGCATCATTAGTTATTTCAAAAATAAAATGGGGTTTAATGTCCTACAGTTCTGCACCAACTGGGCTAATGAAGACATGCTATGAACTTTTATATTAAATTTCAACAGCCAAGGGATTTTGTATGTGCACACTAATGTGCGTATAAGACCTTGTTTTTTGTTCAATCCAAACGACTATACATTGTCCATTGCCAGGCCCTCTGTCCTGCACTACTGACAAGGGGGAGGGGGACCACGCTGGAAAATCACTATGAACTTTCTCGATAAAACACCGCGATTGAACACGGGACATCTCAGTTTGCGAGTCAACATTTTCCTCACTGAGTCACTGTGACCCCCACTTTTTTGAGAAAAAGAACTACATTACTTACTGTTCTGTGGAATCATTAACACCAAAATATAATTTTAATGTCATAATAATATAACATACAGATACAAGTTCTACATTCTTTATAGAATGATTGACATCTATCTCCATATTTAAATCACGAAGTTTCAACACATTCCTTACCAAACAACCAAACTCAGCTGAAATATATAGATAGAATATTTTCTAATTGGATACAGTCTACATTCTGAGAAACTTATCTTTAACTGATCACACATATAAAGATTGGCTCTTTTCATTAAATATGCATTATGCAAGAGCAAAATCTGCTTATTACAAGTCTTTCTTTAGGCCTGAAATGTTATCTAAATTATCAATTAGACATTAATTAACTTATCCAGACCATAATAAACTCTCGATGTCAAGGCTAGCCTTCGATGTTGGCTGGATTAGATTCCTATATGCCGCTAACGGCCGTTGACAATTAAATCAATAAAAGTGGATAATCGAGACTAAGCTGTTTATAATAATGATTTTAGTAATGATGACCGAGACTATGCCAAAATTTCACCCGCTTCTTTCTCGGCTCATAGTGGATCAATTTGACTGAAATTTTCAGCAAATTACCTTTACACTATCTAGTTTTTAACTATAGCGAGAACTGCCATCTCGTTATCTTATCTCCCATAATGTATCTTTAAGTAACCTGTTGTTCTTGAACAAAAAACAAGCAAATGCAAGAGATGGACAGAGAATAACCCAAAAAAGTGATTTTTCGAACAATCGGGAGCTTATAGTCCAGGATATTACAGTCCGATATGGGTGAATATCGACAGGAACCGAAATCTTGGGACTGTTAAACATATATTTTAAGCTTCAGCAAAATCAGATAACCAGCGGCTGCCAGGCAGGATACGCCCACATTTTGCAAGAGATGGATAGAGAACTAAAAACAAACAGGATTTTTTGTACAATCAGGGGCAAAAATCCAGAAAGTTATGGTCTGAAATGTGCAAATATCAAAAGGGACTGAGATCTTTGGGATATAAAGATATGTTTTAAGTTTCATCAAAATCTTATACAAATTGTGACCTGTAGAGGGTCCACAACCTTCATATTGCATACTTTTACACAATTTGTGTACAAAGAGCGGCCATTTTGTCTGGCAGTTTCATTTCAATTTTCCCGAAATTTGAATTCAAATTTCATAATGATGGAATGGTGATATATTTAAACGTTTTTTAAAATCGGTAAAAAAAATTGTGCAAGCCAAAAATGCGATTTTTCGAACAATCCGGAGTCATAATCCAGGAAGTTACGTTCGGATATGCGCGATTATCAAAAGGAACCAAGATCTTAGTGTGTAATGGTGATATATTCACATGTTTTTTTTTTAAATCGGATAAAATTTGTGACCTCTACAAGGACCACTGGGTTATAAACTTACATTTCAAGTTTCATCAAAATCAGAAGAAAATTGTGACCTCTAGAGGATCTACAACCTTCATATTCCATATTTTTACACTATTTGAGTATGAGGGGCAGCCATTTTGTCTGTCAGCTTTGGTCCGATTTTTACGAAATTCGAACTCAACCATTTTTAGGATGTAACAGTGATATATTTTTTTAAATCGGATAAAAATTATGAACTCTATTGGGTCCACAAGCTAAAAATGTGATTTTTCGTACAATCAGGGGCCATTATTCAGGAAGTTACGGTCCAATATGTGCGAATATCGAAAGGATCCGAGATCTTTGGGTTATAAACTTACATTTCAAGTTTCAACAAAATCAGATGAAGATTGTTACCTCTATAGGGTCCACAAGCTAAAAACGCGATACATGAAGTTACGGTCCGATACATGCCAACATCGAAAGGAACCGAGATCTTGGGGAGATAAACCTATATTTTAGGTTTTGTTTAAATCGGATAAAAATTTTGACCTGTAGAGTGTCCACAAATAAATTGTTGATGGACGGACAGACAGGGGCGACGGCATAATACTTCCACATGAAAATGTGGACGTATAAAAATTGTGACCTCTAGATTGTTCACAAGCTAAAAACACAATTATGCGTACAATCAGTGGCCATAAGCCATGAAGTTACGGTCCGATAAATGCCAATATTGACAGGAACCAAGATCTTTGGGGGATAAACCTATTTTTCACGTGTACTCAAAATCGGATTGCTATCTTGACCCGTAGAGGGTCCACAAACAAAATGTGAACGAACACATGGATAGACAGGCACACAGGCTTAAAGAAGCGACTGCATTATACGTCCACATGAAAATATGAGTATAAAATCACTATCAAATTTAGGAATTGCCTTGTAAACAATTTATAGTTCAGTATTTGTAATTGTTTGATTTGCTTCAATTGTTCAGCTAGTCACAAAGGAGGGACCCCAATTGAAATTGACAGCTACACATTGATGCTTTCTTTATTTATTGCTCTTTTAACTCTTTGAATTGGGAATTGAAATATCTGACCTCCTATCACAAACTGACTGCAGCGTTCTTAGCTGTATAGATTGCTTTCTAAATCTTGATATCTACTGCTCTGAAGAGAGTGACAACTCTTGGCAAGGGTATTATATCTCTTTAAAACCTTTTTCAGGATTTTTTTTAAATTGCAAAATATCCATATCAGGATATTATTTGAATTAATAAAATAATTACTATTATTGACAGACCTGTTTAATGTTGGTTGATGAATCCTATCATGTGCCATGTGAATTTCTTTGAAAAATAACTTGGTCCCTGGCCCTTTTGAATTTTATTGATCACCCACAGCCAAAACTCTGATATTTATAATCATTCTTATTGTATTACATTACCAGCAGATCATTAAAATTATATTTATGTCACCTTATTCTGGAAACAGTTTTACATAAGCATTAAGTTGCCTGTTACTGTATCCAATCTATTCATATTTTTCCCTCTATGACTGTATATAAGAATTCTGAATAAATACATTTTTAAATCAAAAGTCCTTTTAAAAATATTAACTTAGGTTAATGTGACATTCAGTAAAACATACTTATTGTAAGTAATAGTTTGAGAAGATATCTAGGTTTTGCTCTACCAATTAACAAAAAAAATTTCTATCTCCCTAGAAAAAATTGTCTTGACCCTAATGTGACTTGAACACATAACCTTCTGATCTGGAGTCAGACGCCCTACCATTACACCATAGGGCCTCCTATATAGTAGTAGAATTTAATTGGAGCCATGAATAAGCTGTTACTAAAAATATATTTTCTGGGAATTACCAACTAAAATATAAGGTGTAGGTTAGTTTATTCATTGTAATTTTCCCAGAGAAAGACAGATATTAAGAATTCATTTCCGGAGAAATATATACTATAATAATAATAGTAGCCCAAAAGATTATGACCTGCTCTGGTACTGAAAAACATAACACTGTGTGATATTATCCCATAAATAAATTGGTCTATTCATTGAGAAAATCATTTTTAATCTTTCCAGAAAAAAAAACATCCAGGATCCTGACGTGATTTGAACACATAACCTTCTGATCTGGAGTCAGATGTGCTAGCCTACCATTGTGCCACAGGGCCACCTATAAAATTGAAGGATTTATTTGGGGACATACATGATTTGCTGGGACTGTTCAGCTGGCCATACTGAAAACTTAGAAGTTTTGAAAATCTCAGAGTTTTAAGTTAAAACTTTCAACAGTTCTGATTTTTAGGTTCTGACTCAACGTTTTACCAAAATCTCTGAAAAGTTGGGAGAAAAAAATCTGAGTTTTCATCCTGTGCCGAAAGCTCAGAACAAATAATTATGAGAAATCCAACTCAGAATTCAAAACCTCTGAATTTTTTTTGTTATTGTTTTCTTTTCTTTTTCTTTCTGGATATGTACTGTCGTCGCACCTGTCCGTCCACAATTTGTTCGTGGACAGTCTAGAGGTCACAATTTTTATCCAATTTTGAGGAAACTTGAAATGTAGGTTTATCTCCCACAAATCTTGGTTCCTTTTGATATTGGCATGTATCGGACTATAACTTTATGGCTTATGGCCCCTGATTGTACGTAAAATCATGTTTTTAACTTGTGGACACTCTAGAGGTCACAATTTTTATCCGATTTTTATGAAACTTGCAATGTATGTTTATAACCAAACGATCTCGGTTCCTTTTGATATTCGCACATATCGGACCATAACTTCATGGATTATGGCCCCTGATTGTACGAAAAATCATGTTTTTAGCTTGTGATCCCTCTAGAGGTCACATTTTTTATCTGATTTTTTAAAATTTCTTATAGATGTGAGCTTTTGAAATGGGAATGGAAATGCCCAACCCCCCTTCACAATGTGACTGCAGTTTCTTAGCTGTATAGTTTGCCTAGATCGATTGCTTACTAAATTTTGCCTAGATCAATTGCTTACTAAATTTTGACATGTTCTGCTCTGAAGATAAGAGATAACCCTTGACAGGGGTAAACGTCTTGAAACATTCTTCAGTTGTTTTTTTTTTTAGTTGCAAAATATGGATCTTTTGAATTTTGTTGATCACCCAGCACCAGCCCACTGTCCTTTTGAAAATATTGACTGAGGTTAATTTGACATTCAGTAAAACATACTTATTGTAAGTAATAATTTGAGTAGATATCTAAGTTTTGCTCTACCAATTGACAAAACCATTTTTAATCTCTCTAAAAAAATAAAAAATTCTGGACCCTAATGTGACTTGAACACATAACCTTCCAATCTGGGGTCGGATGTGCTACCATTACACAATAGAACCTCCTATATATTAGTAGAATTTATATAAAGACATGAATAAGATGTCACTAAAAATAGATTCCTTGGGAATTACCTACTAAAACGTATATAGCTGTAGTTAATCTATTGATTGTAATTTTCCTAGAGAAAAACAGACATTGAAAATAGAATTTATTCCCGGAGAAATATATACTGTAATAATAATAGTAGCCCAAAAGATTTCTGGTACATGAAAACTTGACACCGTGTGATATTACCCAGAAAAAAAATGATCTATTTATTGAGAAAATCATTGTTAATCTTTCCAGAAAAATAATGTCCATGACCCTGGCGTGATTTGAACACGCAACCTTCTGATCTGGAGTCAGATGCGCTACCATTGTGCCACAGGGCCACCTATAAAGTTAGGGATTTATGTGAGGACATGCCTGGGATTTATTTGGAGTTATTAATAAGGTGTTACTAACATAGATTTTATTGAGGAGGAGGGGCTTCACCTGTGAAAAGACATTTATGTTATATAATGTTATAGAAAATAAGAGCTTACCTGGTAGATCAAGTTTCAGCAACAATTTACTTACAATAATATCTATTGGTAAGGGAGGTAACTCATAGATACTGAGAAATCTGATTAATTTACTTGTAGTATTTCTTACATCATAAGTGGTCGGAAGAATCTGTAAGACATCAACAACAAAAATTTAAACAAGGGGACCAAAGGTCTAATCACCCATTAAACTAGGTATATAAGAATACAGATGCTCTTAAGAAAACATTACAAAATATTGTATGGATGTATAATGAGAAATGAGAACATGAGTCTTTTGAGCTGTCGGGAAAAAATTGTTATATGAAATGCTAACCAGCGGCTGCCAGGCAGGATACACCCACATTTTCGAGAGATGGATAGAGAACAAGCTAAAAAGAAAGTGATTTTTCATGCAATCAAGGGCCATAATTTAGGAAATTACAATTCGATATGCGCGAATATGGAAAGGAACCGAGATCTTTGGGTTATAAACTTACATTTCAAGTTTCATCAAAATCGGATAAAAATTGTGACCTCTCTAGGGTCCACAACTTTGATATACCATATTTTTACGCTATTTGAGAAAGAAGGGTAGCCGATTTTCACGAAATTCGAACTCAGTCGTCCTTAGGGTGTAACAGTGATATAATAATACGTTTTTTTAAATCAGATGAAAATGATGACCTCTATAGGGCCCACAAGCTAAAAACGTGATTTTCCGTACAATCAGGGGCCATAATTCATGAAGTTACGGTCCAATATGCGCGAATATCGAAAGGATTTGAGATCTGTGGGTTATACACTTACATTTCAAGTTTCAACTAAATCGGATAAAAATTGTGACCTCTACAGGGTCCACAACCTTGATATACCATATTTTTATGCTATTTGAGAACGAACGGCGGCCATTTTGTCTGTCAGTTTTGGGTCGATTTTCACACAATTCGAACTCAGTCGTCCTTAGGGTGTAACGCTGATATAATAATACGTTTTTTTAAATCGGATAAAAATTATGACCTCTATAGCGTCCACAAGCTTAAAACACGATTTTCTGTACAATCAGGGGCCATAATTCAGGAAGTTACGTTCCGGTATGTGCTAATATCGAAAGGAACCAAGATCATTGAGTTATAAGCATACATTTTAAGTTTAAACCAAATCGGATAAAAATTTGACCTCTACAGTGTTCACAAGCTAAAAACGTAATTTTTCGTACAATCAGGGGCCATAATCCATAAAGTTACAGTCCGATACATGCCAATATCGAAAGGAACCGAGATCTTAGGGTGATAAACCTATATTTCAAGTTTCATTGAAATCGGATAAAAATTGTGACCTGTAGACTGTTCACAAAAAATTGAGGACGGACGGACAGGGGCGACGACAATATACGTCCACATGAAAATATGGGCGTATAAAAATATGAAATGAAACATAGGCCCACAATCAAGTTTAATATCCAAGGTGTTTAAAAAAGTTGTCACTATTTCAATGTTTCAATGGTTTGAAAAGCATCTTTGAAAATATGAATTTGACTTCATGAAGTTTTCATGACAAAGGCAATACCTTAAAAAAATAACTAAATTGTGACTAAATTTCGATGGTTTGGTCACTATGACTAGACAATCAATTCCAAGGAATTTCAGGGTTTTAATGACAAGGGTTTTGGTGACTTGAATTTTGATAAGGTTTATCATTACTATTGTTAAGTCAAAAATATCAGTAACTCTACTGATCTGATCCATAAAGATATACTGCAGGACGGATTGGGATGACTAAATTAACAAGAGGGCATAATAAATAACTTACTGCTGAATAGAATAATTTGGAATCATATGGGGATATCTTCATATCAGATTTTAAACAACTTGTTGCTGATGAATAGGGTATCTGATCTTTCTCAGCTAAACTGTAAAGAAATATTTACATAAGACGGACTATTTACATATTGGAATCATCACTGACTCTATCCATAAAATTAATTTAAACAACCACTTATAGTTTGTTTATCTCAACTTACATATTTCACTTTATAATGTGTATTGTATGTCATAAATTATTTGAATTTATAATAAAATTATGAACTTAATTTGGTACTCCAAGACAATAATCTAAAAGAAAGTACTATCTTAGAAAGGAAAAGTGTTTCAAATGTCCCAATACAAGGTGGTGAAACCATGATTTGGGAATCAAGAGGTTTCAGTCCACAATTGTGATCAGTGGTCAATAAACCATGGAAGATGAGTAATAATACCCTCTACTTTATTGAAGATTTTATATATTAACACTGTAACTAGTCTGTCTAAACTATAATGGGTTTCCAAGATTTTAAGTATTAAAAAACCTGTTATTATCCAATAAGTGTCATTATTTTTCACATTTGATCTATGATTGTTCATAAATCTTAACTATATCAACATGTTTCTAGACTGGGAGTACGATCGTATCGATACGACTATTGTGGAGAGTGGCCGATAGGTTATCTATCGGTAGTCAATAATGAGGTCGAGGGTTCGAGTCCTGTTCTCTGCTATGTCCGTGACAAGTTTTTTGTAGTAGCCTATCCGATCACGCAGGGGTACGTACCCACTACCCCTGCAGCGCAAGTACTCCCAGTGCATAAGCAGATCATCTGCGTCTTTCTGCGATAACATGTGAATTTATTAGTCGAAATTGACTTGACTTACGGTGTCGACTTGTCATAAAACAACATGCATTCATTAATTCATTTTTTCCTGCCCCTTAGAGGCGCATTAAACAATTTTTCCATACATATATTATATCCCTAACCCGAACCCTAACCCTAAAAATATTTCGATCGTGTCGTGTCGATCGTATCGATCGTGCGTTTTAATTGAAAATCCACTGAGTTGATTGTTTCGACAGATGACGTTCGATCGTTGTCGATCGTATCGATCGTGCGTTTCAATTGAGAATCCACTGAGTTGATTGATTCGACAGATGACGTTCGATCATTGTCGATTGTATCGATCATGCGTTTCAATTGAAAATCCACTGAGTTGATTGATTCGACAGATGACGTTCGATCGTTGTCGATCGTATTGATCGTGCGTTTCAATTGAAAATCCACTGAGTTGATTGATTCGACAGATGACGTTCGATCGTTGTCGATCGTATCGATCGTGCGTTTCAATTGAAAATGCACTGAGTTGGTTGATTCGACAGATGACATTCGATCGTTGTCGATCGTATCGATCGTGCGTTTCAATTGAGAATCCACTGAGTTGATTGATTCGACAGATGACGTTACTATCAAGTCGTCCGTTTTTAAAATCTATTGAGTTGATTGAATCGTCATGTGTTGTTGAATCAATCGATTGTCGGATCCTGTACCTTAATGGATTACTTCACACTTTTCAAGTCTGTTGCTAATCTTTTACAATGAATACTCACCTTATAAGTTCTGATGGTGTCACATGATTATTTGTAAACAAAAGACCTAGATACAAAAAACTTAATGTTTCTTCCATATTGATCCAATCTACATCATACTTTAATCGGGAGTTAATGGGACGGAGTATTGTTGGGTCTGCCTGTGATTAACAAAATGAACAGAAAGAGCATTATTAGTCAACTGCTTTCATCAACAAGCTCCTTTCTTTCAAGTTGGACTATCATTAAAAAGCCATTCCAGATATTTTAGTGAATTAATAAACAGCTTTGTTTAAACCGTTATCCCTCTTCTAACAACCATATGAATCTTTGGAGTACATGTTTGAATGCCCAATGTTATGCTGAGACAACAATATTTAGTAAGCATGCTAAGCCGAACTGTTTTTAGTATAGAGTGTTTTGCTCAAAGTCTCTCAAGTTTTGCAGACTGAACAATTTTCTGTGTTACAGTTTCCACATTCAGATCTGTAAAGTTCTTCTAAAAATAGGTTGCTCGGCAACAAAACATACGCCCACAGCAGCTAAATCGTCCGAGCAGTCGACAAGGGTTGTCACATATATATTCTTTTGTAGGTAATTAGGGGAATTTAATAGACAATTTCATGCAGATGACATTATAATTTTCGTCGCTTGAGGGTTCACAAGGTTCTAAAAACTAAAACAAGGGCCGTAATTCTGGAATAATCTACGGAAATTGTTGAAATTCGACAGGCTTTTTCGTTTTACTAATTCAAATAATGCATATAAATTTCATACATATTGGATGATAACTTTTGTCGTTCAAACGCTCTCAAAGTTCAACAAAGTAAATCAAGGGCATAACTCTAGACGTAATTGCTGACATTCAATAGGCTTTTTCATTTCACTAATTTAAATGATGCATATTAATTTCATACAGATTTTGTCGTTCAAGCATTCACAAGATTCAACAAAGTGAAACAAGGGCCATAACTCTAGATGTAATTAAAGGAAATTTGCTGAAACTCAATAGGCTTGTTCGTTTTACTAATTTAAATGATGCATATACATTTCATACAGATCGGATAATAACTTTTGTCGTTAGAGCATTTACAAGGTACAACAAAGTGAAACAAGGGCCATAACTCACGGCGTAATTACATGAAACAGAAATTGCTGAAATTCAATAGGCTTCTTCGTTTCACTAATTTAAATGATGCATAGCAATTTCAAACAGATCGGATGATAACTGTTGTCATTAGAGCGTTCACAAGATTCAACAAAGTGAAACAAGGGCCATAACTCTAGATGTAATTAACGGAAATTGCTGAAATTCAATAGCCTTCTTTGTTTTACTAATCTAAATGATGCATATAAATTTCATACAGATCGGTTGATAACTTTTGTTGTTAGAGCGTTCACAAGGTGTAACAAAGTGAAACAAGGGCCATAACTCCAGAAGAAATTAACGGAAATTGCTGAAATTCAATAGGCTTCTTCATTTCACTAATTTAAATGATGCATATCAATTTCAAACAGATCGGATGATAACTGTTGTCATTAGAACGTTCACACAAGATTCAACAAAGTAAAACAAGGGCCATAACTCTGGATGTAATTAACGGAAATTGCTGAAATTCAAAAGGATTCTTTGTTTTACAAATTTAAATGATGCATATAAATTTCATACAGATCGGATGATAACTTTTGTCGTTAGAGCGTTCACAAGGTGCAACAAAGTGAAACAAGGGCCATAACTCCAGACGAAATTAACGGAAGTTCTTGAAATTAAATATTCTTCTTCATCTCACTAATGCAAACAACATATATCAATTTCAAAACAATCAGATGATAAATGTAGTCTGTAGAGTGTTCACAAGAAATTGTGGACGATGGACGGACCGACGGACGGGGGCGACGGCAATATACGACCACATTTCCATGTGGGCATATAAAAATAATAATAAGCCCTTATATTTTACATTTTCTCAGTCAGACAGTTTCAATGCAAGCCAAACCTGGAGAATGAATGTGCATTCTTGTGTGTTAACTAATGTGTAATATTATAAAAAGATATATAAAATGAAGACTATAAAACTAACATTTACAGATCCACCAGAAAACACATTATCTTCATCTTCTAAAGCAGGATTATCTTCATCATAAAATATTTCACTTCCCAGTTCATGGCTCATCTCCATTCTTTCCTAAAAGGGAATTTAACTTGAATCAAATGAAACTAATTCAACAATAATTCAACAATAACTCAACATAAAACAAACCAACAGTGAGGCTGATGTCCCCCGCCGAAATAGGAAAATAATTAGAGCACACAAATAAATTTATCACAAATAAGCGGAACGGACAGACAGACAAACAGACAGACGGACGAACCCATTTTAATAGTTCCCTGCTTTCTTCGAAAGGCGGGGGACAATCAAAGTAGGAGAGTTATTGTTTTCCAAAGTCTCGACCAATCAAATTGCGTATCGCTCTGCTTACCCTGAGCAGAAAATGCTCATTATCAAACTTAGTCAAGGTATTACTGTAATGAAACTATACACCAAGTTTCATCAATCTCACTTAATTAGAACTAAAGTTATCGTGTCCCAAAGCATCAACCAATCAAATTGCTTATCTCTGCTTACCCTAAGCGGAAAATGCTCATCTTCGAACTCCATCAAGGCATTGACCTAATCAACACATACACCAAGTTTGAACATTCTAGCTCAATTAGGAAGAGAGTTATCGTGCCCCAAAGTATCAACCAATCAAATTGCTTATCTCTGCTTACCCTAAGCGGAAAATGCTCATCTTCGAACTCCATCAAGGCATTGACCTAATAAACACATACACCAAGTTTGAACATTCTAGCTCAATTAAAAGTTATCGTGTCCCAAAGCATCAACCAATCAAATTGCTTATCTCTGCTTACCCTAAGCGGAAAATGCTCATCTTCGAACTCCATCAAGGCATTGACCTAATCAACACATACACCAAGTTTGAACATTCTAGCCCAATTAGGAAGAGAGTTATCGTGTCCCAAAGCATCAACCAATCAAATTGCTTATCTCTGCTTACCCTAAGCGGAAAATGCTCATCTTCGAACTCCATCAAGGCATTGACCTAATAAACACATACACCAAGTTTGAACATTCTAGCTCAATTAGGAAGAGAGTTATTGTGTCCCAAAAAGTGTGACGGACAGACGGACGGACGGACGGACGGACGGACGGACGGACGGACGGACGGACGGACGGACGGACGGACGGACGGACGGACGGACGGACGGACGGACGGACGGACGGACGGACGGACGGACGGACGGACGGACGGACGGACAGACAGACAGACAGACAGACAGACAGACAGACAGACAGACAGACGGACGAACCCATTTTAATAGTCCCCTGCTTTCTTCGAAAGGCGGGGGACAATAATTCCAGGTAAGTTAAATATAAATAGTTATGCTATTGCAAAACACTAGGGTATATTGCTATAAACTGCATGAGATAAGTATGCCTATTCTGTGTGGAGTGCTCGATTTCAATTCTCCTTATACGTGGAAGTTGACATAGCTAACAATATCAATTGTATCCAATTGAAATGATGCTTAAGGTATTATAAATTATGAAGAACTAGCAGGATACCCAGCTTCGCTCAGGGGTCATAACTCGGAAACCGGAAGTGGTAGACTAACGCAACCTGGCCTATGTTACTCCCCGGTCCGAGCTACCCCTATACCCCAAATTTCAGACTCGGGGCAGACCTAGTGTAGCCGCCAACCCCGAACAGACCGGCTTCGCTCGGGTGTCATAACTCCGAAACCGGAAGTTGTAGACTAACGCCACCTGGCCATGTTATTCCCCAGTCCGAGCTACCCCTATACATCAAATTCCAGACTTGGGGCAGACCTAGTGTAGCCGCCAACCCCGAACAGTCAGACAGACAGACAAACGACAGTCACAAATATATATATATAGATGTTGAATTTATACATTTGCAGAAAGTCTAGTTTGTTATGAATCCGAGTATTATTCTTTTAAAAAGAAATGAAATGGAGTTAAAATCCTACTTTACTTTGCCAAATCGGCTAAATAAACAGACATACCCGAAGTAGTCGGCTATGAGCACACCAACAAGAACACCATAGGACTTTGGTTTGTCCTCTTAACCAAATGAAAAGACTCTTTTACAAGGGGTAACCAGGCCCGGAAAATCCCAAGAAACTTTCTCGGCCAAAACCAGAATCGAACCCGAGACCTCCTGGTTAGTGAGCCACTTGTTCAAAAGAAAGATAGGTTGCCGGACAATGTAACAAACGCCAACCTGCAGTTTTCCTTCTTCCAGACGTTATGTAAAACAAAATAAATTGGAGAAACAACAATAATTGGACACTTATTAATCATATCTTCATTAGCCCAGTTTAGGAGCAGAACAGTAGGATGTTAAACCCCATTTCATTTCATTTCATATAATGTTGAAGACATGTACCCAAATGGTTTTATCTTATCTAACTTACTATTTCTTTCCTAGATGCTTCTTTGTTCTTTTTCTTCCTAACAACTTTTACAACAGGGTTTTCAATTGGACCACAAAAAACTTCCCTGTATAAAATATATGATAAATTTGTACTTATTAAGGCTTATGTTTGTTTTTATCGTCAAAAAACCCTAATTGTCATACTAAATATATTTTATTTAAATGGTTGGAAGGCCTGCAAAATAATTCTCACAGGAATTTATGCATTATAATAATTCTATATTTACTGTCAATTACCGTGCTCTAGCCTGTGTATGATATCGAGGCGGTATCAATTTTTCTTTTTCACAAAATGCAACATGAAGGGCACTAAGGTAGGCAGTCCAACATCGAAATACTATCTCCTGAAAAAAAAACCCAACTAATACTTTAGTAATGACATAATCAAGTAAATGACAAAATGTAATAAGTGATAAACTAGTTTCTAAACATATAACGTAAAATAAATTGTGATGTCATTATTCTCAATTTGCTAAAACCATAACATAGAGAATTTCCATATACGATATTGCAAATAATATACACTTCTATTTAATTTAGATAATAATAATATGTCCCTTTATAATGCTTCTAATCAATAAAACATGCTCATGGTGTATCATTCACTAGTTTCTCATAATAAAACTGAAACATGTAAGATTTGAATTGACCGAGTGACGGACTTCTGTGGAGGTTGAACGGTAGCAGTTTATTCCACTCTGTTGATGCAGAGACTGGGAAAGAATGATCCCCAAAAGACTTTAACTTCCAGAGTTCTAACAATATTTAAAGTGACTTTTTGTTTGCATGGCACTGATCAGTGAATTGATCTAAACAAGAAATTTCACATTCTGGTTGGTCTACATCAAAAGCTCTGTCTTGTATTGGGATGTCTTGGTTTATACAGCAACAAATGAAAGTAAGGCGTTCAAAATAATAATACTTGTGGTGATGTCAAAACACCATTTTCTTCTTCATAAATCAGTATTTTAAAATTACATTGATAGTTAAATCACTCATAAAAAAGGCAAAGCTAACTTCAGTGTATGGCGTACGTGACACACAGCACATACCTTCATAGTAAGGTATAGTAAGCAATTTTCATGCAGCAATCGAGATCACGGGAAAGTGCCACTGTGGATGAGAATTTCTATATGGAGTCTTATAAAACGTAAAAGATATTGCAGGCAAAATGACTGTCCATTGATTTAGGGTGTGATATATTCTTACGACTCGTTTATACATGCTGTCGGTTGATGCATGCTGTGATTAAAATGTCTGACAATGGAGAAACCATGAGGTAAGCACGTAGATTAAAATTATAACCACTCTTATTGGATCGATCAATAGTCCGACAAAGGGGAAGCAGTGACTTCTGTTTAAGATTAGATTGATGAATTGTCCGATAAGGATTAAGTCAGTCAATCATGGCAGATTAAGTAATTAATCAAGGTAGGTGTATAGACTGTATAACACGATAAATACTTTGATCACTTAATTACCTAATCAATCCAGCCTATTATCATCGATAATCGGGTTAAGTACACTATATTAATTTTGGAATTTTAAATATTATTCACAATTGTACATATTCCGGGTCGGACAATTTTGGACATTTGGAAAATGGTGTCGGACATGTCCGGAATATACAGGCGAAATCCCATCACTGAATGTTTACATATCATGACCTTTGACCAAACTTGATGTTGGCCTTATCAAATAGATCTAACTGAAGTTCATGGCTATTATTGACTTGAGTTTACTTAATTAAGATAAATATGCAAATATTACATCCAATTTTTCATCAGCACCAAGTTCTATCAGTCTCTGTACTTGTTTCTTAATAACACACTGATAACCTTCATATATAGTCCATGGTCGACCTAGACGGTTTAATTTATCTGTAAAAATTAAAAGATAATTTTTTTTAATACATATTCAAAGGTCTTTGTATGCTACATAAATGCAGTGCTGGTTTAACCTAGTAACAAATGTAGCAGGCCCCATGCTAAATGATTGCAAGCTGCTCAATTCGCATTCAGTAATTCAGTACCTTCTCTGTTACTAGTACTATACTGCATTTATATCAATGACTCATTTTTTTTAAATTTAGCGATTTACCTTCAATTGAGGTTAATCAATGGGGGTGTTGTAATATTGGGCCTGTTTATAATACTTGTTTAATATGGACCTGCAGTTGTGTTCATGTTCCCACTGTTAAAAATGGAAAATCAAAAATGCAAATATAAAGTGTTTATCACCCACGTTTCGGGGCTATTCTTGGTTCGAATATGCACCCAGGTGATACATATGTAATATTTGTAGATGAGCTAGGATTGGGGGTGTATAGCTCATTTGTGGAGAAGTATTATAGTGAAGGTGGTCACTGCATTATAAGTCCAATTCCAAATCCATTTCAATATTACTTTATATACAGTTTAAAAATACATTATTTACAAGATCATATCAAAGGGTTACTAAATGTCTTAAGCCTATCTCATCTGATGTCCCTGTATATTTTCCATTCTCTTCTGTCTGTGTAGGGGTCTTTTAAACAAACCAATTTGCATACAGACAAAAAGACAATTATTTCAACAAATCAGATTAAAGATAAAATTAGGGATAAAAATATATAGTAACGAATCAGATGAAAGAAGTTAAATTAATATATAAATTTCATTGGGTAAAAGTTTTACAATAACATATAGAATTAGTTAATAAGCTTTTAAGCCGTAAATAAAATTAAAAGTGTCGACACTTGATTGGCACAGATCTGACTGCATTGTTTAATGTATAAATCTTTATTTCGAGCTTTCTACTAATAAGCCTATTGGCACCTCAAAGATTATAATAGTACAGTCAAGACCATTCTTGCTTAGGGCAATCACTTTAAGAGGTTTAAATCAAGATATTAAAATCTAAATCAATGAATAGTATAAAGTCAGCCATAATGATGAATATAGAAGTAAGAATTAAATTATGCATTATTTGAAAAAGAAATTAATATCACTATTCGGTGATATGTTACTAGGTTCTACTGTTTTCCTATGTCTTGTCTTTGGAAATAGGAAAATGTCTAAAATTAGCCTGTAAGATTGTGGTTTGATGGGACAGATAATATAAATACCTTGTTGTTTTTCCTCTACAGATTGTTTTTTTGTTGTTGGTGTTTTAGTCAGAGTTTTATTGTGATGGTCTTCAAACTCAAGTTCTTCAACTCGAATATCCTTACAAATACAAATAATAACCAAAATTAAAATCATCACTAACTCAAGCCATAAATATTCAACATTATTCAGAAATGATTCCTTGATGGTATTCAAGATGCTTTCAATGAAATATAAATCAGTTATTTCATCTTTACTATATGTACATGTACTAATAATGCTCATAGCACTACACGGTGCATGCCTGTCTTCAGTAGCCTGGTTGGTGCAGAAAATTGGGATGTTAAACCCCATTTCATGTCATAGCACAATCAGCAGGACTTTGTGTACATATATACTGCTAGGGAGAGATTTACTAGATTTCATTGTCTGTTTGCTAAGTTGGGCCAAGCAAGTTACATGTACGTATTCTTAAAAAAAAAAACAAAAAAAACCATCTCTAACACATTGATACCATTTAAGTTTACCTGAGACTGGACCTGACAAACTTGACAATAAAAGTGGCCACAATCCTCTATAAAATCTTCTCCACCACACTGAGTACATGTTGGCATTTTTTAGGCAAATCACTCCTTGACATTAAATTATTTAGGATCTTCTCTAAAAAAAAAGAAGCCAATCACATCATTTAGAAGGCTGATATGCGAGTAGAAATGTTACGATACAAACAATTGGGCACATTGGATTATATTTGAACCATTTTAAATCGTAATAGATTCACACTTAGGCACTTCCGCAACGAATGACTATACAATTTCCTAAGAATTAGTCCCAAAGGGTTTCAACATTCTTCATATTTTCTATTTAAAAAAAAATAAGTAAAAAAAATTCATCTGATGTAGACACTTTCCAATCTAAACATGTTAGATTATTTTGAACTAAATGTGGTACATGTATATATTTATTTATTTAATTAAATTGCCTTGCGCAGGTTCTCTTTCCATCAGCAGAAAGCAAAGAATAACTCTATAGATAATATGGAGGATTGACAGTTTTCTTAATTTGACATCTAATCTTATTCACATGTACAATATTTTGAAAGAAAAGTTAGTGCCAATGAACATGACACTACATGTACTGTATTTTGAATTTCCATTGTAACTAATGTTCATTACTGTAACTTGATTTTAGGAAAATGGAAACCTGATATTATAATATTCTGTGTTTAATTGTCTGTTGGTCTGTTTGATGAATGCCATTGGCACCTAGAACCACACTCTCAGAAAAGCCTGGCACAATCCATCGGCTGTGTTTGGTCTAGGTACGACGTTATTAAGTCTCCTCTGAATTTCATCCCAAAGATGTTAATCAGGTTTAAGTCCGGACTAAGGGCTGGCCAGTGCATAACATTGACACCGTCATGCTGTAGAAAGTCCCGAGTACCTCTGGCGGTGTGGGCACAGGCTGGAAAACGTTGTTTCGATGAACTGTGAAATGTGATATGACGTGGGGTCTGCGATCTTGATCGATGTAGTGAACTGCTGTGATGCTGACTCCTCTCCCTGGACCAAGATTTTGGAACACCACAGGACCCAAACCATTATGCTTGGACCTCCCTGTGTGAAGGGATTCTGCACGTGCTGTCGCACAACATGGCGGTCTTGTCGCCTTGTGGTAACCCTTGGTTTACGAGTTCGGGGGTGATCATTGGTGGTGTTGGTGGCCCGAAAGCGTTGCTGAAGCCTGTAGATGGTCCGAACCTGGAAGTGATTGGCAACAGTTTGAACAGTGTGGCCAGCGTTGAGTCTTCCAAGCGCCTGGTTCCTCTGAGCTGTCGTGAGTCGTGGCATGGCATGCTGCTGATGACTAGTTGTAGTGTGAAGATTCAGTCAGGTATGGGGGTGCATTTTATAGGGTTGTTCCTGGTGAACACGTTCAGCATGAGTTACATGAAAATCAGGTTGAACACATTACCATCTCAGAAGTCTGGGTGCGTTTTTGAGAACATTTCCTGAGTTCAATTCTCTCTGTTTGGAAAGGACTCGTTAAGGAGGCGTATTGAGTTATTCATATTGATCAGGTAAAGTTGGAGATGTGGTCACAAATATACAATAAAAACATTTGGCAAGTTTTATGCAATGCGTGTATTCAGAGTAACATACCAACCTGACGTTTCTTTTACTGCTTAGTATAGAGCGAAGCTCTACAGCATCGCGCGAAGCGCGGTGCTTGAACAAAGCTCTTTTCCGGTAACACAGGAACGTAACTGAAATTGTCACCCACAGACTGTTGATTAAAAAAAAATTCAGACCGGCACCGGATACACTGGGCAAAACAGGCAATGCGCATGTCAACTTACCAAATCTCGCCCAAGTGAGATTACGCGCCTCATAGAACTATTTCTATGACGCGTCTAATCAATGACGTCACATATTTTTGACGTCAATGAAAATAATTCTCACACTTTTTTTGTTCTTTTTAAAAAACAAAATTAATGTATACAATTTAGATCTAAATGAAAATCAATTTGGAAAAACTAAATTATTTAACATTTTTTGTAATGTATCACTTGAGAAAATTAATTATGAAGGTTTTATATTCGACAATAATCAGCTTCGCTCTACTCAGGCAATGCCTGTTACATATTATATATTCCCTATATTAACTTAATCAACTTATTTGGTCACCACGTGCATTTTACCTTAATGATGAGTCCTGACTCATTCTAATTACTAACGTACCAGTAATTCGAGGCTATTATTTTGTAAACATTGCACATCCTATCATTAACAATTACGGTCGACATTTATGTCCTGTTGGACAAGACTACTATTCTTTAAGAAGGAAAGGTAACTCGCATTTCTGTTTCCGTTTTAATGTCAGAAAAAGGTAAATAAATAAACCGTTTTGAAGAACACGAAAATACAGTATTTATAATTATAGCATTTATTCAGGTAATTGTATAGTTTACTTAGGTTTAGATTTAGCATAATGAAACGCATATTCGCAAGAGTAATAACGTTCTGAAAGGGGTGCATGTCGTTTCATCCCAAAACCATTTCACCCGGCCCAAGCTGTTGATGTTTTTGAAAATTTCCATGTGCAGTTTCCTTTTTATTTTGATCAAAAACTTAATTATTTACCTTACCAAAGATGCATTCTATACTTTTCTATAGGTGGTAGAAAGATGTACGATGTATGGTTGGAAGACTTTAACTGACCAGTTTTTGATCAGTGTATATCTGGGTGTTGCAATCACAAAATCTGTCAAAAATTCTCATAATCATCTTATTCCTCGAAATTTGTCCCCCCCCCCACCCTATAAAGAACAAGAAAACAAACAGTGCTTTGTATCGACATACATCTATTTTACAGATTTGTACCTCTCCTCTCCTTTTAGTAACTTTTAAATCAGTAATCTTGCATATTTAGCACGTCACAGAATTATTCTTAACTTTACTTCTTTTCAGAAAAACCTTCATCAACATATGTGGTATTGGTAATCAACATGAAATAGAACCTGTCAAAAATGGCTATCCAGAATGATTACATACACTGTGCGTTTGTGAATGGTGTAAACTAACAATATTTTATCTGATAAGCTTATTTTAATTCTCTGATATCTTTTTAGAATTATGGCAAATGAATAGTCAGTGTAACAGTACTATGGCAGTCCAAAAAAAGGCGGTGTCTTATTTCATTGAAGGTGCCATTTGAAAAATCACAATGCTTTATATTCTAGAAAATATATTTGAACTGAACACCTGAAAGAGATTTGATAAACCAACAATGTAAGAATAAAAATTCATTTAGAAAAGTTTAACAGTTGGTAAATTTGCTTCAAGATGGGCACAGTTGGGTCTTTCCTGCGATCAAACGATGATGATGACATCTTGGATTTAAAGATTCGAGGCAGATCAGGAGGCGTCATAAAGCACATACCAATAGAAATGAAACCAAGAGGAAAGTTAGGGCTTGGTAGGGTAGGATCAGTTGGAAGAAAACCAAAAGGCGGTAGTTTAAGATCAGCACTGTCAATTGATTTGGAAAATCCAGAAACAGAGCGAATCAAGCGAGAGTTTGAGATGTATAGGTTAGATAAAGAAAATGATATTGCAAACTGGCAGAAAAAAGAAAAGAAGTTAGAACAGGAAAATAAAAGAATGCGATCAGAGTTACTGGCCTTGCAGAAAACATGTACAAAGTTACGAAATGAAAGAGATATGGCTTTACAAGCAGAACAACGAGCAATAGCCCGAGCCGCTTCATTTGAATGTGATCGTGATAAAGTACAAAGGAGGTTTAAGGTTGGATAAATTTACATTCAAGTCAGTGGACTTATTTTATAAATATGAAATCAGGGCATTTAGCTATGCATTGAAATTTAATAATTTATTTATGATAATCAATTCCTGAAAATGGATATTTGAGTCATTAACATATTCTGTGTCAAATATTCCCAAGACAGACTCTGTCTGTGAACCTAAAATTTTAAAAAACAGATATCCACTTCACAAAACACTTAACACCAATGCATCAAATTTAATGGAATTGACACTTCTATTAACCAAAACAAAAGAGAAAATTATTACACAGGGTTTGTTTTTTTAAGGGATTTTTAAATGTATTATAATGTTAGATCGTACTATATGATTGATTTTTACTATTGTTTTGTAGATTTATCGTGAAACAGCAGAATATGAACTACAGAATGTTTTAAGGGATAGAAGAAATCTAGAGAACAAGATGACAAAATATTCACCTGGGTATGAAGATGGTGATACAACATCTAGATTTCTGGTAGATGGTACTCTAGGTAACATTACAATTCTATAAAATCATTTTTATATGCCTGTATCAGGCTTGTGCTGCTAAAGTTCTATGCACACAATGGAATTATTGAATAAAAGATTACTATATGTTAGTTTTGTAGCAAGCTAGTTTGTTTTGTGTGTACATTAAAAACCATATCTCTTTCCTTTTTATGTTTTCTCTCTCTAAATTTGTAGACAAGAGTCCTTGAGCATATGGACTGTAAATGTATTTAAGTAGATTAGGATAAATACTATACCTTTTTAGCCATGCTCGTTTTATAAATTATCTGCCAATAAGTTAACTTTTCTTTTTTCCTTTTTCAGGAAACAACAACCCTGGTGATTGGTGGAGTGAACCATCTTTAGGTAGCACTGTACAGCTACATCAACCTACATACCTCCGTGGACCAGAATTTGCTCATACTATGATGGAACTTGAAGGTCCTTTCACAAATGTCAATAAAGGTACAGTATATTTAATAATGAAATACTGGTAATCAATTATAATATCACAACGTGTAGAAATTGTATTAGGAATTGGGTTCTATAGAGGATCTTCTTGAATCTTACATCAAATATTATCAAAGTTTGTCTCTAAGGACATTTTATTAGGGTTAATGAAGATGTTATTCTACTTATAGTGTAATTGATTATTGTGTTTATCAAAACATTTTTTCAGATGATTGGAGTTCCGCATTAGCTAATATGAGTCAGTCAGGTCAACTACTTACTGATCAGGCTATTAATAAAGTCAAGAGAATCTATATATCTGCTCCACAACATATGCTTCCAGAAATTACAGTCTTTGACAAGGTAATATAGTTTAAAGTGTGCAGCTATAAATTCATTTCCTGTTGTTTGTGTCAAAGTATTGAGAAGGTGCATCCTATTTTGAATATTTTAATACATTTTTAAATATAAGACAACACAGATCCTTAACCAGAGATTTGGTTTGCAGTTCCACTCTTTAATTTTAATAAATTGAAACCTTTCATTAATATCATTGGCTCTTATTAAGGCTTACTAAGTTTCTACTGAAATATGGTCCTATATTAATTTTATTGCATACATGTATGTTTGTTTCTACAGGAATATGTACCTATGTTAAGGTTATTATGTCAGAAAGAAGGAAAGTCATTAGTTGTGGTTTATTTACAAGAAGATAATCAAATACCCGATAAACGAGTAAGTTTTCTGTATCTTAATTTCTGTAGGTGAAAGAGGCACAATTGGGTCAACAGAGGTCTTGGAAACTTCTGGAAATAGCAACATTAAGCTTCCATTCCTTTCAGAGTTAACAGGTTTTAACAAATAAAAAGTTCCTTGATGTAAAATTTTTGTTGTGTGGCATTATGCATTTTGATTAATGTTTATGATAATTACAAGAAAATAGCAAATATATCGTACATGTTACCAATATTATCAATATAATATATATATTAATCGGACAGCTTAATTTTATCAAAACTTCAGACATTTAAATTGTAAATAGCTTGGATAAATTAACTGGTAGTCAGTATATTTGTTGCCTGGCAACCTATATTTTAACTTTTTTGTTAATTTGACCTGTATTAGAAATTGCAATCTTTTGTATTTTATTTGAATTTCAGTATATACCTCGATTTCAACAAGCACGACAAAAACAGTTAGATATGGCTTCATTGTTAGTAGCTTTTGTTGGTAATCCATTAGATAGGTAAGAACATCTGATACAATCATCCATTAAGAATTTGAAAGCCTATTTGCTTTATTTCTATTTTAAAATAACTAGATATTTAAAATAAAATAATTTATATAATTTTCCAGGGAAAACATTTTTAGATATGACTAAACAAATGCAAAGTGTTAGAAAAGAAATCTATTAGAATGTAGTTAGTGGCATAACAGTAATTAATATCCTTGTTTTTTTTAATTTTTAGAGAAAATATTTTTGATATAAAATATGCACTTACAGAATCGACCTCTGTTAAACCTGCTGTGATTGCCTTTAAAGATGCAAATGATAAAAGGTATGATAAATGTTTATTGTAATTTGTTTTCTTGAGCTGATTGTCTTTGGCTTGAAATATGCTTCCTCTTTCTAGAACACCTGATCATTTGAGGAGTTTACATTGGTAATAAACTATGCAACCGTATGAGCGATTGCAATCTCACAGATATCATTACTGTGGTAACATACATAGATAGCTATTTAATAAGTGTACAAGGGATCCCACTTGTGGATACGGTGTAATTGCATAAACTCGAGAATGATAATGATTCCACATATTTTTGAAACAGCATTATAGAGTTTTGAACTGTAATGTGTGAATCTTTGTAAAGGTTATAGGGGGGTTGGATGGCTGAATGGTTAGCACGTGCGCGCTGTATCATAAAGTCTGTCATTGAGTCAACTGGCGTGGTTTCGATTCCCCGGTTGTATGTGACAAGGAGTAGGGTCGCCTGTCCAACCTCGTGGGTTTTCGTCGGGTCCTCCGGTTTCCTCCCACTGCTAAAGACCCCTACGCGCAAGCGAATTGTGGAAATAAAATTGAACCATATGTTAGTCCCGAAATGACCTAGTTTGTGTCGAGTGGGCGTTAAACCCCATTTCTCTCTCTCTCTTTTGTAAAGGTTATAAGCCTTCCGTTGTTTACCGGATAAATTTATCTTGCTATACAATGAAAGCTCATTTCATCTGTGGCCTGGTTCCCTCAAGGTTTTTTACTAAATAAAATTGATAATATAAAAATGAATGAGATGAAGTGTATGTAAAATAATCTGAATAGCCTTGAATTTTTTTTACTTATAAATCACTCAGCATGGTATATTATGTAATACTGTATTGTTTTTCTAACAGAATGTGTTTTAGTGGAGATAATTCAGATGGTCTCAAATTAAAGGAAGAAAGTAATATGCATATAATCAGTGAATATACTAGTCCACATGAAGGTGCTGAAATGGTTTATGCTGCTTTAGATAAAATACTTAAATCGGTAAGTCAAAACATTCATTAGCAGTATATTCCAAATTCCTAAAGAACTTTTGACCTTCAGTCACGGTAACCATTATTACACTTTATTTATTCATTTTTAGCATTTTCTGAAATTCTGTCTGGATTAACACACTTATTATTGTTTAGCTTTTGATATTCTAACTCATGACCTCAACTAGCGGACTATCACCACCAAGAACCGCAATTCGGGAGATAACCACCATCAAGACCAGTTGTGTTATTTCTATTGCGTCTTTCTTGTAAATCATTGTTTTGTTTTCCATTTTGAGTTAAGCATATCATTACAAACCCGAGGCTGCTTACGGATGGCCCTTGGACTGCTTACGGATGACCCCCGGATCCATTCTCTTGATTCGATTTTTGTTGTTTATTGCTTGCAGAGTGTCTATTTTGGGTTTTGTTTGGGTTTCCCTTTGCACTCAGCACAATCTTGTTGGAATACTGGTATTCTATTTTGAGAATGTAAGGATTAAATTATTGATAAGATATTGTAAATCTAATTTAACTATATATTATTTTAGGAACAAGGAGTTGCTAGAGAGAAAACAGAAGAAGATGAACACACAGAGAATGGACTGTGTGGTGGAGCTCTGTGGGATATAAACTATGACTTAGAACAAATGGGAGCTTTGTGTTATGCCCTTAGATCTAGTTGTGAATTAGGATTTGAAAAGGTACCTAACAAGTATAAATATTCTATTTTAGACTTTTTATTATACACCCACATTTCAAACTTTGCTAGTCATATGAAATCCTGTTGGAAATCAGTCATGGATCATTTTTTTACAGAGCAATTTTCACTGTTAACAAACTCCCTGTAATTAATCTAAAAATCTGTGTTTCTGGAGTGGAGTTAGTGCTCCTTCGAATTACATCATATTATACTGTGATGTTATAGTTTTCCTTACAAAGCTGCTTGTTGCCTGGCAATCCTATTTTTCTATTTTTAAAAAAATACTTTCTTTCAGTATTATTGAAAATTATTTGTACAAAACAACAGAAATCCTGACTAAGTATTAGTGATAATTAAAATCATTTAAAATATTCAGAAATCCTGATTAAGTATACAATTAAAACTAAAATCAATTTTATTGTAGTACTATGAAAAATTAAACAGTCATATATCAGCTGCTGGACCATATCCACCACTACTTGTTATGGGACCTAGTGGTTGTGGACGGTCTTTACTACTCTCTAAATGGTAGGTTGTGTAGTCCATTAATATGATTTTATTTAAGTGTGCCTAAATCTATAGAGCTCAGAATATTGAGCCCAAAAATAATCACAACAATAATGGAGCCTTTAGCTATCTAGACACTACTGAAGGTGTCAGTTTGAAAAACTGTGGCCAGTCACACTTAAATAGATCGTCTGTATTTATTTGTATAAACATTATTGAGCTTCATGTATCTGTGATGACTCGTTTTATAGTGATAATACAGTTTTATATAATCATATAAAACCTTTAATAGCTCAAGATTATCATCTTTTAAAGATGGCTTCTTCAACTTTTTAAACAATCATTCATACTGTAACTTTTTTTGTCATTTCTGTTTACTGACATTTATCTTATGAGGATTATGCATATAATGTTTAATAAGATAATATGTTGTATCAAAATGTTCGTGATTTCAGGGTTCAACAACTAAGAGAGAGAAATCCTAACTGCCTAGTTTTATATCATTTTGTTGGTAAACCATCATCTGTCAGTGCTGATCCAATTCTTATGATTCGTAGATTGTCTTCTCAGGTATGATCAGGATTAATTGTGCCTAATTTTTATTTTTTATAGCTATTAAAGATACTTTCCGCGTACAATCTGTGTGATTTGATGATATATTTGGACTAAAAACATATAAGCCTCTGTCAACTTGTGTATAAAAAAAATCATAATGGTAAACAATATTTAAAACGGGTGACCTAATTCCAACCAGTATGTCAGATGTCATTGGAATTCGGCATTGGAGATTCTGTCAGGGAAAATATATTATTGATGACTGTTTCTCTGCGTATTCAGTGTTCTAGCTAGGGATTCTATTCAATGAAGATTTAAATTTACCTAACAACTGGTCAGTGAATCCATCAATATATGATCTAGCTACAGGAAGGTAGCTAAAAATGTTGTGATATACTTATGGAGGGTTGAGAGATGATCATATGTATGATCCAGTTATTATTTTAATATCTAACAGTGCCTGGAATTCATACCGCAATCGTCTTGTTTCACCACTTGGCTTATTTTCACAAATTAAAGGCAGCTTACTGAACCTGGTATGAATAATCAGCAAGCTTACCATTAAATGTGCCAATTACTCTGATTATGAACGACATGGCCGATTCTCACTAAGATAACTGTAGCCGACAAGCAAGTTGATTGACTACTTAATGAACAAGTAATAATGAACCCGTTGTTATTTAGCCAACAGTAGATTGATTTATGAAACCATAGTGGCTGGTTAATCAGCCAATTAAGAACAGTGGTTGACACCCCTCAATGTTCCCAAAGCTGCCTAATAATTTGATCAAGAAATGACAATCGCTCCCTTAGTCAAGCTAGCACACAATAAGCTGGCAGACAGCTGTTGGGTTACCAACATTTTTGCCCAGTGCTTGCCTCATTGGTGTTTTTCAGGTAATCCAATATTTTTGTAGTAAGATTGGCGGATAAAATCAGGTTATTGTTGTTTTGTGGTATGTCATTTATTCAAGGTATGAGTTCAATTTTACAATAATATGTGACTGATAAAGATAAGAGTTATCATAGTCTTAAAATAATAATGTTCAGTCTTAACACCATCTGGGGTAAATTTTGTTTCAGTTGATGCAACAGATCAACAATCCTCCTGTTTTAACCAGTGATTCTTCCAGACTTATTGAAGATTTTCCTAGATGGCTAGAAAAAATATCATCTAAATCTCCAGGAGGAACTATCTTAGTTTTAGACTCTATTGATAGATTTGAGGTAAGATCATTATAAAAGTTACTTATAAGCAACTTTCTCGTAGTGTCATATTATAATCTATATATATATTTGTGACTGTCGTTTGTCTGTCTGTCTGTTCGGGGTTGGCGGCTACACTAGGTCTGTCCCGAGTCTAAAATTTGGGGTATAGGGTTAGCTCGGACCCAGGAGTAACATAGGCCAGGTGGCATTAGTCTACCACTTCCGGTTTCGGAGTTATGACCCCCGAGCGAAGCCGGTCTTTTCGCGGTTGGCAGATACACTAGGTCTGCCCCGAGTCTGAAATTTAGGGTATAGGGGTAGCTCGGACCGGGGAGTAACATAGGCCAGGTGGCGTTAGTCTACCACTTCCGGTTTCGGAGTTATGACCCCCGAGCTAAGTCTGTCTGTTCGGGATTAGCGGCTACATCTGCCCTGAGTCTGAAATTTGGGGTATAGGGGTAGCTCGGACCAGGGAGTAACATAGGCCAGGTGGCGTTAGTCTACCACTTCCGGTTTCGGAGTTATGACCCCCGAGCGAAGCCGGTCTGTTCGGGGTTGCAGCTACACAAGGTCTGCCCCGACTCTGAAATTTGGGGTATAGGGGTAGCTCGGACCGGGGAGTAATATAGGCCAGGTGGCGTTTCGGAGTTATGACCCCCGAGCGAAGCCGGTCTTTTCGGGGTTGGTGGCTACACTAGGTCTGCCCTGAGTCTGAAATTTGGGGTATAGGGGTAGCTCGGACCGGGGAGTAACATAGGCCAGGTGGCGTTAGTCTACCACTTCCGGTTTCGGAGTTATGACCCCCGAGCGAAGCCGGGTATCCTGCTAGTTAATTATATTTTGATGCAGTAACTTTTACAGTAGTGCTCCTATGGGTAGTCGGATAACTGTAAACATTTAGAATTAGACGGTTCGAATTGAACGGTACGGTTATTTGGAGAGTTATGTCCCGTTATATTCCTCTTTATAACAAAAGTTTTCCGTTATCCTGGTGAACCAAGATAAGAAGGTTTTCAGAAATACATCTATATCCTTCTTTTGTATTTGATGTTTGAAAATCTTAGAATGTAACTGTCGCCCCACGATGTCGACTCGTAAAATATAATACTATTAATAGCACTCGTAGTTGTACGGCAAAGTCAACGGACCTTGTTCTCTGACTTTTGCTATTGTTAATCCAATGCAAATACTTCTCGGCATTTCTAAATATTATTCTACCTTGTTTAATATTTATTAAAAAATGTAACCACCATTCAAAATGCTATTTTTAGTAACATTGTGTAATCGTAAAATTGTCACCATATGTCACGTTTTGTATATTATGGTAGATATTAACCAGGTATTCAAGTAACTATGGCCTTAAACAGTTTTCATTTAAGAATTGTAATGCCTTTTGAAAAGAGTATAGCGTGCGCGCAAGTAATGACTCGCACCTCCTGATAAGGTCTGTTTTATGTTGAAAATTGATACCAAACGGTACGGTTATTCGAATAACAAAAAGTCCTAACTGTAGGAGCACTATTTAACAGTACCATTACCTTTGCTGGTAATAACGGTAAACTAGCGAATTCCTATCTATGAGGGTGGGGGTGTGTGTGTGTGTGGATGGCTGAATGGTTTCCGTGTGCACGCTGTATCATAAGGTCTGTCATTGAGTCCGCTGGCGTGGTTTCGATTTCCCGGTTGTACGTGGCAAGGAGTTGGGTCGCCTGTCCAACCTTGTGGGTTTTCTATGGTTTTCATCCCACTGCTAAAGAAACCCTTCCTGCAAACAATTTATTGAAATAAAATTGAACCATATATTAGTCAAGTGTCAAGTTGACGTTAAACCCCATTTCTGTCTATTTAGAATAATTTATTGTTATTACAGCAAGCTGAAGTTCATCTGAAATGGTTGTTGGACCCACTGCCTGTTGATGCTAGAGTTATAGTATCTGCTGAAGAAAATACATGTCCTCAAGTATGGAGGTAGGATTTGTAGTTTGACTAATATTTTGATTCTATGCTATTATTAATAAGGAGCATTAACGGTAATTTTTTTAGTTATTTTCATTTCCCTTTAAGGTTTACTGACTATAGGGAATCCTCAATATATTAGGTCCTATTATAATTCTTGATATATTATTCATTATCTAGTAAAGAATTTAGTTTCTACAATGGAAGAAGTAACAAATTGCAATTCCAAGGGCATGTTACTCTGTAAACATGTGGCAGTAGATGAATACGCAAAATAAGTTGTTGGACTAAAAACTAATATAGCGCATCTCTATAGCTTTGTTTGTTTACAGTGGATAACAGTTACTCTTATAACGTCAGAGCTGTCATGTTGATTTTGAAGTGAAGACAGTTTATAATTAGAGTTTAACATGGTCATAACTAGATAATAAGTAACATACAAAGAATCTGCAACAGTAGGACTTTAAAAAAAATAATATTTATCTGTGTATTTTCTGACTTAAAACACAGAGCTTTGCAATAATAATGTATACTACAACTGTTTATGCTGTCTTATACTGAACCAAGCTGATGTGAAATTTCATGGTTGTGAGTGACTATGAATATTTCTGGCTTACATTATTTTTAAGATTTTTATGTCCTAAAATTGGCAAGGTTTGAAAAATCTATGAACTTGTTAATTTTGCTTTGATAATTATTTCTAAACTTTTCATCTTTTCTTTTAGATCATGGCCAACCTTACTCTTGGATTCATCCAGTGTAAAAAATATCAAAGAATTATTTTGTACTGAATTGTCGGCTAATGATGTAATTGTATCCAATGAAAATGAAAGAAAGATTTTGTCTCATTGTGGGACCATGGAAACCTGTACACCCTTGTATGTTATGATCATAGCTGCTTATATAATAAGGTACATTACTTTATAATAACCTGAACATGCCAGAATAAAAGTTAAATATATAGAGTTTAAGACCATACACTCAAAAGAACTTTTATTTAAAACCATCAATAGATCAGAATGGTACACTTGAAATAGCCGCCATCTTACATTCTTTGAGTTACCTGTATGTTCTGTGATATGACGTCATGCCATCCTTTTCTGGACATTTTTTTATTTAATTAACGTATTGTTGAATTTTGTAGTTGTGGAGGAGAAAAAGAGAATGATTTAAGTGATGATATAGATAATTTGTTATCTACTAGTACATGTGAACTGCTTTATATCCAGGTTATACATCTACTACAATCTAGTCTAGAAGCTCCAGAAAACGAAGGCATGATCAAATTGGTAATTTCTGTTTTATTGGTCAGAGTTTTTATTATTGTTATTATGATTTCGTATATTATCCCAATACAAAACATCATAATAATAATGAACCTCCAACATTTGTATCTTGCAATAACAACGCTGTGATTAGGTCATACATAAGGTTGTGAACAGGATATTCTGACCTTTAACAATTCGATTCACAATTAATATCATAAACCTATGTATTTGTGGGTAGCAAGTAGAATTGTTACAAGACTGATCTTGATATTGACAATATGTCACAAGGAAAGTATTTGAATCAAAATGGATTCACACTTTACGAACTTTCGCACCAGATGGCATAACAATAAGATTTAGTCCTGAAGGTTTCCCACCCCCTTTGTTTACTTTGAGGCTAACATAAGATGGAGAAACCTAGATTATCACAGTTAGACCATACTCATTTAAAGGTCTGTATTGCAGCAGTTTAGACCACTCTGTCTCCCTTCACCATCCACACGAACACAAACAAACACCAACTCATCACTATCCCATCCAAGATTGAGATCTTAGTCCAAATTGAAACAAACTAGCCAGTGTTGGGCCACCAAAGTCATTGCCGACTTTTAACATTATCAATAAGCTGCCACCAACCCCCCCCCCCCAATACATTTATAACTCTATATATTGTGATTGTTCTCCATGTTTCAGATATTAAAGTATTTATGTGTTAGTAGAAATGGTATAGAAGAGAATGAATTAATGAGTCTAATACCAGATTTAACATGGACGTTTTTAGTTCGAATATTTGATATACTTTCATCACTTCTTATTATAAAATATCAAGCAGGCTTGATAACATTTGCTCATGAAGCTGTAAGTACATTCTGGAAATTGGACAAGTAAGAGTGTTTCAAAGGCTATAAAATTTATTGTTAAATTTATTTGTGAATGAAAAACTGAATAAAAAATTTAAGCTGATTTTCTTTGTGAATTTTGTAAACATATATTTTTTTTCTATGACTCTTAAAGTAAAAACTTAATATGGATAGGGGTGTGAGTGTCAATGGGTTTAAGAACTGAACCCATGGTAATAAAATATTTCAGGCTATGAAAGGTGTATATGATTTATGTTTTGGTAAAGATGACGGTGAACAAGTTACAGATATAAGACAAGAATTAATAGACTACCATTCACAGTTCTTGGTGTAAGTTTCATGAAGTGTGTGTAGCCAACTCAGTATATTGTAGTATATTATTTTTTAAGATTTAGTCTTCTTAATTTCTTAATTAAAGTTTTATTAACATTAATTATCAGCCAGTAATTGTCTTACTGATAATCAGCATCCATTAAATGGGACCCATGCAAATAAATGAAACAATACTGGACTCATTAACATGATGCTATTATTGATTTATAAGTCAGATTATTGCAGTCTTTTCTTATGTTTGATGTAAAATCTTTCAAAGATTGATATTTATAATATTTTGGATTGTTTTAGACCAGGATGTGTGACATGTCGTGTAGCTGATGAATTACCATGGTTACTAAGACAAGCTGGTGATAAAGATACATTAAAACATTGTATTTTAAATCTGTGTATATTTCAAAGACTTTATGAAAGGTAATATTGTATTGTATTATCTTTAATAATTAAGAAGCAACAAATTAATATTATAGGAGACAGTCATAGGGAAATCTAAAGGACCACAAAGTGAATTACTTCGTTTCTAGCAAATTGTTTGGCTTAACTGATACATATTATGTTAATTGATCTCTTTGTAAAAGCAAAATTATTTGCTACATATTTTAAACCACCTTATTTGCTTCATTCTGCACTAAAGTGAAGTCATTCTGAGAGTTTAAGTTTAATGATTACTCTTTTTAGGGGACGGTCTACTGAGCTGTTGGCATACTGGCAATATTTAGGGGTTGATAAAAATGATATGGCAGCAGCTTATTTTACAGCAACTAAAAAAACAGAAGAAGGTAATTTTTTTCTTTACTACACAGTACTGATTCACATTTAGCACAAATTGGATCAGGTGCGGATCCAAGAAGGGGGGGGGGGGCTCACCCGGCGCACGCCCCCACCCCCCCTATTTTTTGCGGTGACGAACAATTTGCGGGAAAGGAGAACAAAAATACTTCAAAATGGTAGTGATCCCCGTCGTAATTTACTCCGAAACGAGCCAGTTGGTGACTTGGTTGATTGCCCGTCAGTCCGCCCACCGAGGGCCAGGCTTCGCATTTCCAAGTGGGGGCAGCACACCCCCCCTTTCTGAAAATCCTGGATCCACCTTTGTGGATGTCCTGAATTTGTATGTGACAAGAAGTAGGGTTATGAGTTTCCTCCTCCATGTATGTATGTCAGTCCCAAAATAACCAGGTTAGGTCAAGTGAAACTTAAATAATTTAGGTTCAATCACATTTCACTCTCTATTAATTAGTAAATGTTGATTGCAAGAAGCACATACAGTATTGCCAGCCCTCAATTTTATACATAACCTCACAAATCAACAAAAACATGGATATCACAGAAAAAATAGTAATCAATTGAAAAACATGAAGTTCATTGATTCATGGGAAAGTCATCCATTGTAATTTTAAAACAAGGGGTATATTCACCATCACAAAATATATGAATCAGCATTATAATATGGTTACAGGTATTGGTCATTATTATGATATATTTACAGGTAATTGGCCATTATTATGATATATTTACAGGTATTGGTCAGTATAATGGATTAGTAACATTACCTCTTATAGCAGATATGTATGAAACATTGGGTAGATTTTTAAAAGATATGGTGCTATTGAATCAAGTAAGCTTTGTTTAGATTATGCAATTAAAACCATAATGTCCCAGAAAGTTCCAGTATATTTTTCCCTTGGTAGTGGTGCATGACGAAGGGCTTGGCAAGGAAAAAGTGTCAGTCTTTTGGATGAGACAAAAATCCTAGGTCTTGTGTATACCAATGGCATCATGTTATATACAAGATCTTTTCATAGTTGTGGTGTGTGTCTGTCTTCATGAGCCTGGTTGATTTTCAGAAAAGTATGGTGTTAAACATCATTTCATTTCCTTTATTCATATACAAAATAGAAATTGTTGGCTAATATCATTTCAGGCATTACCACCATTACAACGAGCTTTAGAAATTCGTGAGACTGCCATGGATCCTGATCATCCTGTTGTGGCCCGTTCTTTACATCAACTGGCTGGTCTACATGCTCAGTGGGGAAAATATACAACTGCTGAAGCTCTTTTTAGACAAGCTTTAGAAATATATGAAAGTGCCTTCGGTTTTGAGCATAATTTGGTTGCTAGGGAAGTAGAATCTCTGGCTAATTTATATCAAAAGCAAAACAAGTAAGTCTCCTTATTTTATTTGGTTAATTATAACACTTATGATGTATTGAAGAATATGAAACTTTTGCACTGTAAAACTCATGAAATTAACGTGACTCGCTACAACATAATTCTTTAAATGATTTTTAGCGGCTAATTGCTTTCTTAATTTTGTTAATAGCCGTTTCAGACTTCCTGCCAAATATAAGCAGAATTCCACCATAAAACTATTGGTCTATTTTTCACTCATATAGGCATTAAATAGGACCGAATCACAATGAAACAATATTAAGTTATTTAGAAACTCTCTCTTTTTATAACTTTAATTTCTTTTTACAGACACGATTTAGCAGAACCATTACGTAAAAGAGCCATATCGATAAAGAAACGTATTAAATCTGTTAAAACTGTAAGTTCTGTCAACGACATGAATTACCAACTGATAATAGTTGATTGAAACAACTAGAGCTTTATCTCAAATTAACACAGTAGCTTATCCACGAGGGGATCACGTGGCTAAGTGGGTAAGACGCTGGCTCGCTAGCCTGGAGGTCGGGTGTTCGATCCCTGCATTGGCCGAGAAAGTTTATCCCGATTTTCTGGCGTGGTTTCCCCTTGTCAGTGATGCAGGACGGAGGGCCTGACAAGGACAGCTGTCTAGTCATTCGGATGGGACGGAAAACAGGTCCTGTGTACACATTGGCGTGCACGTAAAAGATCCCTTGGCAGTTGGAATTCTATATAAGAGTAGGCCGCTGCCCAGGCAAAATTTCCCTCAAAGCACACTGTATGGCACATGCCCGTCTTCATTTGTCCAGGTTAGGAGCAGAACAGTAGAACGTTAAACCCCATTTCATTTCATTTCATTTCATTTCTTATCCACGATCTCCAGTAGAGGGTGGGAAACAAAATTTGAAAGTTTGTTAGATATATATTTAAGTCGAATGCAAGCTTGGCTTGAAAATTTTATAAAGAATTATTAAATATTTTTAAAAAATAGATACATGTAAAATATTGTTATATTATAGCTTAATTAAAAAATATATTCTGATTTATAACAATTATAACAATTTCATTATTTAGGGTCAAAATAATGCCGCAGATAAACTTCAGAGAAGAACTCTTCATTTAGAAGAGTTAGCTTTGGGTCCAGAATCACCAGATTTGGCTCGAACTTTAAATGAACTAGGCGTTTTGTATTATTTGCAAAATGATTGGGAGTAAGTTTTTTTCCTAAATTTTCACATAGAATTTTGAAATTTCAATTAGAATTCATGAAAAATATCAGATTTGTGGCTGTCTATAAACAGGTACACTTTGAACAAAAATGATTATTATTAAAATATTGGGCTATATCTTCTGTTATTCAAATGTGCAGATATCTTCCATATCTAATTTTCTTTTAGAACATCAGAGTCATTTTTTAAGAGATCAATAGAGATGAGGGAGAATTTATTGGGTAAAGATCATCTGGACTTGGCCCAATCATTAAATAATCTAGCTGCTTTATATAATGATAAAAAAATCTTTGATAAAGCTGAACCTTTGTATGAACGAGCTCTACAAATACGACTCAAGGTGAGTTTGTGTGTTTAATTAAAATACCACAATTAAATGATATCGCATACATTCCGGGAAAATGCCTACGATCTTCTTCAAAACAACTCTTAATAGTACCATTGATGAGCTTAGAAATGACCAAACGCTAATTCCAGTACTCTTCAGCTCACTACCCCTTCATCTAAAATAATCAAAGTTTGTCTGCATTTTCAAAACAAGATTGAAAACTCACCTGTTCATACAACACTATTGATGTAATGGAACCAAAATGTATAACTTTGCAAGTGCATTTGAAACTCCTAATACAAGTATTGATTGTGTGCTATACAAATTAAGATGTTATGTTAGAGTGTTTCATTTGGTTTTCAACTTGCTTTTAGCTTGGTTAATATTGAAAAACTTCACATTGGCTTTCTTTGACTATTTTTACAGCATTTAAGTCCTGATTCAGCTGGGGTGTCTGGTATTGTTCGTCATTTGTCCATGTTATACAGAAAACAGGTATATATATGCTTATGTAAAAACAAACAAAACAATAATGCATGGAAGATGATGTTATTTAAAAAAAAGATTCTGAAATTCAAAAAGGACGCACTTAGTTAGCTGTGAACTGTGCGGGTTACAGATTAAAACCCTTAGACCTGTAAGAATACATTGAAAATGACCTTTGTTATTGAGTTATTCACCCTATATATATATATATATATACAGCATTCAATTCTTGAGAAATTTTCAGCAATTTTCATGAATAGTTAAAATGGCATTGTAAACATTGTCAATGTGGAAAGTTTGATGATGGACAGGGGAATTTATATTATATAAAATATCATTGTTGAGTTTCTAGCAAATATGAATTATTGTAGCCCAAAATGGAAATTTCTTGGATTCTGATTGGTCGAACAGCGGCGTTGAAAGAGTATAACAGTCCTCTAAATTTCCTGGGCAACTAACTGCGAATCAATTAAATATTTCCTGGGTATTATTAGATTCACTTTGTAGTGGCCAAAAATTCTACACCTCAAAACTTTATTCTAGACTAGGAAATCTTACTTGTATGTCATCAACAATGAAATTCAACTATTGGCTTACTGAAACACACACCTAAAACACAAAAATTCAAAATTAGTGAGTGTATTTAAAAGATAATAATAAGTAAATTTCATTTCAATTCTGGTCTGACAATAATGGTTGCTATGGCGATTCTCACATTCTGTCACAATCAGACTGGTTAAATTAAACTCCCTAATATGCAATTTATTTGGAACCTATTCACTGCTGGAGTTCAAAATCAATTAAAAAGTACATAAAACACTTACGTACATTATCTGTTCCCATGATCAAAATTAACGCAGATTGGCCTCCCTTTTCGAACAGACCGCATTGTCCAGTCACTTAGTAATTCAAATCAAACATGTCATTTTTTTGTTCATAGGCAGCGCTCGATTGCTACGCAATCTCAGTCTCTATTGATTTAAGTGGTATCCAATGGACAATAACAGTCCTCTAAATTCTAAACAGTTGGTGTTTATCTCCTAATTATTTCACAACTTCCAGAATATTTATCTGATGGTATAATCTTACCTTTTAGAATAAATTTGATAAAGCTGAACCTCTATATAAACAAGCTGTAGATATTAGAGAGAAAAGTTTTGGTGCTAATCATCCATCTGTAGCTACAGCATTAGTTAATCTAGCTGTATTATACTCACAACAGGTAATACTGGGGTCCTTCCCTCATTTTTCCCTTACATCAGCCCAGACCAAAATGCATGTTCTATCTATTGTAGTTCAGCCTTTAGACCTTCGGTAAAGTTCACATCACATTCAATTGATTTTACACCACCCTGTTTATCCTCTTAGAAACGTGACAGATATACCTGATTTTAATCATGTTCAAGATGGTACCTGACCTATGTTTTTTTTTATTTTTAATCATCAAGTTTACTATCTAAAGAACCCTTTCAACTCTTATTCTTTTGTTAAGTTTAAATAAGAAAAATGACTACTGGCCTGTTGGTATATTACAGTTTTATGTATTAAGATAATTCTTTCAATTAATTACATTTTATTTCTAGTACAGCCGTTTTATAGGTAACAAAAAACAGTATCATTTTAAAATATCAAAATAAATGAATTCCTTTGATATTTACAATTTTCTTATGTTTATATTTTATTTTAGAATAAATACTCTGATGCAGAACCAGCATATGAAAGGGCTTTAAAGATCTATGAAGAGAGTCTTGGTCCGCATCATGCCCGGGTTGCAGAAACATTACGTAATCTTGCTGTAATGAAATATGAACAGGTGATTAGATTAGAATGGTTTTTACCATGACATGAACACAGACTTATTATGTCCCCATTGAGTATGCTAGTAGGCAAATATGACAGTAGGTGATATGACATTGAAAAGACCAGAACACAAAAATACCACACTGGTCATGATTGTTAGGAATTTAAATACTGATTAACTAAATACATGTTTTGCTGATAAAGATGGGGTACAGTATACACTGCTATATACACCACGGGAGAAGAGACTGACTAGTCAGAAACAATCCAGCTCCCAGAAACAATGCATTTTTACACATAACTATACAGAAATGTATAAATTTTAAGAATGAGTTCGCGAGAGAATCATGCAAAATTTTAAAAAAGCGGCACAAGCGGTGTCGGGCGATTTTGACTAAACTTTGCAGATTTGGTCATTGGGTACCCCGTATACCCCACGTGAAATATGAGGGTCACCAACCTTGTAGTTACGGAGAACCAGCTATGGCCATTTTAGTGTTAAAAACCGGTCATTTTTTATAAAAAAAATTCCTTAAATTCAAATATTTCCCATAAATTGTCTATTGATTTTTTATTTTTTTAAGTTATTTTTTATGAATGATCATGTCTACTACTTCAATATATATGACTATTAAATTTTTCTGACAACCATTTCAGGCCATGAGGAATTTATTTTGAGACGTAGTTTTTGCTATATGCTAAAACATATAAATTTCATGATGCTATATCTCACCCACTGCGGGACTGAGGACAATTATATTTATAATGGAAGTTGATGACTACTAATATTTGGTTTTGACAAAATGACTGGCAGGGATTTCTTTCATATTAAATTTGATGGTCGAACTTGAAGAAAATGACTTCATTTTTGACATCATTTTTCCAATAAAGTCATCCATTGCCTGGATTATTAGGCCTGATAATGCCCCATGCAACTGCCTGCCAGCAACCCTGTGTAGGGCCGGTACAGATGATTCTTGAGTTCCACAAGGATCAGTCCTTGGGCCTATCCTTTATGTAATGTATACTAAGAAATTGGAACAACTAATCGATAAGCGTGGTTTCTAGGACGGCATTCTTATGCAGATGATACACAGCTGATCGCAAGTTATTCCCTTTCAAAAACTGTTCCATTCCCTAATTATTCTGACATCAAATTGTGTACACATGACATTAAAGATAGCATGACAAGAAATATGTTGAAATTAAATTTAATTGAATTAAGTAAATCAGAATGTATTTTATGTGGTCAAAATACACATCTGAAAAATACAAGTTCAAATGATGTGGTTGTACGAGATGTAATATCTGTACCATGAGACACTGTGAAGAGGTTAGGTGTCCTCTTGGGGTCCAATTTGAGCATGGACAGTTACATTAGTGAAAATTGGCCATATAAACACTTTATTAGCCAGGAAGCAGCGGCTACACTTATATGTTCTTTGGTATTCTCAAGGATTGACTACTGTAACAGCTTGTTAGTAGGAACATCTAGTGCCAATATTAAAAAAACATCAACTTGCAGAAAATACTGCAGCTCGAATTCTTACCAGATCACCAAAACACTCTCATATTACTCCTGTTCTGAAATCAATCTATTGGCTGCCATTCATCTTCAAAAGTCTATCTTTGACGTATCAGTGTGTGAATGGCTTAGCTCAAATATACTTATCTAACTTTATGCACATACAAATTCCCTCGAGTAACCTCCGGCCGAACACACATTCATCACATTCATCAGGTGGAAGTTAATATCATTTGGATACGGATCATGCTCAGTGATTGCGCCTAAACTTCGTAACAATCTTCCAGAGATCATTAAATCATCTCAAACCCTTTCTTATTTTACATCAAGACTTATCAAGATTAATTAAATTAATTTAATTGTATGCGCAGTGGACATTCTTCTGTACATGGAGTACGTGTGCTATATAAATGTACATATTAATAATATTATTATTATTCGTCAGGCCGAAGTTAGATTTGCACTTTCGTTTAATCTGGGGTCTTCCCTAAACTTTTGGACAATGATTTAAGGTATCAAAAACGGTGAAAGTATTGTTCGTCTCTAAACAGTATTGTTTACATTGTAACCTTGTTGATAGCCTTGTTTGTCACGCAATTAGTTTTTCTGCAATATTCTGCTATGCACTGGTTAATTGGGCGTAATAAATTTCGTGAATCATGACGTAACGTTTTGTTAACATATTTGAAACTCTGTTTAAACCAGAATTATATTGTTACACAGTTAGGTATTGGTTGTTAATCGGACTATTGACCAATCATAATTTGGAACAGAAATTTGCTTTCATTACGGCAGTGTTGAGTGGGATTAGGTCTAATCAAATGAAACACTGCGGGGAGTATGCTAAAATAGTGACCTTACGCTCATATACAATTTGTTTTTTGTCTTTTTGAAATATCGCTTGATTCGTTTGTAAAGTATAGACAGATATATATATATATATATATATATATGACTACTACACTATTTAGTTTTTACGATTTGCTGTTCAAAAATTCATCATCCTTCTACTAGATCATAAGGTTATATTGGCGAATTAATAAAATGTTGACAAATAGTCTAGAGAGATTAATTGTATTTACCAATAACAGCTCTTTTGGCATTTACAGTAAATTAAGCTTTTCAAACTTCATCGTTTGAAAATTTTAACGGTGTAATTGTGAGCTCCGTTTTCTTGATTAGATACTTATTGGATAGATAGATAAATAGATAGATAGCGCTAGATAGATAGATAGATAGTAATAAGTATTAACATATAGATAGTAATAAGTATTAACATATAGATAGTAATAAGTATTAACATTTGTAGTTTTGATAATGGAACATTTTTTAAACTTGAATTTTTTGATGAAAGTATATAATCTGCGTTTATATTTATTTGTTTATTTCTATTTTTATTATGGCTTGCTCTTAACGGAACTTGAAACGACGTTAATTTGGTTTCAAGTTCCATGTTACGCCTTTGAGTGTGTAAATAAAGCGGTTTATTTTTCGCCATTTTTGTTAATAATCGTTATTTTTGTACAAAAATGGAAATTATTTACTACTAAACGGGACGAGTGCCACCCAATTTTTTTCTTGATCTTAATACTATAGATCATTGTCTTTTTAGTCAGCTTTCCAAAAAAATACTTAAACCCGCAGTGGGTGAGATATAGATAGAATAAAATGACATACGTAAATTGAGCTATTTTGGTACTTTGCAGCAATAAGTCCCTATACCAAAAACCGCTCCATGAAAATCCATCAAACTTTCAGAATTTATACTCACTAACCATATCTGCTACGCTATAAAGTTTCATTAATCTACTCGCCGTAGTTTAGTTGTACGAAATAATTGAAAAGTGGCCTGAATATGATGATTTTTTGGCTTATTGCGGTCTTAAAATTTCAATTTTTTTTCTACGCTCTAAAAATGGCTTGATTGATCTAAAATTGTGGCAGTGGCGTTTGGAGGGGTTACCCATCATACATAAAAAAAATGGTGAAAATCGGTCACCCACCATGTGCCGGTCACTGCATGGTTCTCTCGCAAACGCATTCTTAGACATATTTTTTGTGCTGGTCTTCTGAGTTTGAACATGTTGCAAGCAGACAAAAAATATTAATAAATTTTTATCAAAAATGTGACCTCTTGCCGTTAAAGGAGAAGTCCACTAATTGCACATAAGGAAAGGACATCACAGGATATTTTTTAAGAAATATTCTTTAGCAAGATTAAAGAAGAAACCCTATGCAAGCTGCGCATCGATTCTACTAAATGTTTTTATACGCCCACATTTTTATGTGGACATATATTGTGGTCGATCGACCCTGTCCATCTTGACGTCCGTCCACAATTTGTTTGTGGACAGTCTACAGGTCACGATTTTAACGAAACTTGAAATATAGGTTTATCTCCCAAAGATCTTGGTTCCTTTTGATATTGGCACGTATCAGATAGTAATTTCATTGATTATGTCCCTGATTGTACGAAAAATCATGTTTTTAGCTTGTGGACACTAGGTCATAATTTCTATCTGATTTTGATGAAACTCTAAATGTATGTTTATAACCTAAAGATCAACGATCCTTTCAATATTCGCACACCTTGAACCGTAACTTCCTGGATTGTGGACCCTGATTGTACGAGAAATCAATTTAACCAATTTAAATTTAAAAAACGTTTGAATATATCACCGTTACACCATAATGATGGTGGAGTTTGAATTTCGTGAATATCGGACCGAAACAGATGGACAAAATGTCCGCTCCATGTATGCAAATAGTGTTAAAGTATGTAATATCAAGGTTGTGGGCCCTCTAGAGGTCACAATTTTGATCTGATTGTGATGAAACTTTAAAAGATGTGTTAATATCACAAAGATCTTGGTTCCTTTTGATATTCGCGCATATCGGACCGTAACTTCCTGGATTATGGTCCCTGATTGTACGAAAAAATTGTGATGTTAGCTTGTGGACCCTCTAGAAGTCACAATTTTTATCCAATTTTAAAAATTGTTTAAATATATCAAATTTCAAATTTCGTAAAAATCGGATCAAAACTGTCCAGCAAAATGGCCGCTCCTTGAACGCAGATAGTGTAAAACTGTATACCAAGGTTGTGGACCCTCTAGAGGTTACAATTTTTAGCCGATTTTGATGAAAATTAAAGTGTATGTTTATATCCCAAAGATTTCGGTTCCTGTCGATATTCGCGCATATCAGACCATAACTTTGTGGATTATGGCCCCTGATTGTACGAAAAATCACATTTTAAGCTTGTGGACCCTCTAGAGGTCACAATTTTTATCCGATTTAAAAACCGTTTAAATATTTCACCGTTGGACCGTAACGAAGGTCGTGGTCAAATTTCAGGAAAATCAAAGCGAAATTGCTCAACAAAATGGCGTTGTGAACCATGTCGAGGTCACAATTTTTGTCTTTCGTTATTCGTGCATTTCAGACCATTACTTACTGGATTATGGCCCCTGATTTTTCTCTATCCATCTCTTGCAAAATGTGGGCATATCTTGCATGGCAACCGCTTGTTGTCTTGTACTATTGTATAAGATTCTCTGTTTTGGTATTTGCAGAAAGATTTTGAAACTGCTGCTAAATTATATAAACGATCAACAGAAATAAAAGAGAATGAAGCCACGTATACCAGTAAGGTTCTCTCTAGACGTAGTTCAAGTGGTGATACAAACACAACTATTAAAAATATCCTACAAACATAGAATGGTGCTGAAACAAGGAATGTGGCGTGGAGATATCACAGTGTAATAAACCACAGTAATTATCAGCCATAAATAGTGTTTTATTTTCCAATTACTAAATGCCATTCAAAGAATATGCAAGTCATGTGTTCAATTCTCGATTGTATGTGACCTGTCTACAAACATTTTTCTTTCAAAAGTTATAATTTAAGGTTATAGTGAATATAGAGCTGGATTTATATATTTTATAAATAATATGTCTCAACATCTGTGCAAAGAATTGATTTGTTATTCATCATTTAATTTTACCCTGATTTTTCCACTTTGTGCATTATTTTAAAAATTTTACATCTGCATCAAGTTCTCAAACCTGTCCATTCGTCTACAGTTTCTTGTAAACATGATAAAGTCTACATTGTTCATCAAGTTGTATTGGAACTTGGTATGGAATTTGAACAAGCTTTATCAAAATTAGTTGTCAAGTGATTGCCCTTAACATAGTAAAATCAGCTTATCAAATCACTCTCCTAATATTCAAATACTTGCTGTTGCTATGAAAAGATAAAACATGAAAGGAGTCACTTTTGGACTTCTGGCGTTACTGAAACTTTCAAGTGATATTGTTTGGTATATGCCATGGTAGCTCTAATGTAAATAGACTAGTCATATTGAGCTTTGTAAGTTTGTTTCTTTTATTTTATATGTATGCAATATCTGTGATAAACTTTATTGTTATATATATTTTGAACATGTTGGAAGTCCTGGGCAGTCTAAAATCTGCTTTATATATCCGTCCATAAATTTAAATATCCCTTTTGTTTAAGATTGTTTTTAAGTATACATTTTGTTGCTTTTCTTTTCATTTTTATTTTTTAATGGAATCACTGTTGTTTTTATACGCCCACATTTTCATGTGGACGTATTATGCCGTTGCCCCTGTCCGTCCGGACATCCGTCGGTCCGTCCACAATTGTTTGTGGACTCTCTACAGGTCACAATTCTTATCCGATTTTGATGAAACTTGAAATATAGGTTTATCCCCAAAAGATCTCGGCTGCTTTCGATATTGGCATGTATCGGATCGAAACTTCATGGATTCTGGCCCTTGATTGTACGAAAAATCACGTTTTTAGCTTGTGGACCCTATAGAGGTCCCAATTTTTATCCGATTTATTTGAAACTTGAAATGTAAGTTTATAACCCAAAGATCTCGGTTCCTTTCGATATTCGTGCATATCGGACCGTAACTTCCTGAATTATGGCCCCTGATTGTACGAAAAATCATGTTTTTAGCTTGTGGACCCTATAGAGGTCATAATTTTTATCTGATTTAAAAAACCATATTATTATATAACCGTTACACCCTAAGAAAGGTTGAGTTCGAATTTCGTGAAAATCGGCCCAAAATTGACAGACAAAATGGCCGCCGTTCGTTCTCAAATAGCGTAAAAATATGGTATATCAAGGTTGTGGACCCTATAGAGGTCACAATTTTTATCCGATTTATTTGAAACTTGAAATGTAAGTTTATAACCCAACGATCTCGGTTCCTTTCAATATTCGCGCATATCAGACCGTAACTTCCTGAATTATGGCCCCTGATTGTACGAAAAATCGCGTTTTTAGCTTGTGGACCCTATAGAGGTCATAATTTTTATCCGATTTAAAAAAACGTATTATTATATAACCGTTACACCCTAAGGAAGGTTGAGATCGAATTTCGTTAAAATCGGCCCAAAATTGACAGACAAAATGGCCGCCGTTCGTTCTCAAATAGCATAAAAATATGGTATATCAAGGTTGTGGACCCTATAGAGTTCACAATTTTTATCCGATTTTGTTAAAGCTTGAAATGTAAGTTTATAACACAAAGATCTCAGTTCCTTTCGATATTCGTGCATATTGAATTGTAATTTCCTGAATTATGGCCCTTGATAGTAGGAAAAATCACTTTCTTGTTAGCTTGTTCTCTATCCATCTCTCGAAAATGTGGGCGTATCCTGCCTGGCAGCCGCTGGTTATGATATTTTAGTACGTTTTCTGTAAACTATACATTTTCTGGTATATAGAAAAAAAAACCCTACAAAAATGTTTTTCTCAGATGCCATATACAGGCATAGATTTGGTTTGTGAGAAAACATTACTGGTACAGTACCTTAAGGTATATTAGCTAAAGAAGCACTTTGTGTCTAACATGAACAACTACATTTTAGGCATTCCTTGATGTCATATTATCTAATGAAACTGTTGGTTCTGTTGTTCACTATGCGACTTTAAAATTTGAAATAAAATGTTTTATTTGACATGATTGGCAAAACCGATGATTTAGAGTAAAACCATTGCAGGGAAGTACTCTGCAATTGGTTGAAATATCGCATTGTGTCCTATCAGACAAGTCAACCATTTAAATTTGGTCACATATTGTTACATGGGTTAGTGACATATTAATAGTTTGCTGCAAGGAAAGAATGATATGCAGAAAGAGTGGTTGTAAATTTATATATGTTAATATAAACTTATTGATTTTTTTATAACTGAAATCATGGTACTAATATTGTATATAAAAATAATCAAAAGAGAGTATTATCTATACAATAAACATATCCTGAGATTTTTCATTAGAACCCGCGACGCTAACCCATCTTGGGTTCTAATGATCTCAGGACATGTCTATTGCACAATAACACCCCTGTAAATGCGAAACAGGAAGTGTTTATCTCATAATTATATCATTGTCTATAATATTTACACCTCTTACAATGAAACTTAAAATGTCCCTTACATACTGCTGTTACTTAACTTTTGCTAAATCTATTTACAGTTTTATTTTGTGTAAATGTTGTATAAATTTTAATAACAGTTTTACACTGTTCAGCCCATGGTGCTTATTTTATGTGTGAGAGCTTATAAAATGTCCATATATGAGATAACATGTCCAGTCGTATGGTTCGTATTTAAATTATGTTTAATTTTAATCTTGGAAGAAAGAAATATCTCCATTAATCTGTTTTTGTAGTGTGCATCATCATTGCTCTTTTCTAGTCATATATATATTTTTTTTGTCCCTCGTCTTTCGAAGTGTCACCAAGAATCTGTTTTTCTGTAAAGTTGATTAAAATTGCTTTTTCTAGTCATATATCTTATTTTTTTTATCATGAATAGTCACGGCCATTTCTTGGGGAACAAGGTTTGACGATGGTTTCTAATAGAAGGTACCCAAGGAGAGTCGAAAATCCAAAATGGCGGCCAAAAATGGTCTGAAATTGACCTTAACAAACATTATTGGCGAAAATGTGCTCTATCAAGGCGTTGTTTCACCGAAACTATGGGATCCAGCAATTGCATTGGATAAGTAACATTCATGACAATAATAGTTATCAAAATTATCCAATTACTCTCAAACAAACTCTTGTCTTTATCATCTTAGGGTGATCCTTAGTTACTATACTTGTAACGTTAAACTGTGTGTTGAACGTTACAATTGATACAGTCTAAGAATCCTTACGCAAGTTCAAATAGGTTCAAACCCACAATTGTCAACACATATCATTACAGTTTGTATTGGAATAAGTAATTCTATGACAAATAGTGAAGACTGGGCCACTAAACAGTTTTTCTTTGTGGTTATGCGTTCTACATTTGCATAGCGGTGTTTCTTGTGATGACGTATTACACACAAGCGGCCATGACACCAGCCTGTTGAAATTAACGTGTCATATTGCGGCGGAAGCAATTCTTGATTGAGGGGGCTTTCATCTAGGTCCTTATAGGCGTGGGTCCAGGGGCCGCAATAACCTGGAGAAAAGAGTACTTGCGGCAAAATTGATTGGAGCCCCCCCCCCCCCCCCACTCCGCCGGACCTGTATATATTTTATATATTGAATTATAATGTATTATGGTAGCTGAAATATGTGCAGGATAAGATTCCTGGATGTCTGGAATAATTTATAGTTGTTATTATTACATGACTTATAATGTATAGGTCTGTAGTCGCGAAAATACTTAATTTTTGTATGCTACCTCCTTTCACATTTGTTCTATCAGCTTGGAAATTGCATATTCGCGTTTCTCGTCCCCCACAAGCCCTGAAACGACACGCGCATGTTAAAATTGGTATTGAAAGAATATTTTTCAAGCGAATGTCTGTCGCCATTTGGGATTTTGGTGGCCATATTGAATCAACCGTTTGTGAAATGAATCGCAAACTGTCCAAAATGAGTGCCCAACAAAACTTATAAATAGAGGATATTTGTCGTTTTAGAGTGAATAACATATTTTATTTCATCGAGAAGCAAGAAAACTTATATTTTCACGAATGCGTAGCATGAGTGAAAATATAAACGTTTTCTTGCTTAGAGATGAAATAAAATATGTTATTCACGACAAAACGACAAATGTTCTATTTATTTTATGATTTTACAATCATTTTAGGCAAAAACAACATGGACTACTGCTAGCCAGTGGAATAACACTTTTATTTCACTGATAAAACGCGGTATTCAACTACTGATCATAAAATAAAATGATATATTACACGGCGGTGATTTCGCCAATTATGTTTGTCACGGTTAATTTCAGAACATTTTTGGCCGTCATGTTGGATTGTCGGCTCTCCTGGAGATAGCCCATATATTTCAGGGGTAGCATTCTAGAACTGTTCAGGTTATCCTGCAAATAAACCCTATTGAAATTCGGTGTCACAAAAACAGTTTCACGGACATTTTATAAACATCTTGTCACAAATAACAGCTTGTCCTGCAGGTAAACCCTACTGAAATTTGGTGTCACAAATAACAGTTTCACTGAAACTTTATAAACATCTTGAAGAACAGAGTACCCTTTCTAGCAGCTTATATATATTTTATAAATTTGATAGTTCAGTTTCCTGGCTGTTGTTTTAAAAAAAAGAACAGAGAATCAGCTAAAAACGGAATGTGGAGATTTATTTTATACTTTTGTAACTTTTATGCTGGTTAATTTGATACCATAGTGGGAACACACTCACCCATACACACAGACATCTTTGATTTTATTTATATATATTTGTCATTTTAGACATAATGTTATTGCACTGATTTACGAATTGAACAACAACTGTCACGTTTTTTGTCCATATTCAAGCGAATTATTTTTCTCATGGCCGATAGGGATTTGGGGAAAGCTAATGCTATCTCTTGTTCAAAAAAAATAATCTGTTTGGTTTAGGATGAAGCGATGACACTTTCTGGTGTTTAGTCTGTACACAATGATTGGTTGAAGTTTTTAAAACTCCAATAAATTCATCATCTTTATAGAACTTGATAAAGCTTGGGCAGAGAATTCAATGTGCATGTCCATATACAAATAACATAAGATAAAACAAAAAGCCTTTGCTTCATGGCCAATATTCGGATCTCAAAAAGGGACGACTAATATTTCTTGAGATTCGTAGATTGAATTACATTATTGTCATAGTTATAACCATATTGACAAAGACGATGTATTGTAATTGTCTGAATCTGTCTTCGGGTCAGGTACAGTTTTGGTCACTTTCTTGCCTTTACAATGTAAATAAGAATAAGCATAAAGACCACGAACTCGGTTGTCTTCGCCGACAGCTATAACGGCACCACCACTCGAGCCACCACAGGTTGGAGCAGAATGTTGTAAGACAACACCTTCGTCTTCCTTTTTTTCTACAACGATTTTTTGTCCAATCGTCACCATTTTTGGTCCGCCATGTGGATGTGTGATCGCGATTGGCAACGCCAACTTCTGTTCATCAAAGTTCCAAAAATGTTGTTCTTTTTCCAGCTCGGCTTTGACCATATCAGGTACTGGATCAAGAGTTAAATAGACCCTGTCTGTGTCTGCTTCTAAAATGGATGAACATTTTGCATAAAGTCGTTCTCCATCATCAAATTCTCTAAAATAGATCGAAGCCCCTTTCACCAACTCCTCCGTCCAAGTTATTTCAGAAGATTGCCTCAACACGATTGAAAAATGATTATTATGAACGCAGGCTAAGCCACGAACGGAAGTCTCAGTCCCGTCATTCTTTTTAGTTTTAATTACAGCTCTGCACCGTCCTGAATCTGGCATAAAATCATGCTGAAAACCTGAAGGTATTTTCTGAAGAATAAGCATTGATTTATCTGTTTCTGCAAATGTGTGCATAAGGCCACTTGCCTTGGTTTGGATGGGAAATGAGTCTTCACTGTCATAATAAAATTCAACCAGACAGTTTTTAGCCTGTTGATCTGTCTCTACAACGTGATTATTGGTGTATATATAAAGTTTTCCTCGGTATTTCATCACAATTCCAGAACCAAATCGCATTGACCCATCTTCACATGTCACCGTTAATCTCACAACGCTGTTCCCAATGTCCTTAAGGTATCTGTACAATTTTTCCGTTCTGTAGTGTTCTGGTATATGATTGAGTTCAAACTCATCATACGGAATAAAGTTGTGATGGCCAGGATTTTTATCACAAGGAACTCCGCCGCCAAGAGAAGGAACTGCTTCGGTAGCTATCTCCACTTGAAGATCATAAACGGAGAATTGTTTATCGTCCTGGTGTTCCATTGTCCGTTGATCTCCTATATTACAAATAAAAAGGGAAAATATTAATGGACTGATTTATTATATATTCACAAGAAACCTTTTAAAATATTAGACGGTGTTGAATTTTTGCAAACACGTGTATCGGAGGCCGAAGAAACGATTCGGACTAGACGTTCCCCGTGCAACCTCCACTGTAAATTATCTATTTAAAAGGGTTTAATTAATATACTCTTTGGATAAACCCAACTACAGCAAAAATGAAACAATCTGCGCATTGCGTTTTGACAGGCGTGGGATGCTACACTTTCTGAATGATAATATAAGACATACAGTATATATAAGGTTCAGAAAAGTAGGACATACCACCATTTCATTCACTACAGTGTAAGACGGTCTGTATTGGACTGTATTGTAAAATACGCGTAGCCTACCTAATTATGTGAAATAAAGTTACTCTCCATTTCTCTGATCAATGAACAATAACCTTGATGATTGGTCTGAATTTTGAAAGACAATTGTTTTACGTGAATGTGTGAACAGTTCTGCTCCGATTGGGCTAATGAAGACTGGTATCAATACGTCAGCTCTTTGAATGTATTATTGATCCACATGTACTCAGAAGTCTATATATATATATATATATATAGTCCAATATGTTTACATTATATAGAACAATAGAAATTGTTTACCTGATAATATTTTTTTTATAAGTATATAGATATAGCTAGCGGATAATGTACATGTTATTGTTTAGGTCAATATAAATATTACTTACTTGATTTATTAGCCAAATTATATTCTTCTGTGGTTTGTTTTTCACCAAAGTTGTAGGCCTATATATCGTAGAAGTATGTTGACGTCATTTGGTACAAATGAGCGTGTATAACCGGTCATGGCTATATTTAGTAGTTTACTTACATATATATTCGCGTGGGGAAAAACATTCTTAACTACTGAAGCATATCGTTGAATGTTGTGCCATTATCAAACCTGTTTGAGGTAAATGTGTATATACATACTGAAATGATTATCATACTTTTTGTCCTGTTAGTAAATGTACCTATAGATTAAAATTATCATTTGTCTTGTCTGTGAATATATATATTATATATTATTTGTCATATTGTTATAACTTTATGTACATGTTTATATTGTATGCTGTCCTCAGTGGATGTTTCGATACAATAAAATCTTATCTTATCTTATCAGTCCAAATAAGAGGATAACGGGCGTCGTGATATACGTATTAATCAGACGGGGATTTCTAAGGTTATTTATATCAACCAACACTTAGTTTACCCATTATACCTACTGAATCATGTCAGTAATTCAAAGAATTAGATAAGGGTGTGTGAGATACGAATTAGTTTGTTAATCTGACGGAAATCCCAAGGATATTTATGTCAACGGCATTCATTCCCCGATAATTCGGTAATTTTCGTCGTTTCATCTTTGATTTTGAGCTATGCAGCCTAATATTGCCGAGTTTTCTAATGAATCTGTCAGATTGAAATCAACAAAACAATGAAAAGTTTATTTTTATGTGTAAAATACCTGCTCGTATTGGACCATAATGCTGAGCGTACTATCCTCCCGGACAATGATAATGACACTGAACTTGCAAATTTATTCTCTGATTTCTTTCAAATAAAAATACAGAAAATACGAACTGAACTTGATGATTTAAATAAAACTATTGACTTTAACGCTTATGATTTTGATAAGTTAGAAAATTCTGTTTATTTAGAAAATTTTAACTTGGTTAGTGAATCTTTTGTTTTAAAGCTAATTAAATCGTCTGCTCCTAAATCTTGTTCATTAGATCCTGTTCCGACTTCTGTTCTTAAGGACTGTCTAGACGAAGTTATTCCAGTTTTTACCAATATTATTAATTCTTGTATATCATCCGCTACTATTCCCGTTTTCAAACGAGCTTATGTTACCCCGTTAATTAAAAAGTCTACACTAGATCCTAATGTTTTTAAAAATTACAGGCCAGTCTCTAACTTAAGTTTTATTTCTAAAATATTGGAGAAATGTATTGCTTCTCAGATAAAGGCCCATCTAGATGATAACTGTTTGTATGAACCATTTCAAAGTGCTTATAAACAATTTCACAGTACCGAAACATCTTTAACCCGGGTTTCAAATGATATTTTAATGGAAATTGATAATAGAAAATGTACATTTTTAATTTTATTAGATTTATCTGCTGCTTTCGACACGGTGGACCCTTCCGTTCTTCTACGTAGACTTCAATTTAAATTCGGTATTTGTGGCTCTGCATTAAATCTTTTAGAGAGCTATCTTGTGGGTAGGAAACAGTGTATTTTAGTTAATTGCAAATCGTCGTCTGAATCTGTTTTGTCACCTGGGGTTCCCCAAGGTTCTGTTCTTGGTCCGATTTTATTTACCCTCTATACGTCACCATTAGGAGATATTGTCAGAAAATATGGTCTCAGCTTTCATTTGTATGCCGATGATACTCAATTATATATTTCATTTACACCTAATTGTCCATCTTCTTTCAATTTATCAAAATTGCAACTTGAGAACTGTATTAGTGAAATTAGAAAATGGATGTCAAAGAACTTTCTAAAATTGAATGATGATAAAACCGAATATTTGTTATTAGGCTCAAGGCATCAATTAAGTAAATCTGCACAAGATAACCCCCCTGTTGTAATTGGTAATTGTGATATATTTTCATCTTATTCTGCTCGTAATATTGGCGCTATCTTTGATAGTTTTATGCTTATGAGAGCTTAAGTAAATAATATTTGTAAATTGCGCTATTTTAATATTAGAAATATAGGTAAAATACGTAAATGTGTAACTGTAGAGGCCACTAAGTCACTTGTTAATTCTCTGGTCACTTCTCGATTAGATAACTTTAATTCACTTTTAGTTGGTTTACCTTTAAAGCTTATAGATAAATTACAAAAAGTACAGAATACTGCGGCTAGACTTGTTACTTTAACTAAGAAATGTGACCACATAACTCCTGTTTTATATAATTTACACTGGTTACCTGTTAAATATCGAACTGATTTTAAGATTTTATTACTTACTTTTAAATGTTTAAATAATTTAGCTCCTGTTTACCTCTCAGATCTTTTAGAACTTTATACACCTGGCCGAACATTACGTACATCAGATAAACTACTTTTAAAGCCCAAAACTGTTCAACTAGTCTCTTATGGTCAGCGCTCTTTTAGTTATCAAGCACCTGTTTTATGGAATAATCTACTATTTAGTTTAAGATGTTGTACATCTCTATATTCTTTTAAAAAACAACTTAAAACACATTTATTTAATCAGGCTTTTCACTGACTCTGTATACAATCGTTAACATGCCCATAATCTTGTTGTTTATGTGTGATTTACATTGTCACTTTGTAAAGTGCCCCTGAACATGTTATATGAAAGGGTCCACTATAAATATGCTGTAATAATAATAATAAATAATAATAACTAACGTCGAATTACCGATAATGGAAAACTTTTTTTTTTATTTGCCTTTGCCCACAATCCTATAAATTTCAATGTGACTTACCAAATGAAATTTTGGAAGATTGGGGAGAAACCTTAATAAGTGTCAGGTGGTGGTGGGGTTTGTGTATGGTGGTGGTGGGGTTTGTGTATGGGGGGGGGGGGCGCCCTTGAAGGTGATAAGAGAGTTGTATGAACGTGAACCAGAATAACCAGTATTTTTACAATAAATTTTCCAAATAACACCAAAATATGTGCATGTATTATTCCATCATCTGAAAATATCACAGATACATGATTGTCACTTTTTAATCTGCGTATTCAATCAGTTCTTTGGTTTTCTCATTTCCAGGTTCTTCTCTATCGTTCTTGGCGTGGTTTCTTTACACACTGAAATGTCAGTATTATAAAAGTCCCAATGCTAGGAAATAAATAATAAACACTTTACGGTATATAAAAAGATATACAAAGGCTATAGACTGCAAATAATAATAATAAGGATTCTTATATTGCGCTAAACTCCCGAACAAAGTGTCTGCTCAAAGCGCTAACAAAACTAAGTTCATCTGTATGAAGTTTTAAACAGGTATGTCTTTAAACGTGACTTAAATGTTGTTAGTGACGGGGCAGATTTGAGAGAAACGGGTAGTGAATTCCACTTAATTGCAGCTGCAACTTCCAAGGACTTGAATCCAAATGATTTCAATTTCCATGTAGGCACAACTAAGTTAAGTTGAGACTGAGATCTAAGATTTCTTGGTGGTTGGTAAAGTCTGAAAATATCATTCAAGTATGCGGGACCAGTTCCATTTAAACAACGATACACAATAGATAGAATTTTAAAGTCAATTCTTTCAGCGATACGGAGCCAATGAAGTGATTTTAATGCAGGGGTTATACTGGATCTAACAGGAGTTTTTGTGACTAGTCGAGCCGCTGAATTTTTAATTTTTTGCAGCCTTTGTAATAATTCGTTTGAGACGCCGAGGAGGAGACTGTTACAATAGTCTAGTCGTGAGAAAATTAGCGAGCGAGCAAGTGTAGCTGTGGCTTCGGTTGTGAGAAGATGACGAATACTACTAATGTTCTTTATATGATAGTAGCATGTTTTAGTAAGATGGTTCACATGACTAATCATGCTGTTGTTACTGTCTAAATAAACTCCAAGATTTTTTACTTTACTGGAGAGTTTGATCAAAGAATTTCCTACTTGAATGTTATCTATTTTTATTTTTGATATTCTTGATGGTGGTCCAATTAGAATAACTTCCGTTTTATCGTCATTTAATTTCAACTTGTTAAAAGACATCCATGATTTTATACTTGAGATACATGTTTCAATCTTCATAAGAAGATCATTGGATTGATTTGTTGCGGAAAAACTATCATATGATGTTAAATACTAAAATTTGTTATGATCTGTCCAAGTTGACTAGTATAGAGTGTGAATAAGATGGGGCCCAAAACGGATCCTTGAGGGACACCACATTGTAGGGTCACTGATGTTGAATAACTGTTTTTCACAATGACTGATTGACTTCTGTCTAGGAGATATGATGAAAACCACTTCAGCACAGTACCATCTAGTCCGAATTCGTCATGGAGACGGTTTATCAATACAGTTGGATCAAGCGTGTCGAACGCAGCAGAAAGATCAAGCAAAACCAATAAGGCAACATTGCCATTATCTACATTAGTGTTAATGTCATTCAAAACACAATTTAATGCTGTTTCTGTTCCGTGAAAAGGCTTGTAGGCAGACTGGAACTTGTATAACAAATCGTTATAGTTTAAATGTTCCATAAGCCGTTGTTTGACTGTTTTCTCTAGAATTTTGGACAAAAACGATAAATTTGAAACAAATCCAGATTTGACTTCTTCAGCAAGGGCTTTACGATTGCTGTTTTAAAAACAGTGGGCACGACACCAGACACAAGACTGACATTCACAATCTTCATAATGGTTGGTAGCAACGTATCTAGGAACTCAATTATGAGCTTTGTGGGAACAGAATCTAGTTGGCACCAAGTTGGTTTGGAATTGTGAATCAGTTTCAAGAGTTCAGCTTCATTGAAAGGGCGGAAAGTAAGCAAACAATCCCCATTGAAATTGCGGCCCTTATAATCAAAAGAGTTATTATCAAGGCTTTTTCTAAGGCTAACGATCTTATTGGTGAAGTATTCACTGAAATTATTAGCCAAATCTTCATCGTCTGAATTTTGTGGAAACACAACCTCTGTTTTGCGTCCCAAGAGACCAAACATTGCCGCGAACAGTGCTGTAGGATTGTTTACGTTAGAACAGATGAGATTATTGTGATACGAAGTTTTAGCTTTTCTAATAAGAAGGTTTGTGTCATTTCGGACTTTATTGTAGATTTGTCGGTGAATTTCAAGTTTGGTCTGTCGCCACTTCCGCTCTACTTTACGCCTTTTGATTTTGGCCAGGTGAATTTAACTTGAATACCAGGGGTTTGCTGGCTTGGGTTTCATTTGTTTCACTGAAACAGGAGCATGTTTATCTACCAAGTCGTCCACATTTTCCGGAGGATCAGTAAGGAGCACAGAATTTTCAACATCAGATTTAAAATCGTCTCTAGATAACTTTTTGATATTTCGACATTGGATGATTGTTGCTGCATTGGAGGGTTTAGGGAAAAGAAGTTCAAATGTGATGAAGAAATGGTCGGACATCTGTTTATCTTCAACGACAACATCCCTAATAATATTATCAGAATGTCTTGTAATAATCCAATCTAATGTGTGACCAGATTTATGTGTAGCGGATGGAATGTGTTGAATAAGATTGTTTGAATCCAACAGATCCATGACTTTTTTTTAGTAAAAGGCTTGTCTTGGCATTCATAATGAATATTGAAATCGCCTATTATGACAAGGTCACCCCTCTTTGTTTGACATTCGTCAAAAAGAGAAGACAAATCACCATAGCATATCGTATCAGTTAGTTTGTTGACCTTTGATGGTGGTGGTCTATATATAAATATCAATTGCAGAGTACGATTTCCAAGGACAAGTGAACGTTCAAGTATTTCTAGCGAGGGAAACCTAAATCGATCTGATTTTGTGAACTTGACGTCAAGATTATGTTTACGCAATACAGCGATACCACCTCCAGAAGAGCGTAGACGAGGTGCATGTTTGAAATTATATGATGGGGGGTGTAAGATCAGCAATTTTAGCTTCATCACCAGATTCATGTAACCATGATTCGGTAATAAAGAATAAATCAATATCATCCTCAATAATATTATCAGAGATTTCAGCAGTTTTGTTTCTGGCTGACTGAGCATTAAAGAGTCTTATTTTAATCACTTCAGATTTGGGTTTAGGATGAACTTGAATATGATTAGATTTAACAACACCTTTGTTGTGACCACAGTTAAATGAATCAGAGTTTCTGTTCATGATACTTTTAATCACTGATATTGGCTTTTGTTTTCTGCTACCCCCTCTTTTTCCCCTATTAGTTTTGACATGAGCACTAATATGTAATTCCTTTAGTTTGTTGAAAACTGTTTGATTAAGATAATAATGTGAGTTGAATTCTAACAACTCATCTCTTGAGTAAGAAAAACACATAACTACACTGATTTATTGTAAGGTTGAAAACTGGCCCCAAACAATATACTGAGATGAATTCACCAATATCCACAATAGAATTTCAGAAATCCACAGAATATGCATAATCCAAATGTTACATGGTTAAAATTGTCCATTCAAGCTATCTAGCCAGCGGTGGGCAATGCCCCCCCCCCCCCTGAAAAAATGTTTTGCCCCCCGAAAAAGAAATTGCTGACCATAGCTCTAAAATACCTACTGTAGACTGTGCCGCCCCCCCCCCCCCAAAAAAAACCCCAAAAAACTTCACTGCCCCTCCGCAGCAAGAAAGCTGGCTATACGGGCCTGCTGTGTGGTACCACATTTTGTTATATTTTGTAGATTTAGAATATTCATCAATTTACATAACGTGAAGGGTGGGTTGTATTACAGTTTTACATCGATTTTTAATGAACAAAGACTAACCACAATCAAATTAGTTCAATAAACATAAATAATATACTATTCAAAAAAAGTAGGGGATATTTGATTTTTAAGTGTTATTAAAGTCACCTAATGAAACTGAAGAAGAAAAAAATGACAAAATGAAATGAAGTTCACATTCATCGATTTATTCCAAATGATCGTTAGACTAAGTAAGGCACAGACTGACCATTATAAGGGTAAAATGATACCCGGGGTCAAACAGCAAAGTTACCACAGCATCACAACCAAGTCAGTAACGGGTAAATCCTCTTCTGTTTGCCAAACAAGCATTGATCCGACGTGGCATACTCCTAATGAGACGTCTAAGGTCATTTTGGTCCAGATTGTCCCATTCCTGTTGCAACGCAGCAGCAAGTTCTTGGACATTGGCAGGACGTTGTTGACGTTGACGTAACCTCTGTCCAAGCATGTCCCAGACATGCTCGATGGGGGAGAGGTCGGGACTCAGTGCTGGCCAAGGTAATGTGGTGATGTTCTGTTGTTGGAGGTAACCTGTAACGATCCTGGCCCTGTGACATCTTGCGTTGTCATCCTGGAAGATGAAACGGCGGCCATGACGTCGTGCGAACGGCACAACATGGACTGCCAAGATGTTGTCCCGGTAGTACTGACCTGTAACACGCCCTTCAACAACATGTAAAGCCGTTCTTCCAGCAACAGTGATGCCTCCCCACACCATAACAGAACCACCCCCAAATCGATCATGTCTGATGACGTTAACGTCTTGGAAGCGCTCGTTTCGACGACGCCACACCCTCCTACGTCTGTCCAAAAAATCAACAGTGAACCTTGACTCATCTGAAAACATCACATTGCTCCAGCGTCGATTATCCCAGTGTTGACGATCCCTACACCAACGACGTCTTGCCTGAATGTGATGATCTCTCAAACAAGGGATCACGCGAGGACGTCGGGCGCGAAGGTGACCCCTATGCAGTCGATTCCGAATCGTCTGGCCACTCACTCTCACACCAGTGTCTGTTTGAAGACGAGCGCTGATCTGATTTGCTGTGATGACACGATTTCTCAAGGCCAAGGTACGGATAAATCGATCCTGGGCTTGAGTTGTCGCCCTTGGTCGACCTGAGCGTGGTCTGTCCTGTACAGATTGTGTATCACGGTATCTGGACCATAGCCTGCTTATGACAGACTGAGAAACATTCATCGTCCGCGCCACAACCGCCTGTGTTGTGCCGGTCTGTAGCATGCCAAGGGCACGTAACCTTTCATTTTGGGTAAGCCGACGCATATCAAAATTTGTTTTCTGGTCACTAAAACAATTAAACTGATGTTTCCACCCTGGAATTCAATGCCACAATGACTGTAACATTCAAAGTCAGAGTCGTGCAAATCTTGGGTTGGACCCCCATGATGATCCCAAGCATCACCTGCATTCCATGCGGTAGCTATTGGTGCGTTTGGGCGTCACATGTAACTGGAAATGTGTCTTCTGTTAGGTTCTATAGTGACTTTTTTCGTAGTCATTTGCATATTTTAGTATTATGCCCCCAAAATCAAATATCCCCTACTTTTTTTGAATAGTATATATTGGTTGCATGGCCATGTCTTAGACATTATATATGCATTTGATATTAATTTTAATCTTTCCAGTATTTGAAAATAGTATAAAAATAAATTCGACCAAAAGATTGTGTTAGAAACCTTGGTGTATAATTGCGCTACATGGGCTACGTTTGAGCAAGAATTCTAATTCTATGGTTTGAGCCAAAAGATACAGACCGATGATGGAGATGAAGTTGTCGGCGGTTGGCGTCAGCAAATTAAAGCCACCACACCGTCACCGGAAATCGTACAAGCATGGCGAACAGCGCGGGAGACTGGTGTTTGATAGAGAGTGACCCAGGAGTTTTCACTGAATTAATTCGTGGGTTTGGTAAACCAAATATTTTATTTACAATGCATGAATATAAGGTTATAGCGGAAATAATTATGTTCGTATTATTTTACTGTTAAAAGACATAATCAGGTCAGGATGACGGTACTGTCAGATTAAATAAAGGGAAGTAACTGCAACAAAAAATGAAATTCAATTTTGCTGAGTGTGACTGAGATTGGATTTAAAACTTCACCTCAGCCCTTGGACATTGGAAATGGGGGATATAATTAGGGCAGATGTCCGTTGACTTGAAAATAAAACAATATCTACCGTTCCTGTCTTGCCCAACTATGAGGTAACTTGCAGTTGATAAGAGTTGAGATAATGCCGTTTTGATTCACAATCAGGTAGTCTACAACAATGTCAATAGCTAGCCAGATAGAACTCAACTACCCAATGGCCAATGGTATAATCTGTGGTCACTAAGGTGGAAGTGCATGTTAAATATAGTTGTTTCAGACTAGATAACAAACCTTAATCTCTCAACCCTCCGTGTTTCGAGATAAGAGATGAGGCCATTGCCTTCAATGTAGCACATGCAGAAGCGATTCGCACCCGGCATTTGTAAAGAAAATTGACAACACTTTTAATCAAAACAACGATTGGTTATTGTTATTTATAATATTTCTGCCACACCCAACTATAATTAAGCATATAGTCCTACCTGAAACGGGTACAAATCTCCTCTTTTTAAATCAAGCGACAGTAGATTGCTTTTCCCGACATTTTAAATTTACGTCTGTAACACATAAAGGGGGGCCTCCTGTGCAATAGCCAATCAAAGTACCCATCTGATCAGAGTTGCGCAGTAGGTATTACGGCTTAATTATGAACGTCCGAATCAATTTTGATAAAAACAACGCCTGATTTACATTTACTTTATTGTCAATATTTGCTGATAAATGAATGTTGTTTCAAGTGATTGGACTGCGTATGTGTAATAAGTACTAATAGTATAAAATTAACTTATTTTTAAGATGGTACATACATTAATAAAGAAATTGAGTTTGCCACTTGGAACTAATGGCATCCAATCGTAGCTAAAAACAAGCACATCAGTATATCTCAGCGTTTTTAGTTCCGTTCTCGTAGCTAGTTTCAGACATGCACAGTAGGTTAGGTTTATAGCAGTATGGCTGTGATATCACCTTGTGGAATTGGACATTAATCCCAAGAAACCAACTAAATTAAAGGAGGTTTATTAATGTCCTACTGTTATGCTCCAAACTGGGCTAATTATAATACAGTGTGCTATGAGGGAAATTTTGCCTACTCTTATATCGAATTCCAACTGTCAAGGGATCTTTACTTGCACGCCAATGTGTACACGGTACCTTGGTTTTTCATCCCATCAGAACGACTAGACAGCTGTCCTTGTTAGGCCCGCCGTCCTGAATCACTCCTGCGCAAGCACTAATCTTACTTATCGGTAAATAAAGATTTGTCTGCAATGTCATTCTGAGTGGAAGCGATTGTTAAATCCCCAATTAACAACAACAGTACACCCTCACTCATCTCCACACGCAGATGGTCGGGAGATGAAATAGGGCATTCCATTATGTAGTCTTACAAGATTTGGTCTTGTGGAAATGTATTTTATAGGTCTTCTTATTTAAAGTGGAGCTATTTTCAAATTGGTTAAAATCACAAGACCATTAAAATAATTGCTATAACTGCAGGACCCGAAGAAAACCCACAAGGTTGGACAGGCGACCCTACTCTTTGTCACGTACAGCCAGGGAATCAAAACCATGCCAGTTAACTCAATGACAGACCTTATGATACAGCGCACACACGCTAACCATTCTAATACTCGAAAAACTTAGTGCATATTACACATATCAATAACCCAGTCCGGTTATCCAAATAATTCCCACTTGTTAATATTATTTTAAACGACACAGTCAAATGGGTTGGGAGCCTTAGAGTCTGTGCGAGTAAGCATTTTTTAACAACAATTCTTTAGCCGTCTCTCTGTTCAGCATTATTGTAAGCATTTGCTCCGGTCATACAACACTGGGCCGGTCCATGCGAGACCCATTTTGTGCTCTGGTCCCCGACTGTATAAAGGGAACATCCACACAATCTTACTTAAACCTGAACTGAATGAAACTAGTCGCTTCATGAGAGAAATCTGGGACGGCTACTAATTCTATTTTAGTTCCATAAAATTTTCAGAAGCCCTATAGATTATTGCTTTCTACTTTTCTTCTAAATTTATAGTTACAGGCTAGAGGCAGAATGTATTAATGAACCTGCCAAAGGTCAAAAAAGAGATTTCTATTTACCGTACTTCAAAACTCAGCAAAAACAATTTTAAACCCTTAACCACTGAACTTTGTGTCATCTCTGATTGCTTAAAATCAATTTCATAGTAAAATATTCCCCAAATAAAAAACTTTCCTTTTGTGACATCCTTAATTTTTGGCATAAATTGATTGAGTGAATGAAAGTAATTAGAGTGTTGGCGAAGAAGCTCAGTGTGTAGAACAGATTGGTTTCATACATGACGTAATCACTGTCTGCTTTTAATTGAGGTAAAATGTTTGTTTAAACTTGATGTAGATGTTCATTAGGTGAATGTCTTGGCTGAGTTCAATGATTAACGTTTCAAGCTAAAGCTAAGTAGAGCTAAGCAATTTCATTGGTCAATGCTTATGGGACAAGATAACTTTGATTCTATCTGATAGAGACTGGAGTGATGAAACTTAGTGTATAGTTGATAATCAGTTTGATTGCTTGATACATTTGAAAAAAATAAATGCGATTAATTAATATGTGTCATCTATTTATTTTGGGATTTCAGCGGGGGACATCAGCTTCACTGTTGGCTTATTTATGTTCTACCATGTATATTTATTTAAAGGTTGTAAGGGTGTCCAAGTTGAAGAACTATGGAGTTTAGATGCTGAAAACTTCATTAATTTAAAGTAAGGAACACATACAGCCTACTATACATGTACATGTATCATTAGGTAGTCTTGAAGGAGCAGTGAAGTGGAAGTCAGATCACTGGATTTTTAACCAGAAAAAATCACCAGGTTCGAATCCTGAAGAATATGAACTAGGAATATTTAAAAATACCTCATGCAAGAGCTAAATCTGCCTATTGCAGGTCATTCTTCAGCCCTTAAATGTTGTATAAAGTATTAATTAGTCATTTATTAACATGACAAGACCATAATCAACTCTCGATGCCATCTATTGGGTAAGATTAAACAGATTTGAATCTGATCTGTGATTCAACGGCTGTTCATGATTAACCGTAAAAATAGGTAATCAAGACTTTGTTTTTTATCGTGACAATGGAGGTTATCATGTTTTTGAAATTCGGTTTTCTCGGCTCAGAGTGAAGTAATTTGATTGGAATTTTCAGCATATTCTCATTTCGTTATCAATTTTTTAACTATTATAGTTATAGCGAGAACTGTCAGTTCTTTGTCTAATCTTGCATAATGCCTCTTTAATGAACATAGTCAATTTTAGGCGTTCATATACAAAACATAAAGACATTTGTTTTAGGGTTACCATATGGTTTCTCTGATCTTTTAGTTAAAACTAAAACTATATAGACCATTAACTGGTAATTTGTTATACAAAGTTCTTGATGGAGAGACAGTATGATATATAGTTCAGTTTGCGTTTCAGGAATCTCACCTTCATTTTGACAACTGGTGTGTGCATGTAAAAGAACCCTCAATGCCCCATTCTTTGAAACGCTGCTGGTGGTCATATATTTGGTTGTCTACAAATGCTATGTTTTCAATTTCAGACCCGTTCATGGATTGATTTTTCTGTTTAAATGGGTGGCGGATAAAGAACCTGATGGTTCTATTGTAGCAGATAATCGATTAGAAAAAATTTTCTTTGCAAAACAGGTAACTTAAAATTTAGTTAATCATTACTTATATATTTTCTAAGTGAATTGTCAAATCCAGTAACCTGTAGTATTTTATTAGCCTACTTATTGTATAATTTTAAAAGAGTTTTGAAAGAACAAATGGCCAAAATTCCATCTTACGGACCTACAAATAAACTAATCTATCGGACAAATTTATCTTGATGTTTGTCAAAATATCCCCTCTTTAAAGCTATGGACATTGATTTGTGAAGTATAATTTGATAGTTAACGTTTATTTTAGGTTATAAACAATGCGTGTGCTACACAAGCTATTATCAGTATATTACTCAACTGTAAACATCCAGATTTAGAACTGGGAGATACATTATCATCGTTTAAAGAATTTTCACAAAGTTTTGATCCTGCTGTAAGTATTATTATCTTAAAACTCTTGAAAGGAGCCTAAACCATTCAATACAACCATTGTGACATTGTTCATACAAGAAAATTTGTATATGAGTAATGTTCCTACCACATATCTAGCAAATGGTGTTTGAAAGGCAATTTAAGTATAAAAAGAAATGACATGGTACTTAAAGATCGATTATGTAAGAGCTAAATCTGTCTAGTCTTTATTTTGACCTCAAATGTTATATAAACTATTATTTAGTTTATAAACTATAAACTAGACATTTATTCACATGACAAGCCTATAATCAACTCTCTAGACTATCAGGTTGTTGAGATTTTAATTGATTGAAACATGATCACCATTAACAATTTATTAAGCAATAATAAACGATCCATTCTACATATTCAAACACTGACAACTTTGCTCAGAATAAAGTAATTTGAATGAAATTTTCAATTTATTCATTTTTCATTGTCTTTGTTCGAACTGTTATAGCAAGGATGACCACCCCTTTATCTAAATCTTACATAATGCATCTTGAACACCATTTGAACCACATGGTTCGATAATGATAGCTTTTTAAGTCACAAAATCTCGAAGAAAAATCCATTACTGATATCTTTTTTGCCTTAGATCCTCTTCCGCTATGACGATCATGTTCAGAACATAAATTTTTTACGTTTCTGTTCAAAGTTAAAGTATTGTGCTAAAAGGTGAGATTACATATTATGGCGGAAGAATATATTTTCACAATTCAAAGCATTGTATGGTACAGCACATAATTTGAATTGCAGATATTTTCTAGTTGATTTCTTTTGGTAAATTATTTTGGTGAAATTACATATATGACGTGAATAATATATTTTCACCATTCAAAGGATCGTATGGTGCAGCTCAGATTATGAATAGCAGATATTTTTTGATGATTTCTTGAGCTCTTCTATTAGTTAAACATGTCACTATTCTAATAAACCATGTATTGTTATTTCAGATACGAGGGTTAAGTTTAAGTAATTCAGATGTTATTCGACAAGTTCACAATAGTTTTGCCAGGTAAAAAAAAATCTGTATTCCTGTTCCGAATTCGGATAAATTGCTATGAAATGAAAAATACCCAAAATTGAAGTTGGAGAGAAGTACAAGTCAAGATTTCTTGTGAAAAGGGATCAGTATGTACTCTTACTACAAAAAAGCTAGTGTAACAGATGTTGTTGTTCTTAGTGTTTAACGTCCGCTTCCACCGAAGGTGATATCGCTGACAAGCTGTCTTATTTTTTCTTTTCACTATATTAGGGCAGGCACAGGGGTGTTTTTTTGTGGGAGGAAACCGGAGTACCCGGAGGAAACCATGAGGTTGAGAAGGTGCCCTTATCTCCAGGCCAGCTAGAGGTTGAAGTGCGACACTCAAGACTACTAGGCCATCCCAATCCCCCGTAACAGATTTTTGAAATATCTGTTTTTATAGGTGGCTATCTATGTCCATTCAGAACTAACATACGGTTATTATAAATTTGACAAATTTGCGAAAGTCTTTAGAAGTGGTAGGAAACTAGAGTAACTGGGCGACATCCACACCACCATACTCCCTTGTGTGGGATCGGACATCTGACATTCATATAAAAAAAGGCCTTATGATCTTCACACTCCCTTTCTGACTTCACCCTGTGGATGGCTTACCTGTGAAAACTGCACTATTTCGTTAACTCCATTTATATGCCCTGTTCCAAAAACCAGAGAAGCCACGGTGACACAGTGAGTAAGACATCTCACTAACTTGGAGGTCCGGTGTTCAATCCCTGTGATGGAAGAGAAAGTTCCTAGGGATTTTCCGGCTTGGTTCCCCCTTGTCGGATGTTGGAATTCAATTTAAGAGTAGGTTGTAGCGCCACTGTCCTGGCAAAATTTCCCTTATAGCACACTTTATAAGATATGCCCGTCTTCATTAGCCCAGTCGCAGCAGAACAGTAGGAGTTTAAACCCCACTTCATTTCATTTCCAAAACCTGTCAAATACGGTCATCATATATTGTGTCCTGTTATCATGTCAAAAAATGTTAACTGGTGGCGAAAGCAGGTACCTCTTCAAAACATCTTCAAATTTTATTAATTTTTTCAGTTGGTATGGCATGAATTTCAAAATAAAATTCCTGTTTATGTTCATTTATTTAGACAACAGATGTTTGAATTTGATGAAAAGTTAGCGAAGAAGGATGATGATGTATTTCATTTTGTTGGTTATTTACCTATAGATGGTAGACTATATGAATTAGATGGTTTAAAAGATGGTCCAGTTGATTTAGGTAATAGTGTCCAAGATATATAGATATAATTAGAAATCAAAAACTTTGACCTTTTTATTCAAGAGGTCACAATTTTTATGCGATTTTGATGAAACTTAAAATGTATGTTTATAACCCAAAGATCTTGGATTATGGCCCCTTATTGTGCAAAAAAATTGCTTTTTTAGCTTGTTCTCTGACCATCTCTTGGGCGTAACTTGCATGGCAACCGCTTGTTACTGGCATGATTTTTTAAAGTTTTTATCAGATTTTTGCTATTACAGTCATCCACGAGTCTTCCTCATGATTCGTTTGAATTTTGAAAAAAAAATTTGGGGGGATAATGCATTTCGGACAAGTCTTGAGAGGGATAATAGTCGTAAGTTGATTAAAAACTCAGGCCTTCACCTCGAACCCAATGTTAAAAGTAAACACAGTTTACTTTATTATCAAGTCTCGTGTCCGTTATTACTATCCTGTATGGTTAAACAATCAGACCTACAGTATCGAAACTACAATAATAATTGTCCAAAGAAATCATAATCTTCTGGAAATTGTCCTGTAGAGTGGTTTTGTTTCAAGCCGGGTCTGTGTGGGTTGATTCGTAGTATTAATAATAATTATGTCACGTGTGTTAGGAATGGAATACTGACATCTTCTGTATGATTTTATTATTAAACTAATATCAAATCTTATAATCCTGTCGTCCAAGCCTTCTGGAGATATTAAAATTAAATTTGAAACCTTTGTAAATGAAACCTGTAATGCGAATCGGTCTACGAATGAATACTATGAGACAAAATGTCACATTTCTCGGCTGTGAAATAAAATTGCGGCAAAACAAAATACAATTCATCAAAATGACATCATGATATTAAGAGCGTTGACAACATAAAGAATCAATGGAAATAGAGTTGGTTAGAGAAGGGAGGTGGGCATTACCATTAGGAAGTTACGTCAACCGGGAAAAACCTACTGCAATGTATGTAGTAAGGAAATTAACAACGGAAGTCAGAGGTGGAAGGCCTGGGCATCACTGGCATTTGATGTACCACTTGGTTTTAGTCTGAAAGCGAAGGCCTCATAGGTCACAAGATGTAAATAGGGTTAGGGAATGTGATTGTTGACGAGATTGTGGGTTATGGTTAACCCAGTAAGGTGTAGTGCTACTCCAATTTTGACCCCAAAATGTCCCCAGAAAGTGCCATCACTAGTTGAATGGTACAAAAAATTTTGGTCATTTCGGGACTAACATATGGTTCAAATTATTTCAATAATTCGCTTGCGCATAGGGGTCTTTAGCAGTGGGAGGAAACACAGGCGACCCACTCCAGTTGACTCAATGACAGACCTTATGATACAGCGCGCACATGCTAACCATTTGGCCATCCAACCCTCCGGGAAGAAACAAAATCATGCCTGTTCTTATCTACAATATCCTTATGTGAAGAGCAACTGCTTCATCAGATCAAACTTGACACATAGTGATTTAATGGACAGTGCTATGCAGGTTTTCGGAGACAAGAATTGTTGTTATGCAATGATGACAAAAAAAATGAAATTGATTTCTTACTGCTTTAGCAAGTGATATTAAGTTGGAAAATACATAAACATAGCATCGCAAAGCAACAAATATATGTCCACCAGCAGTTTTTTGAAGAGTGCTTTTCAGGTCTCAAAATCATAGAATTGAGGATGGATGCACAGGCATGATGACAATAAAAAGAAATATAATTTGAAGGTATTTCAATGTTTCAGGCGTTATACCTAGTTCTACAGATTGGTTAGATATTGTCAGACCTGTTATAGAAAAACGAATGCAAAAGTAATTATTTTTATTTTAAAATAGTATCAAAAAGCTGAAAATTACCCATGACTGATAGACCTGTGAGCCTTTTAGCTAGCTTGTAGCTTTTGTTTTGTAATTCTGCACAATATTTGCGCACAACATTAAATGATGACAGATAGTTTTGCCACCAGCAATGCTTTTTTCCATCAGTAGTGTTGTAACTAGTATACAGATATCCGTTAACCGATACAAAATCATTTTACTCACCGTTACAATCTTCTAAAGTTCTGTTGTGTTCTATATATATAGACATTTTTACATTTGAAATTTTCCCCAATGCAGTTGTTTACATTCTTATATTTTCCAATAAGTCAAAGGGGCTGATCATCATAGGATTTCATTGTTTAAGTCGCGGCACAGTCAATGGATGAGAGGGTTAAAGAATGTATTGGGGTTGGCAAAAAAAAATCTCAGTAATACAGTTTACTAGTTTGCAGCATCTGTGTTGCAGTGTCTGTGTATAATGATTGTAATGTATTCTGTTTCTAGGTATAGCAATGATGAAATACATTTTAACTTGATGGCTGTAGTGTCTGATAGAAAAATGTTGTACGAAAAGAAAGTAAAAGATTTACTCAAACAAGTTGAAGTAAGTAAGATAATAGAAGAAAACAAGATTTGCATTTTGTTAAAAAATTTACTTTTTAATATGAGTTAAGATTCTTTCTAGAGAACCATTTAAAGTAGAAAGAGTGTTTTATTAATTCGTATAACAAATGATGTTTGCATGATGTAAAACATACTATATCAGTATATTACAAACCTGTCACATACCCCAAACACAGGGGAGCTGTTGTGTCTGTGTGAGTATTGCACTGGTTTATTCACTTCCCTGAACTCTCTAGAGGTCACAATTTTCCTTTCGATATTTGCACTTATCGGACTTTAACTTCCTGGATTATGGCCCCTGATTGTACAAAATATCACGTTTTTAGCTTGTGGGCCCTCTAGAGGTCACAATTTTCATCTGATTTTAAAAACGTTTAAATGTATCACCGTTACACCCTAATGAAGGTTGATTTTGAGGTTCATAAACATCCGACTGAAACTGGCGGACAAAATGGCCACTCCTTGTACGCAAATAGTCTAAAAGTATGTAATACGAAGGTTGTGGACCCTCTAGAAGTCACAATTTTTATCCAATTTTGATTAAACTTAAAATATATCTTTATATCCCAAATATCTCAATCAATTATGATATTCGTGCATTTCAGACCATAACTTCTTGGATTATGGCCCCTTAGAGTACAAAAAATCTCTCTTTTTAGCTTGTTCTCTATCCATGTTTTGCAAAATGTGGGCATATCTTGCCTGGCAACTGCTGGTTTAAATTTATCTTTAAATGGCAAAAGCATTCCCATCTACTTAAAATTGGAGCCATCCGATGCCCTAGAGAGTTGATTATGGTCTTGTCATGTTAATAAATGTCTAATTAATTATTTATATAACATTTAAGGCCCAAAGAAAGACCTGCAATAGGCAGATTTAGCTCTTACATAATGTATGTTTAAATATTCCTAGTTTATATTCTTCACAGCTTAGCCCCTTCAGGATTCGAACCTGGTGATCTGAATTCCACTTCACTACTCCTTTAAAGATCCCCTGACAGTTATTAGGGAAATCAAATATTTGGTGTTCTAAGGAGCTCTGTTTAGGATGGTTTAAGTGATAAATGCTTAAGCCTGGTTTGTGCAAATGAGAAAGACATTTTGATTCTCAAAAACAGAATTTGAAGACTCAATTTCATTAATTAATGCATAAATTTAACAAAACAATTACTGTTTAAAGTTGACTGATGACAAATTATTCTGTCTTGCATAGACTTTCTGTTTATATAGAAGGGGAGCAGGGGAATGGAATTGGTGATATTTTACCTTGTCTTGTAAGTTTTCTCTGGTTTCCTACAACTGCTAAGTAATCTTGCATGCATTCAAATCCATGGAATAAAAATAGATGATATATTTGTTCTGTACTGATTACATGTATGTGTAAATTTGTATTGTAAATGTAAACATGTAATTGCAGTCTGGTGGTATGGATACAGATAACCTCCAATCAGAAATAACACAACTTAAACTACAAATGACAGAAGAAGACAGTAAAATGAAACGATATAAGGTAAGTTGTTGTACTGCGGTATTAATATTCTGTTCTTAACCACACAACTATCAACAGCTTGAGATATAACATAAGATTTTATAAACAGTTTCAAAATGTTTTATTGGAAACTAAGGATTCTATCCTTGAACACAAACTGAAGCATCACTTTGAAAAATTAAAACGGGAAAAGTTGTATGAAGAACATAATATCTAACTGTTTTTCATGCTGCATGAACTGACTATGTGTAACTGTTAGCACAGCCAATGCCACTTTGTGACAATCTCACATGATTAAAGTGAACATAATTTTCATGTCATCTTGTTTGATGACCGAAAATTCAAGACAAAATGGATGCTCCTTGTATGCAAATAGTCTAAAAGTTTGTAATACCAAGTTATGAACCCTCTAGAAGTCACAATTTTTATTTGATTGTGATGAGACTTGATATGTGTGTTTATATCATAATGATCTTGGTTCCTCTCGATAATTACGTATATCGGAGCGTAACTTCCTGTATCATGGCCCCTAATTGTTCAAAAAATCTCTTTTTTAGATCGTGGACCCTCTAGAAGTCACAATTTGTATTCAATTTTAAAAAAGTAAATATATTGACTAATACACCTCAGTTAAGGTTGAGTTCAAATTTCGTAAAACTCTGACCGAAACTGCCAGACAAAATGGCCGCCCTGTGTATGCAAATAGTCTAAAAGTATGTAATATGAAGCTGTAGACTCTCTAGACGTCACAGTTTTATTTGATTTTGACGAAACTTGAAATGTGTGTTTATAACCCAAAGATCTTGGTTCCTTTCGATATTCGTGCATATCAGACAGTAACTTCCCGGATTATGGCCCACAAATTATCCGAAAAATCACATTTTTAGCTATTGGACCCTCTAGAAATCAGTTCTCAGTTCCTTTAGATATTCGCATATATTGGGCTGTAAATTCCTAGATTATGGTCCGAAAAATCATGTTTTTTAGCTTGTGGAACCTCTAGATGTCACAATTTTTATCAGATTTTAAAAAAAAACTGTTTAAATATATCACTGTTACACTGTTACACACTAATTGACGGTTGAGTTCAAATCTTGTGAAAATTGGACCAAAACTGACAAAATGGATACTACATGCGCAAATAGTGTAAAAGTATGTAATACCAAGGTTGTAGACCCTCTAGAAGTCACAGTTTTAATCCGATCTTGATGAAACTGAAAAGATCCAAAAGATCTTGGTTCCTTTCGATATTCATGCGTATCAGATCATAACTTGATTATGGCCACTGATTGTACAAAAAATCGCTTTTTTTGTTTAGCTTGTTCTCTGTCCATCTCTTGCAAAATGTGGGTATATCTTGCCTGGCAACTGCTGGTTTGATACTTCATGTCATCTGTTATTACTCTTCCATATCATCTTATCTGATACCTCTTTTCCACATCATGTCATATATCTCTTTTCCACATCATGTCATCTGATATCACTCTTCCACATCATGTCATCTGTTATCACTCTTCCACATCAAGTCTCCAATTTCACACTGCATCATGTATTCAGATATCTCACTTCCACATCTAAATCATATATATTTAAGATGGATTTTTAAAGGGAACTGTCAGATTAGGGTTTCTGATGTTTATAAATTGGTAAATATTGCTTTTATTTCAGACAGAAAATATTCGCCGAAGGCATAATTACCTCCCTTTTATAATGGAGTTGTTAAAAATATTAGCGAAAGAGCAAGAATTACTCCCTTTAGTTCAAAAGGTTTGTAAAAAGTTAATACAGTTCTCAATCTATTAAAGCTTTAATCACCAATTTAAAAACAATTTATTGATTTTTTAATCCTTTACAAACTACAATACTTAATTCTGTTCAGTATTTAAAAAGTATGATTTATTGAAAATATTTCAACATTCCGAATCCTATGAAGACAATATAAGCAGTATATGGTCAAAACAAGGGGGGGTTGGATGGCCAAATGGTTAGCGCATACATGTTGTATCATAAGGTCTGTCATTGAGTCAACTGGCGTGGTTTCGATTCCCCGGTTGTACGTGACAAGGAGTATGGTCACTGTCCAACCTTGTGGGTTTTCTCCGGGTCCACCGGTTTCCTCCCACTGCTAAAGACCCCTACACGCAATAAATTATTGAAATAAAATTGAACCATATGTTAGTCCCGAAATGACCTAGTTTGTGTGGAGTGGACCCTAAGTAGTGAAAAATTAGATATTGTCAATCAGTGATTGGATGATTATATATGTATATATTATTGGTTTATTAGGTAATTGGAATCTTAAATTTTACTTTTTGGATCATTAGAAATGTGATAAGATAAGTGAGAAAAAAATATATATATATTACAATTCTGTATTTAAAGAATTTTAAATTGGTATGTGACATTTGCATTTAGCTCTAAAAATGGCTGATATATTTATCTTTGACTCAAAACAAATATGCTTGAAACTCAGAATTGATATCTGAAATAAGGGGCCTGCAACATGTGTATCAATAAGTCATATTTGATTACAGATATCTTAATGGGTTATTCCATTGATCTTATTATGCTGAAGGGAATTCATCTTTAAGCCTTGTAACAAAATATATTTCATTGTTGAAATAGTATTAACAACTTGAAAGGGTCATGTATGTTTGTGTTGGTGACTGTGAAGCTCTATTGGCTAATGTTCACTATGTAGCCATTGAAATCAAAATACCTAATGTTACGGATTTGAAGAAAATATAATATAGACAATGAATTCCATTTAAAATTTGTATCTTTTCTCATCACACCGAATGTTTTTGAATATTAATTGATTCTGTAAATTTGTTTTGTTTTTATTCAGGCAAAAGAAGTAGCAAATCAAAAAAAGAAAGAGAAAACTGAAAAAAAATTATGTAAGAAACAAACCTTTTCTAGTCCAGGTAATGGGGTAAAACTGCTTGTAGGCCTGACTAAGAACATTTAACTAGTCAATCAAATACTGCAGTAGCAAAGAAGATTTATTTTTCACATAACAGCAGTCATCAGGAATTGTAGATACTTTAATTTAAAAGTCTACATGGGCCTGAATTTCTGCCAAATAAGAGGGACATTTCTTGTAAAAAATGGATGTGCTTCAACAAATCTAGAATTTTAAATGACATTTTACTCTTCACTGAAGTAGCACCAAAGTTTAAGGAAAAGAAGAAGTTTAAGCACCCAGTTAATTCTTACATCCTTGTAGTTGCATTATGGAAAGTCAACAATGCTCCTGTCCACATGTAATTTCATTTTGAATTTCCATTAATTACTGTGTGATCAAAACTATGATTTCACTTAGAAAGTTGTATAACCATGGTGATTATTTCTATGTCTTTTTATTGAAGAAAATCAGGAGAGAGAGAAATGAGGTTTGACATCCATTCTACTCAATCTAGGTCATTTAGGGACTAACATGGTGTGAGGAAAACGGGCAGTCAGAAAAACCATGAAGCTGGGTGGGCAATCACATACAACATTGAGATCTAAACCACCCACTTGACTTTAAAAAAAACCCCGGACCTTATGATCTAAAATGCACAATTTAAACCATTCAGCAACCATACCCCAAGCCTCAAAAACTGGTGACTATTTCTATGTAATTTGAGTTGAAACAGTCAAGATAAAAACATTTCCATCATAAAAAGTGAGTGTTATTTATATAGCTTATATTATTTATATTTCAGGAAAAATGGTAGATGGTGTGAATTATTTGTTGTATTGGTTCTATGTGTTGTTTAACATTAACCTGTATTTATTGTATGTTAAAGGGTCTACATTACTTTTTTCATTAAAGGTGTCTAAAAGTAGATTTATTTTAATCTTGACCTTTATGAATTTGTGGAAGTCACATTGATTGTGAAAATTTAACACCCGACCCAGAGTCATCCCATTTGGTGGTCAACTCCATCTTTATTAGCCAAGTTGAAGCAAAACAGTAGGACATTATACTTTCATTTTGTGGTCAACTATGAGTTGACTCAGCAATGTATCATCAAAAAATCCCAAAACAGTTTTGCCTTGTTACTCAGTTTGTAAGTGACAGTCTGTAAATTAAATAAAATGGGGTTTAATGTCCTACTTCCTGTAGCAACTGGACTAATGAGGACAGGCATACACCTTGCAGTGTGCTATGACTTTATGAGGATAATTTTGCCCTGACAGCAGCGCTACGCCTACTCTTAATCGAAATCAATCTGTAAAGGGTTCTTTTACGTGCATGTCAATGTGTACATGGCAACTCTTTTTTTTCGTGTTATCTGAAGGATTAAACAACCATCCTGCACATTGACATGGGGATACCCTGCCTTAAAATCCTAGCTATTTGAAACCATATCCCCTTATAGTCAACATACCCTAGATGTTTCCTTTCCGGGGGTGAGTGAGGGGCTCAGTGACCAAGGCACTGGCTCACTAACCTGGAGTACTTGGGTTCAATACCGGTGTTGGCCAAAAAGTTCGTTGACAAGAAACGAAAAACTCCGGTTGGCAGGTGGAATTGGAATTTGATGAAAAGCAGGCTGTGAATTCAGAAGGAGAATGTGTCTCATACTCATAAGTCATCATTTTGATTCATTGGTCCAGTAATAAACTAAAAGGAAACTCCATATCTTTTGCTGCTGATTTAAATCTTATTTGAGGTAATTCATTCTTCCTCTACTTGTTAAATATCGGGATTCTATTCTGATCCCTCCCCATTTAATATTTTATTCCATAACATATACTCGAATTTGTCTATATACATCAAGTACCTCTTATTGAGAATTTAACTGTCTTCCAGATTATGGTGACCGGGGTATGACAGGTGCATCCAATTGACAGTTAATTAAATGAAATGGGGTATAAGCTGCCAAGGAAATTTGGTTGGGACACCGGCGTTTCCGCCTACTCTTTGTTGAATTCCAACACCCAGGGGATTCTTTTACGTGCATGCCATCGTGTACAAGAGACTAAGTTGTTTTCGTCCATCTGTTTCTTGCTGCACCCCGCCACCACCGCAAACTGGTCACTTACGGAGGGGAGATCACGCAGAAACATCCCAAGATACTTTCTCGGGAAAGGCCGGCAATATCCACGGGGCCTCGTGGTTGATAAACTTATTGAGCAACCGTGGTTCCCTTGACAAGTGATTGCCGGTCAGTACAATTTGTGGGACATCAGACCTATAACAACTTCATTTGAACAAATCAAAACCAAAAAGTATACTTTCGAAATACCCCAACATACCACTGGTAATCTTGCCCCATACATCTGGAAATATGTTCCCAAACCTCGGGGGGTGAATATTGTAGAATCAAATTGTATCAGTTTCACACTAAATATAGACAGTATTCTGCAGTTGTACTATACACAAATAAATACATATACGTATTTCCACATTTTGCCGTTAGACTACCCAACAGCAAACCCCAGGAGGGCCATATAAGCAAATGGCGATGGATTTTAATAATAACAAATCAGTTAAGTAAATATATAGAATACTTTTTATAAAACAGTAAATTTTCTGTTAAATCTGAGCAAATAAACAAAAATTTCATACAATAATACACTTACACCATGTGTTAATACCAGGAATAAATGAATGACTCGTGGTAAAACATCAAAAAATAAAATATATGTCACCGAGCTTTGTGAAATAATTTTAGCATCCTTGGTTATAGGACTTTTCACCTTTGCTGGCTTTGCAAAAATAAAATTATAAGCAATTATTGAGATCATCACCGGTGTGATTCAAGTATATCCATATAATAGTCTCACAGAAGAAATAAAAGCATGCCAGTTGCATTTTGGTTAGACATAAATAAATACACATAAATATACAATTATTGGGAAAGCAAAGTAATTTCTCGGATAAGCCACGTTGGGAATCTGAACATGCATGTATAATGATGCTGTTTAACATCAAATCCCAGACAATTGTAAAGGGTTACATCCAACTAAAGCGTACTTGACTATTTTCTCTTGAAAGTGTATAGCGTTGAATTTTTCAATAATCTGGAACCTTTAGCGTGACAAAGTATAACACACATCAGAAAAACCACACCTCTTTATGTAAAATCATGGCCCTTATAAATACAAGGTCCATGGTAAAATCTTAGCAAGATAGGGCTGTTCAAAATTAAACATAAGCAGACCCATCCATTAACTTGAACGTACAGAAATCGAAATACGAAAGTTTAAATCTCCTGAAAATGGCCTTTAGATAAAATGCATTAAAATATTATTTTAAGTTAAAACTTTATCTTAACTTAAAATAGTGGTGTTTCACAAAATTATTTTAGGGAAAATTTTAACTAAAATCAATTTTAATTTAGGACAGCCGTCTCCTGCTAACTTAAAATCACGACATTATTCGATCTATTGCTTCAGATAGATCTATTCAGAATAATGATAAGAGAGGGAGCGAGAAATGGGGCTTAACGTCCACTCGACAAACTAGGGACTAACATATGGTTCATTCTATTTCAATAATTCGCTTGCGCGTTGGGATCTTTAACAGTGAGAGGAAACCGAAGAATAATTTTAACATACTATCATTCACAAAAACAATTCTCACTCAATTTCTTTTCGTGGCATGGGAAATACACCTACGGTCTATCCGTTAATTTTATCGAGAGACAAATTAGGCAATTAGACGACGCCCCAAATTAGAACGCCAAGAAAAAAAAACAACCCTTGTTAATGTTTTATATATTATCACATGATTCAAGTACATATACTATTTTAATTAATTAACAGACAAAGCAACCCTTAACAGAAAATCTGAACCCACATCATATCTAATGTCATGGAAAGAAAAGCACTCTCATTTATAAAAAAAATATCTTCGTGTATAATGGTTTAAAATAGCCAATTTCTAGGTATTGGAAGGCCTAAATAATTACAAGACACGCCATATGCAATGAATTTACTCTTAAGTGGTTTGGGGGTTAAGATTATTTGTAAAAAGATAAAATCAATAATCTGAAATGTGTAGAACAATGTTATAGACTATTTGAAATTAAATTTTAATATCTTAATTCTATTAGTAGATGTATTTCTTAATGAAGGCTTACGTTAATAACATAACATACATCTGAGGAGCACACAGTGATAGTTTTAAGAGCCAACGGTATTTTTTCTTGGGGGAAAAAAATCATTTTAATTGAGTAGCATAGATGTAGGCCCTATAAGGAGTGCCAGGCTATGGCATTTTCGAAGTATCCTTGAAGTGGTATATGGGAATTGCATTTCAAATATTGGCATCGAAACAATCGCTATTTTCGTGGATTAGTTTCAAAGTTGTTAAATACTTTTAAAATTCAACAATAATTTACAGCCTAGATTAGTTCGTAAAAAGTCACAATTGCCGTCGTTTGAGTCGGACCATAGGCCTATATCGCTCTCCTCCTTTTGTCCATCTTTTAAACATATTAATCAGGTTTTATAAATTCCCGAAACACACCTACATGTTTGTAAGTGATAATTCTCAATATTTTCTGTTATCCAAAATACCATAAGACTACGAAATTCAAGCGATTTAATTCAACGATACGCATTATTTCCGTTGAAGACTAAATTTGCGCTGGTATTATTTCTTTTAAAAGGAGACCTTCCACGTATTTCTATATTCTAACAATCCATAGTTAAAATCTAGAATCAACTTCAAATATTAACATGTGACTGCAGAAACCAGAACAGCAATTGCCAATTTCAATAAACAAAAGTTTGTTCAATTTAATAAAATAAAAAAAAACCCATCGCGTTTGAAGGGTTAGGGGTGTTGGTGGCGTAAGCACCTATAGAGTTTTCCCAAAAGTAGATCCGGGTAACTGAATTCATTATCTTTATTTAGAATTTAAAATAGATGAGCTATAGGATAATATTAGATAGACAGCGTAGACTGTTGTTCCAGTCCTTTCAAAAGAAGAAAATTTGCCTTCTTTTATTGATTTTGTGGTAAATGTATGGAACATCATCATAACAGACGCCAGACACTCGCAACCAATAAGTTCATCACAGTTGATATACATGAAAAAGCACTTGGTATATATTTCTTCGAAGTCCTTCAAAACACCATTCACCTATCCGTTCCTCGAGTGAATTCCATCTCAACATTTGCATTTAATAAATTATCTAAATACTTTGTAGTTATTGTCCTCAAAGCAACAACAGTTTCTATACACCGTACGAACAGGACAGAGCCCTGACCATGGTTGAGCAATAACTGACATTTAAGTGCCATCGATAAGTCCATTTCCAAATTTTCCAACATTTTAACTGTTTTTAAACCTTCTCGATCTGAAACAGAAAGATAAAATAGGATAAAATTAGAAAGAAGGAAAAGCGTGTACACTGCAGGCGTTTAAATCTGTTGAAGTCGCAAATCGAAAGCAACAATTTAAACAGATACTTTTCCGCAGTCTCCAAAATATCGCCGTTAAAAACCGTGTCATTGTGTATATGAAGAAAGGCTTATACAATTGATTAAAGTCTGATGTCAGGGTGAGTGAACTCCATGTACAAGGCCATGATGTTTATTAATTTGTAAGAAATAATATTTCTGTTGGTGAATAAAATGGTCATGATCGCATTTAAGGCAGTGCAAACTGTGTAGCTGCAGAGGGTCCCAGTAATAATACATAGAATTTTATTCTACACAGAGAACCATCAATGTTACATTCCGGCCTGAAATGGCAACCAATGTGATACTGCGGCGGGAACATTAGACACGAATATGACGTGGAATAGTAAACTCCAATAAGTAATAATCCTAATTCCTTCCCTGTAGCTTATAACACACATGGCATGGTCTTTTGACCTTTTCTGAAAAATTATTTACATCTACACAATGCAGTGAGTCACAATAACCTGAACTTTCATCTAGCCATTGAACAGACGCTTTCGCTTGGAAAAAAGCTTAACCAATCGCCATATTGAAATGAAATGGGGTTTAACGTCCTACTGTTTGCTCCGACTGGGTTAATGAAGAAGGGGCTATAAATAGGAACTTAAAAGAGCGCAGAACATTGGGAACGACGTAGACAGATATGTACATGTATGCAGTGTTGACCAAAGAATTATCAAAATCGGAATAAAACAAAGATCAATACTATTATTAGATTACCCAAGAACTTACCAGGACAAAATAAAACCATAGCACACAATAAAGAAATTTCCACGTCAGTTAACTCATATTTTTTCAGTTTTCCCACAACATCATAAAAATTACAAAACACCTCTCCCAATAAACCATAGTCCTGCCACCTTTCCGTGTCCAGACTGAATTTCATCTTGTTATCGACCCATCTGTCTGGAAGATGGTGTATATGAGTTGAATCGTGTATAACTGCTACTTCCAGAAGGCACCCTTTAACCAAAATTCGCTGCTCATCCAAAGAGAGGTCCAAAAATTGAGGAATTTCTTTGGCAAATGTAGTAATACATCTTAATATTGAAGGCAGATAGCGTAAATATATATTTTGAGTATCTTCTTTTGATTTCAAATGGACTACCTGCAAAAACAAACATTGTCGGTATAGAGTTGTAGCCAATCAAAATACAATTCTTACAGATGCACGTATTATTACATGTGACAGGGGAATGTTAGAAGCTATGAAGGAAAACCGAGGTCTTTTTTTTTTTTTTTTTTTCTCAATGATGTTCTGTTAAATACGCAACGTCGATTTGTTCCACCTTAGCTTAACACTAAAAATATCAACGTGAGATTTTGTAACAATATAATACCATTTAAGTCTGCCAGCCAAGCGATAATAAGCACGTTTTAACTTTCAATTTACGAGTCGTACAAAATATTTTTAGTTTTTCAAGGAATTTATGATACACGAATAAACACCTTAAAGATGCATTATATAAGATTTAGAAAAAGAGCTGACAGTTTCAAAATAGATAATAAAAGAGAAATATTGAAAATTCTTGTTAAATTACTTTATTCTGGGAGAATTTATCAGTGTTGATAAGAATAGCGAAATCGTCTCGATTTTCAATGCTGCAATTGTTACGAAAATAAACAAAGTCTCGATCACCTATTTTTAAATTAAATTATTTTATGACCATCGTGTTTCGGTCCAATAAAAATCAGGATCATCCGACGTTCTAGCGAGACGATTATGGGCTTGCCGTGTGAATAATGTATAATTTACGAAACATTTGAAGCGAAAAGCTAGACCTGAATATAGGGGGATTTAGCCCTTTAACAATGTCTCTTTAAGCCTAGTCAGTGTTTGGATTTTCGTTAACTACAACTGTTTAAAATGTTTTTAATAAGATTTTACTTAAAATTTATTGCTTCTAGTGTCATGGTGATAGTGATGGTTCCTCTTTAAAACAAGCAAATATTTATGTATATTGATTTTAATCCCTTGAATAATAAATCATAAGGGAGATAAATCCTCAAGCACTGTTCAACGGTTTCAGTTTACATCATAAATAACACATTTGTACAGCATGTACAGCAAAAATACAGAACACACCCTATCCTATTTTGCATTCATTTTAAAAAACTATTTGATTAAAAAAAAAAAAATATTAAAAAAAAAAAAATAGTGGTCCGGTCCTCAACTGATATATCGTAACTATGGGCACAGTTTTATTTTCATAACGAAATACCAATTTAATATCATCGATTCGGTAGCAAATAAATCGAATTCCAACCAACCCCACGTGTACCTTGAGGAATAAAACTAAACTGAAAACGTTTTTTTATTAATTGGTCATTCGTTTCTTTTTACTAATTTAATTTCATTGATTCGGTAGCATAAATCAAATTCCAACCAACCCCACGTGTACCTTGAATAAAACTAACATGAAAACGGTTTTTTTTTTTTATTAATTGGCCATTCGTTTTTTACGGTTAAAGCCTGGTCTTGTATATTTCAAAAGTCAAAAATATATATAACTGTTTAATATAAAGACTGCTGTCATTATGCAATTAAGCCCATCCGGGCATCGTCACGAAAAATGGACCCGCTTGTACCAAAAATATCATATTTACTCAAAAGGCGCGATAAACAAAGGCTTCAAAAGCTTTCGTGAATGATGGGGGGAATTGAATCGCGACACGTGTATCGTAACTTTAAATATAAGACCCCCGTTAAATGCTATTAAAAAAAACCTATGTAAATGCTTTGTTACTCTGGGGGCTTAAATTTTCTCATTCCCTCGATCTAGAGTTACCTCAGGTTCAGATAAATGAGGCGCATGGTTTACTTTGCACGACATGTACTATTGTCATTCGACCGCTTACCGGCGTAATTGACCTATTTCCTGTCACTTCCTGGTCCAGACAACCGACCAATCGGAAGGTCCTAAAACGGTTCGACGCGTGCCTTTGCTGCTCTAGCCAATCAGATTCTCCGCCGGCACGATGTAGGTCAAACTCGCCAGTTCAGAAAGGATACAGTTATTATCGAGCCGAGGAGACTTTACCTATTTATGCTTCAAGGTGACTGCATATATCATTACACAGTACACAAGCGATATAAACTATACCCGGTCGATTTAAAGCAGACACAAGAAATTGTTAAGAACGAAGTGACCTAGGCAATTTGCAGTAATAAAAAAATAAAACTTTCGTGGTTTTGTTATTTGATTATTTATTTATAAATACTAAATGCAGAATTTATTTCAAAATCTAAAGAGCGAAACAATAAAATTAAGTAAAAAATGAACGGAATCGTCCAATCTTTATAATCGATATTCAAATTGTTTTTATTGATTCATTGAAGTTGCTTATATCAATCGTTTGTTCTCTTATATATTATCTATGTACTATACGATACCATGGACCTTATAAATACATAAGGTCCATGACGATACTTTTGCCACACATTACTGTATCTTTAAACGTTTCTCAGTCTTACACATACTGCAACGAGCATATAATGGGGTGGTTGTTTTTTTTTCTATCCTGCATGTGACATTGTTTATTTGGGTCTACAAAATCATAATGTAGGTCTAACACGTGTCAGCATTGACCTGTACGGTGTGTTGTGTAAACTCCGGGTTACGTCCCGGATTCGCGCAAAGTTCAGTACAGTATATATATATATATATATACTGGGAGATAAGATATCATCCGGAGGCAGTCCAATATATATATATATTGATCTACCTTGAACATAATATAAATTAATCTTTGAGTGAAATTACTATATCGTGATAAATCAAAACTTAAGACATAATTTGAATGTTTTCTTTATGAAGGCATTTAGTTCAACTCATAATATACCTATGAGACTCGACTTAATTTCCTTGACATAAATTTATCAATCACCGATGGGTATCCTATATGGGAACCAAGTGTGTTGGGTAGCCCATTTATAACCCCGACGTTTCTGAACCTAATTTTCATAGGACCTATAGCTATCTCGACAAGAAAATATTATGGCTAATATACGGGTCTGTGCATACCAAGAAATATGACGTGGAGGTTCACTCCCATGTCGACTATACGCCCCATTTCGACTACAAATTTTATTACCCTCAAAGTCCTGGCCCCCAACTAATCAGCAACGAACTGCTCCACCGATTAAATGATGTAATTAAGGTATTGTTAAAATAGCTCATTCATTATATATTATAGCTTGTTTTCTTTAACATCAAAGAAAAAATATCAACTCAGAGTACATTTTTGTTTTGAATATTTGTAATATTTGGAGATTACATTGAGTTTAATAGTTGCTTATCTATATAAGATGAATTTTCAAATTTTGTACTTTTATTTTTCAAGTTCACTATCATTCAGTCAAATTTTTTGTTATCGTATTAGAATTCCTTTATATCAAATATCAATAATAGAGGAAACCCCAAACATCACCAACACCATGAATATTAATGATCACGTTACCAAATTTTCTGTTTGTTTATGGAACTATTTTGAAACTGTTGGACCCAGGAAAAATAACAACCTGGTAGGTTTCCACTCAAGAATGAATAGAACCATACCACACAGTCATCCTAACCTCTATAGGTTTATTGACATAATTCGAAATATTGTTGCATATTTTATAGAATTTCTATGTAAATTAATGTTTCATTCTTTTTTCTGTTTGTTTTGATATAATCTGTTATACGCTGTAGCCTAAATGGGTTGTTTTATGGAACAATCTATTTTAGTTATAGAGAGGGTAAATAGGTAGGGATAATAAAACCAACAGACCATAATATAAGCTGTAATCGAAATGGGACGTAGGCGAAATGGGAAGGTACCTAAATAAGTAGGGATAATAAAACCAACAGAACATATAATCTATTGTTATAAGCTGTAGTCGAAATGGGACGTAGGCAAAATGGGAGGGTACCGACGTGGATACCTTATGTATGTTAATTGGGTTTTCCGTGGAAGATTAATTGATTAATACATGGTGGCTGATGAGGGATGTCTATACTTCCTTGTTAGGACTATCAGCCTCACCATTAATGAAGAACAAATGTTATTTACTACACGCAATGCTATGGAAGACCATATGAGACAATATTAATGATTTTTGTCTCTACATTCTGAATTTCATATACGAAAGCAATATTTTAACTAATGATTGATGCTTCTACATTCATACATGTATGTCAACATTGCATGCACAAAATTAACATATTAAAGAGGAAACTGGCTTTATGTTTCATTTTCCACGTTTTATTGGTAACATATACCCAATTTTACACGAAAAAGCGATCAATATATTGATTTCTAAAAGTATATGTCGTGAAGTTAAAATCTTGAAATGCAAATGTCTAGAAATGAATTACGAACATTATTACACCAGAGGGCGTTTGCGTTTATGTGTACAGTTTACAATTTACCGAAACTGTTGCAAGCGAAACACCTACTTTATAGCACCTATTATAATTATATGATATTTCAAGTGATATGAATAATAGTATGTATTTATTTAACAAGTAAACACTTCACCAACACGTATTATAATTATGATATTTCACATGATATGAATAATCTCTTGCATACACATTATTATTTATTTAACATTATAAATTAAATAATTTACTGAAACTGTTGCAAGCGAAACACTTACTTTATAGTACCTATTATAATCATGATATTTCAAGTGATATGAATAATAGTATGTATAACTTATTATTTATTTAACAAGTAAACACTTCACCAACACGTATTATAATTATATTTCACATGATATGAATAATCTCTTGCATACACATTATTATTTATTTAACATTATAAATTAAATGATTTACTGAAACTGTTGCAAGCGAAACACTTACTTTATCGCACCTATTATAATCATGATATTTCAAGTGATATGAATAATCGCATGTATAAAGTATTATTCATTTAATAAATAAAACACTCTAGCAACATCTATTATGATATTTCACATGATATGACTAATCGCTTGCATACACATTATTATTTATTTAACATTATAAAAGCTGTAATGCTATATTCCACCGGCTGGTAAGCCCATACCATATTGGTCCCAGATAGACACAAATGACGTATCCATATAATAGGGAACCAACTAATACGAAAATAGTTGTGTAACGATGAGTAAATTCCATATGGGTACGATATCTGTACCATGTGTCCACCTGTATAAATGCAGCTAAGTACCATTTCGGGGTATTGTCATATCGGAGTTTGAATGGCCTACTGATCTAGAGTGTTGCGCTTTGAGCTCTAGCTGGTCCGTCAAAAAGAGATAATGAAAAATGAATATATTGAAAATTTCAGTCAAATCACTATATTCTGAGCGCAGTTAGTATTTGCGGGTAGAGTTGATTATGGGCTTGAACTGCGAATAGATGCCTAGATAAAAGAAAGACCTGCAATTGGCAAATTTAGATCTTACATAATGGATCTTTAAGAGGAGTAGGTGAGGCGCTGCCTCTCTAACCAGTAGGTCCTGGGTTCCATCCAGGTGATGACTGAGGATTGGACGAAATACATAGACCCTGTTTACATGTTCCATGCACATAAAAGATTCCTTCGCAGTTAGAATTCGATACAAGAGTACTCCGTAGCGTCCCTGCTCGGGCAACAATTCCCTAATAACTGCGTGGTGTGTTTGAGTCCATCTTTATTAGCACGTTTGGTGCCGAAAAGTAAAAGTCAATTTCATTTCTGAAAGGGAGATTCAATTTGCTAAATAATCACCATGTCCATGCGTACGGGTAGAAATTGTATATTTCTAAGAAACGGGGACTCACAGGGTCTAATATAATCATTTAGAGACTCGACGACTCAGTCCCTACTAGCCTAACTGGGACTTAATGGCCAAATGAAGGAGATCCAGCTTCAGATGGAATTGGATATACATCTGAGTAGCTGATTGACGATATTTGTTTGACTTAAAATATAAAATACTTACTTCCTTGGGAGAAAGCTCATGTGCAACCCGATCAAACTCTTTCACTGCAGATTTAAACGCATCATGTATTGACAAAATCATTTGCTCTGTTTTTACTTGTTTGTCGACATCGACAGCACCATTTTGATTCTGTGGCAAAACAAAGAAACAGTTGCTTCCTGGGCGATCTTTCTTCGGACACCTCCCAAGCCTCACAGCTAAAAATATGTAACATCATTATAGAAATAACATGGACGTGTGTCACTGTGAGGCTGTGTATTTCGGTTCGATTAATTTAATACTTGCCCCGTGAAATTTTGTCGAAACATCGTGTGTATATATTATAGTGATTGTTATCCATAGAACTGTGTTGTGTCATAATACTTTCCCCGTTTGCCGCTATATTTGATAGGATCTGGTTATTATATATTACATATATTTAGTATTTTGTGTACTACAAACCAAAGTATTATACTTCTACAACAATAGTTGTGGTTATTTTACATTTTCATCCATTCACGTGGAGTGGAAGTTGATCCGGGTAATCGGGTGCACGTTAAGTCTGTAAGAGCCATGGCTTTATTTAAAGATACATCATGTAAGATTTAGATAAAGAGCTAACCATTCTTGCTATAATAGCTCAAAAATTGTTAATGCAAAATGAAAATATTGAAAATTTCATTCAAATTACGCTATTCTGAGCCAAGTTATCATTCTTTGTAGTTTGACAAGATGTATGCATTGTGGTAACCATGGCATTGGTATATTCGAGACTTAGCCTCGCTTTCCCATTTTTAAATTCAATTTCTAAATGGCGAACCGTTCTAATCTAGTTAAAATCTCGAGTATCCCATGGCACCGAGAGTTGATTATGATATTGTTTTGTTTATAAATGCCTAAAAAAAAACCTGCAATAGGCATATTTAGCTCTTACATAATGCATGTTTAATGGATATAATAAATAATGATTCAATCAATACCAAACAGACACCATATTCTATTGTCAGAATGTGTATTATATCCAATTTTTACAGTTGCGTTTCCACAAAAACGAAAGAAATTTGTATCAAAGGGAATATGTGATGGGGTTGGTTGTAGTCAGACCCAGTATGTTTCCTACCCAATTAAATTATATTTGATTGCGTTAAGGCACTAAATCCTCATGACTACTTGATCTTTGGTAACGTAATGATAAAACCGTATACCCCACGGTATGTTTCATTCGGCTTTATACCGAATACACGTTCATTAGTTACATCTACTACATTTATATACGACATGACGAGTAACAAAGTTCCATGCACTGGGAATCTTGTAAATATCGATCAAGCGTTTGCACTTGGTCCTATATAGACTAGTCATTGACTTTCGAAAACACATTTTGGACGGAAACAAATGAAATATCAAGAACGATGGTACACTGCTCATGACTGTTCCTTATTGGGGACTCTGGTATTAATATTTTTGTCAAGATGGTAGTTATGTCTGATAATATTTGTTATGATTGGAGTTATATTTGATATTTATATATTTGTTACGCTTATAGTATGTCTGATAATATTTGCTATGATGGGAGTTATAGCTGATATATTTGTCATGGTGATGGTCATATCTGATAATATTTCTTATGATGGGAGTTATGTCTGATATTTATATATTACTGATATTTATATATTTGTCAGGGTAGGAGTTATTTCCGGCCAATGCATATTTGTCAGGGTGAGAGTTATGTAAGGCCAGTATGATATATTTGTCAGGAAAGAAGTTATATTATATCCGATCATTAGATATTTGTAAAGATGGGTGTTATAAGGGTTAATAACAGAGGCAGAAAGAGAGTTATTCTTTAAAAAATCAAGTACGGTAGTACTATATCGACTAGGAACCGAACATGACGTTGTCGCCGCCATATTGGAATTGTGCTATCAAATATCGAAGTCAGTAAATCGATGCGCAATAATTGTCCAAAAAACAAGCATGCCAACTTTTATGTCGCCCGTACTGAATTGACGGGGCCTTAGGCTTATTTTACTACGAGCGTCACCCACAAGGAGAACAAGAAAAACAACAAGAAGATTAATAGTTCTTAGGGGCCATTTTCTGGTGAAATACAAATAAAGAGAAAAATAAATATAATTCTTTGTGGATAGTTTTTCTAGAATTTCTCAATACTTACATTCGTGAGACATCCCTACATGATGACATTTCTTAAGTCGACAATACTGGCATCTATTTCGACTAATTCTCATGATTAAACAACCCTTTAAATTGCCACATGGTTTGTAGGTAATATTTTGCCGGATTGTCCGACGGAAAAAACCCTGAAAAAAACCAAGAGAATATTTTATTGATTCATTTATAATGCAAACGGTAAATAATACATTCTCGTGGTTAATCGTCTGTATATATATATATGTTATTCCCATATTTCTGTATGTCGTTTATGCTATTATAAACTTTAATACTTGATTTATTGATTTATGTATTGTTTAATGGTCGAGAGCGAGACATTAAGTAATATATTGTAACAACAAGAGGACCGTCAGGTCCGAGTGTTTTTACAATATATTACGCAATGTCTCAGCTCGAGACCATTAAACATCTTAAAATACAAACACTCCGCACGTGCGTTTACAGTGAAATACGTCACTCGAGTCTAATATTTGACAAGGTACGATTGGCAAGTTGCCCGTACGATTATTTGAAATAATGGTACGCCAACATCAAAGGGTGACGTCACATCTGTATTTTAAAACCAAATAGTGTTTTCAATGTTTTCCTTGACAAACAGCCGCTACCATAAACTACAGAAAATTTTAATTACATGTATAGGTCAACAACCGCTGGTGTATGCAAAAACTATTATGAAAACGTTTCTGAAAACAGAGACTTGGTTTTACAAGATACATATCTAAGCGAGCCACGAGTTCTGTTGAAGCGTACTGCCGTAACGTTAGCTACAGATTGTCATCGCGAATCAATTCATTTTTCAATGTATATCTACGCATAAAATTTCATTAAATTGCATTTTAATTATACACACACACTGAAAAGTGATCGTAGGCTATCACCCCTATTAAATTTCAACGATTTCTGATAATAACTGTCAAGATTAGTGAAATGAATTGAAATAATTTTAGTTAATTACTGCTATAGTGATTGCCCTTGTTCACTTTGCAAAATCTTGCTAACACTCTTAACACTTTGTAATGAACAAAGACAAGCATATATGCTACAATCGTGTATTAATTATAAAATGCTCATTGTGTCTTAAATATTGGATATTAGGATCCCCAATTTTCACGGCAAGATAACATCATCAATATTGATTGAAATGGACTAATACTAAATTCTAGTTCGAGTTTTTAGTTTCGAATATTATAGAAAACATTCAATTAGAGTGTTAGGTCCTTTAAGTTACATAATGAGGAAATCCGGAATCATGTCAACATTAATCCAGTCGGGTCTCCAAGAATGGTAGATCGTCTATCTGCCACATTCTCGACTTAAGTATAATATAATAGCGTAGGACTGGATTACCTTGCATCCCTCACATGAAAACACCCCGTAATGAAACCCAGAAGCTTTATCACCACATACACGACATAATATGTGACCACCCGGAGGCGCACCTACAAGAGAGAGAAAATAAAACACATTTTAATGGCAAATTAATGATGGCAACAAAATTGAAATATATACTGAGCGCCATGGAAAACGCATCACTTTTTTCCCCAAATATTTTATTACTAGGTGGTTTTGTATGTATAATATTATGCAATACTATGAACTATTGTTTCACACAATGCTCCCAAACGCAAAAAATATCGGCCCGTGTGCACAAAAAAAAATTGCACGAGATGCACATGAAAAACCCAATATTCACGTGCAGCATTGTGTGTGAGCCCTTTAAAAGCATGTTTTCAACTTAATGTGCAGTACATGAACTGTGAAACGTCAATCTGTCGTAATTTGTTGTTGGACGTGTGAAGGAATCGAGCTAGAGATGCCGAGACTTACTGAAAATCAACGGAATGAAGCCACTGGAATGTCCCGGGCTGGCATGTCTACACGTGCTATTGCCAGACACTTCAATTGTCATCAGTCCACTATTGTAAGGTTGGTGGAACGTGTTCGAGTTACTGGATCAACACGTGACCGTCAATGTCCTGGTCCACAACGCGTTACAACCCAGGCTCAAGACCGCTACATCCGGGTCACTCATCTGCGTGACAGATTCCGCCCAGCGACTCGAAGAGGTGCAGCAGTCGTCGGAAGACAAGGACCAGTAAGTGCCAACATCGTAAGACGTCGTCTAAGAGAAGTAGGACTCCGTGCACGACGACCTTATGTTGGAGCTATCCTCAGGGATCATCAGCGTCAGCGGCGTTTGATATGGGCTCAAGGACACCAGACATGGAGAAGAGTAGACTGGCAAAGTGTGCTCTTCAGTGATGAGAGTCGCTTTCATCTTTATCACGCTGATGGCCGTCAACGTGTGTGGAGACGTCTTGGGGAACGTCTTGCAGACTGCTGCGTCTTCGAAACGAATCGATGGGGTGGGGGAAGTGTAATGGTGTGGGGAGGCTTCACATTTCATCACAAATAAGTGTACAAATGTGTTGTTATTGATGTGTTCCCATTTGAACATTGTTCACAATAAGAAGCAAAATAAATAAAATATGTTTACAGAATCATTTTGTTATACGAAAAACTAAGTGATGCGTTTTCCATGGCGCTCAGTATATTATAGTTTTGTTCACGTACATACGAACCCTGTATATATTTTAAACGTTATAATATTACCATGCCCAACTGTTGATAGATTTTCCGTAATATCGAAGAATTGAAAGTATTGTTATATGAAATGTATTTTACAAATCAGCCGAGAACAGATTTATTATGTTGCTTCACCTTCGTTTTCGTTGTCTTTATGTAAATATTTGCAGCCGTCTGCAGGACATTTTGGAAATCGGATAGACACAAACTGAAAATGACGTCATAGAAGTAAAATGGTCGCAAAATCGTCTGTAGTGACAAATTTTGCCCCGAAAAAACACCCATCCCAAAATTTCATTCCTATTTTTACACAGCTAGTATTAAATATCGCGGTCTTCACCATGCAAATACACTACACATGCATTTCAAAACTATGACCAGTTGGTTGGAGAGCGACTAAGAGGTCAAATGTGCAAGTTCGCATTGTGGATTTTAAGCCCCGATCACATCAAACTAGTTGTCATTAAGTTCAGGAAAATGTTGCCAAACGGGCGAACGTAATGAACGTAGTTGCAACTGTTTAAGAACAGAGGATGATTGAAGAACACTGTTTAATTTTAGATAAAGCCTGTTTATAATTCGTATGCTTATCTAATAAAGATGTCATCTACTGAAACAGAGTGTGGAGATCTGTAGGGTCCAGGGTCAAGCTCATGAGGCTTAGTAACTTAGGCCTGACCTGGCTGACGGGCTTGGACTGCATGAAAATGGCAAATCTACCCGATCTAAATTTAAAGGAGTTAAATCGCTAATACTCGGGACCTAGAAATTGACACAAATGGGTCGCAACGTATTTAATAATGTAATATGTATGTATTCTCAATCAAATAGCAATCTCTAGCGTCTGCTGGTTATTCCAGTCTACACCGATAGTATTTATTGCGCATACTCTCCAGATAAGAATTTGGCGTCACCGTTTGACATGGCGCATGGAATCTTGTTCTTCGAGTACCTTGTTACAAATGACACTAAAACGCTTTATGGTACACGATTCGTCCACCAATGGTAAAGTGTTTATTTTGTTTTAAATATTGGATATCTGAAGCACATCTTTTCCCGGTAAGATAACATCAATGTTGATTTAAAATGACAAATAATTCGTGTTTTCAATGTCGAAGACTTCGCTACTTTAATATGAACTGAGTGTGAACAGGGTACAGACGAGATAGATGTACTGAGGACTGTTTATGAACGAACTATGACTGTATTATAGGCATTATTTAAACATTCTACCACCAACCACAACCCGTTTTACGATTTTCTAGGACGGGGTGGGGCGTTTTTGAGAATTTGTTTGAACTTATCGGGGCTTTAGCGGTATGAACGATGATTTGCGCCGAAGTCGCAGTGGTCAGTGGTTACGTTCGCTCTCAGTATAAATGACCCTTAAACATACATTATGCAATAGCTAAATCTGCCTATTGCAAGTCTTTATTTCGGCTTCAGATGTTATAGAAATTATTATTTAGACCTTTATTTACATGACAAGCTCAAAATCAACCCAGTCGTTCCCCCGTTTCAGTGACGCAGGACAGAGGATCTGACAAGGAAAAACGTATAATCGTTCGGAAGGAACGAAAAACCAAGGTCCCGTGTATACATTGGCTTGTATACGTGTACGTGGCAGTTGGAATTCGATATAAGAATAGGCCGTAGCACCGCTGTCCGGGCAAAGATTCCCTCGTAGTACAATGCATGACGTATGCCCCCTTCATTACCCCAGTCGGAGCAGAACAGTAAGACGTTAAACCCCATTTCATTTCATTTCATTTCTAAGTAACTATATTTAGTCCATGTGATACGTTTTCAAGGTAAAGTTAGAGAGGAGCTTCGTGACTAACAATGACATGGTGCCTAGAAAAAAATCTGTCTATTTATCATTTACAATGGAATACTTTAAGGGGCTAAATCTCTAAAGCAATATTATCCATAATATTCGAAATTAAAAACACGAATTGGAAATCTGCATTGATCAATTTTAACTAATGTTGGTGTTGTTATCTTACCATGAAAATATGGGATCCTAATATTAAAACACAATAAACATTTTAAAAGCAGTACACGACGTCGTGTGCGAAATGGTTTAAAGCGCCATTTATAATGAGCAAAGAAACACATGCCCCACAAAACAATGCGGAAGTAATTAAAAATGGCTGATGCATAAACGACAAACAGTAGGACATTAAACTTCATTTCATTTTTTTTCATAAACGACAAAATAATAATAAAAGGCGGGGTTTAAGGTCCACTCGGCACAAACTGGGACATTTCAGGATCAACATATGGTTCAATTTTATTTCAACAATTCGTCGTTTGCGCGTAGGGGTCTTTAGCAGTGGAAGGAAACCGGGGCACCTAGAAAAGACCCACGAGGTTGGACAGGTGACCCTACCCCTTGTCACATACAAGAGGGGAATCGAAACCACGCCACTTGACTCAATGACAGACGCGTAAATCATTCGGTCACCCAAACCCCCAAATAATAAAGAAAACATTTGGATTGGCATTAGCCGGCGCAAACTACTGCCGTTCAATTTTAACATTTCATCTATCAAATAAACAAAACCTGTAGAATCTACCATTATTTCAACCCATATCACTATAATATATATAGATATTTGATAACTTACCGTTTTATATGCCAAATTGTCAATTTTAATTTAAAATCGTATATAGCGTTTCCAAAGAGCTATTCCCCCTTTAAACGGTCTTTTTATTTCCAGAAACGCAGTAACACCCACTTATCTACAATCTCCACGAGATAATTTTACATCCAATTTATAAATAGACCGAGTTTGCATAATTATTTCGCACTACCCTCACAATTTATCTTTCAATTACGACTCGGCTTTATTGGCTCATGCATGGCCTGCCTTCTGTATCGAAACCTACTGGTGAAGCTAACCATCTTTTATATAGGTCGATTGTTCAACACACAATCGGTTATAATTCCACCTTATATCTCCAACCATTTCTTTTTCTTAGACCCGAAATGACCAAGTTTGTCTCCTATATTCTTCTTGTTACTAACGAAGAACGATTAAATCTTAAAGATGCATTATGTAAGATTTAGATAAAGGGCTGACCGTTCTTGCTAAAATAAATAATGCAAAATATATATATTGAAAACTTCAGTCAAATTATGAGTTTTTGAAGTTTTAACATAATAGTCTCGATTGTCAAGTGCCATTGTTACGATAATAATAAACAATGTCTCTATTATTCATTTTAACGTTAATTTATTAAGTGGCAATAGCATGGTCATCCGATGGACTAGATAGTTGATTGTGGGCTTGACTATATGAACAGATGCCTATTTGATAATTGATGTAACATTAAAATCCCAAAAATTGACCTGCTATAGGCAAATTTAGCTCTTGCATAATTCATTTTTACCCTATGTAGGTATAAACTCACTATAAGAACCCCCAAAATGTTTTCAAACATGTAACATTATTCTCATTTTCAGGCCCGTAGCTAGCGTGGGGGGGGGGGGGGGCGAGGGGCCAGCCCAACCAATGTCACGGGGTTTTATGTGGGCACGTTGGTCGTTGGCTTCGTATTGCGTCCAATGGAAAAGGCGCGGTTCGGCGCCCAGGGGGTGATTGTCTGTCTCAAAGATTTGAATACGTTAAAAATGTTGGAATCTATAATCTATGTGGTAGTGATGTGTGTCGGGCGCCAATTAAACCCATCTCTCCCAGCGGACAAGATGTCTAGTAGGGGCACCGCAGTACGGTGATATCACCCTCGGCGAATGCAGACGTTAAAGGGCCAGACTCGATTATATTTTGGAGAACAAAACTGCTTAATTTTGTGTCAAAAACCCTTAAAATCCTCTACCTTAGGGTCGAGCAACTAACTCAAAATATGGGATACGTTTTCAAACACCATAAGCCCGTCAGTCTTCATCTGGAAATGGAGACCGGTGTACCAAGCTGTAGTATACGGTATCTGGATAAAACCAGGCTTTTATTTTATAAAAAATAACGTGTAGGTAAAATTGACCTTTCGTTATCAAGTACAGCACGTGGATAAGCGGTTTTGACGTTCACGACCAAACGACTCAATATTTTAAGCTGAAATTATGAGACAAAGTAAATACACCATTCCTCTATATTTTGGCGCTTAAATTTTATACGTACACGTTCTTTCATTTCTGAGACTGTTTAAAACGGGAGATCACTTTAAGTCCCACGAACGAACAGTACATCTTCAGTACGGTTTATGTCATATTTTTAACACATCACAATACAATACATGTCGGGTACATAATATAGAATAAAAATAGGTCTATGAATACAAATTGGTATAAATTGGTACCCACAGTTGTCGTGACTGGTCCTGAAGATAAGGTATGAAAATCTTTTTCTTTTTTTTTTCTTTTTTTTTCATTGTTTTCTGTTTGAATTGTTTGTACTTTTTATATACGATAAAGCTACTTACTTTTGTTATTAGAGTCCGAACATTTTTTGTAGAATTGCCAAGACGATGGGCGTGAAGAATATTGAATTGGCATCTTCTGTGGTGATTTGACAAGAGCTTTATCTTTGCCTATTGTAGATATACACTCTATCAACGTCTCAAAATTCTGCATGCGTTGGTTTTCAAAAGTAGGCCCACAATGGCTTGACAGGAGCATTTAGTAGACTTCGGTTATTTTTTTTTATCTCCAAAAGAGACTAACGAAAAATAATGTCTACTGACAGGGGATCTAGTTGTTTATTGTTCAGCACACCATTGCTTTTAGGCGCGATTGAACAATGGTATGCACATTAAGGCAATCCGTAAAAAAATCAGAGAAGACACTTAAAAGATATCCGTCACCGGTAAATATTTGACAAGACAAGAGTTTGGTTTCGCGCGTGTCGTCTAGAAGCCAAATCAATGTTGTTATTAAAAGTACAACTGACCAACCTACAGCGAATGTACTGTAAACCCAAGGATGCTTCACTTTCTGGAACGCTCACATGTTCACATATAACAAATAATAAAAAAATGTCTGGAACTGTAGTGTGGACAAAAATAGCATTAGATAATATTCCACTAAAGAAAAGTTTTTCTCCGGTTTTATTCCAAAAGTGGAAACTTAAAAATCTATAAGCAAGCAAACACCAAAATATAGCTTTCCAAAATAACCGAACCGCTAACTTGATAATTATCTGTCAAATAATTCGTTTTGTTATATCCATTTATACCATGCAATAATAAATAGATAATAGCACAATATGTGACCACACTTCTAACATTTAAAGCAGTTATTCATTGCGTACACAGAGTCAAAACAAACTGGTGTCGTAGTACACTTCAGTTGATCAGTGTGAATGGACGGCTAGCATATCGATCGTTCCACAAACCAATGAAATTCCATTTAAACGAGGAAGAAAGTGAGAAAAAACCTCTACAATCAGATAGACAGAATACTAATGGATGATGTCAGATGCTTATTTTAATTAAATTTTATGTAGTATAACATGTTTGCTGACTATATACAATTGATATAAACTCTCAAATTCATAAACAATACTGAAATGTTTACTTCAAATTTCATGAAAATAATTTGGCACACCAATGTATGAATTTGGAAGATTTTGAAACTTTTGTAAATAATAAAATCTCAAATTTAAGTTCTGTGCAATCACTACATACTGAATTACACAGATCGTCATAGATTGAATCGATGGGGCAGGAAAAAAACTCGTCACTATTATTGACAATAGATGATTAATATAAACTATCAAAATTGATTTTTTAACAACAGAAAAATGTTCCTTAATGATGATTTCATGAAACTTATTTCGCACATCAGCATAATCAAACTGTTTCTAAAACCTTTAATTAGCAGGAATCATTGAGACGACGTCTGTAAAGCATAGAGTACAACTTTAGTGGATTACATATAGAATAGGCTTCGCTATAGACTGACTGAATCCAGGTACAGAAATCAAATTTTCCACAGTGAATGACATCTCAGTCACTTATTGGCCCGACCGACCAATTCAAACCAGTTTCCAGTAACCCTTTCAAAGCAATAAATCGATTAACGTTTACCGCTAAAACCCGTTATAACTGCTTTTTAGGTATATTGCAATCATAAAAGCCTGTGTATATAGAAGAGATGGTCACAGACGACAGCTCATACGCGCCAGACAAAACAATGTTCACGTGTAAAGGATTGGCTTTTTACCCGGTTTTTATCGATCGAGAGAGAGAGAGAGAGGGGGGAGGGTTTAACATCCACTCGACACAAACTAGGTTATTTTGGGACTAATATATGGTTCAATCTTATTTGCATGGGAGGAAACCGGAGGACCCGGAGAAAACCCACGAGGTTGGACTGGTGAACCCACTCCTTCTCACGTACAAGCGGGGAATAGAAACCACGCCACTTGACACAATGACAAACTCAACGCGCAAGCGCTAACCATTTGGCCACCCATACCATATCAATTTCTAGTTACAAAAAGCAACTTGATAGGCGGGTTAGGACTAAAAGTTACGGCCCATTGCAGATTTCGTCATAGGTCACGATTTGTAAATAGGGTTAAGGCACGGGTTAGGGTTAGGTAAGGGCTATCCCTAACGCACAATCTCATCAACATTCAGGTATCCTAACCCTATTTACATCTCGTGACCTATGACGAAATCTGCAATGGACCATAACTTTAAGCTTTCACGAGTGATTGCTCATACAAGACAGACGAAACAATGTACACGAAGTGTACGGGAGTGAACTGGTGTGTACAGTCATGCCTAGCGTGAAGTTATAGTGTTCTGTTTCAACCACTTCGCTAGTCGCGTTTCACAATGTAATGCTATGTTCCCACCATCACGATTCGTACTACGATTGAAATCGTGGTTTTAATTGTGGAGTAATCGTGGTGATCCTATCATGTCTTATCATATATTGAGGCCACAGTCATGGCAATCGTGTTGATCGTATCGAAACGTATTCGAACGGATCTGCACACGTAGCATATCGTGGAAGCAATAGGAACAATCCTATCGTAACGTATCGCACGACAGTGGGGAACCTAGCATTAGGAAGAATGTCTAGTCGTCCGGATGGGACGAAAAACCGAGGTCCCGTGTACATATTGGCGTTTACTAAAAAGAACACTTGGTAGTTGGAATTCCATTAAGAATAGTCGAAAACACCACTGTCCGGGTAACATTTCCCTCACAACACACTGCAAGGTTTATGGCAGTCTCCATTATCCCGGTTGGTGTCATAAATGGGGACGTTAAACACCATTTCATCTCATTTCACTAAGTTAAGCAGTGTGGAAAAAAGCGAAGTCACTGTTTATAAATCGACGTCGCCTTGAATATACCCAATGTAATTTATGTATAGGATATGAACCTACCCGAGGTTGATATGAGCGAGAACACGCGGGCGAAGCGCAACTATCATATCAATCCGAGGGAGAGAAGGTTTATATCCGACATATACAACGTCATAGTTTTAATCACCCTTAAATTAAATAGACTCTTCCATTAAAAGTCAACAATAATGATAGAATAATTGCTCGATAGTTTCCGCCAAATAACGAAAATTACCGAACTAATCACGTGAATGCACGTGAATGTTATTGTTTATACGCAACTACTGTCGCCATTTTGGAGTAAATATAGGTTCAATTGAATTGAAAATAGAAACTTTTGGCAAGCGTAAATTCCTGGTCCGTATCGCGTATCCGTATGGATTTTGCGTGTGACGTCATCAATGTTTGTGTATTTCTCATACGTGATACGACACGCGGATACGGCAGTACGTGTCGACCAGCTTTCATACGGAAAAGGTCCATATAACATTGTTGTCTTTTTACCGTCTTTTTTGCTACTTTTGGCTCATGAAATGTTATGCCGTTGCGTTTTTATGAATCTATGTGTATCCTAGAACACGAAAGTGTATATTTAATGTCATTTTTATCATGATAAAGATCGTAATTTAATCATTATATTTGATGGATTTTCTCGGAATTTTCATACTGTTCGGTCTGTCTGCATGCTGGTTGATCTACGTGATAAATGTAGGGAGGTGGGACCTGGCAAATCCGCAAATGATTTTATTCTATGTTAAAGGGGTATAATCTTCTGAAATGATACATTAGTGAAACCAAAAATTGCTGATGGTGATACGCACGCGACGCGAAAATCTGCCAAAACTCTAAAACTACATTGACGCAACGTATCACGTATGCGATACGGATACGTGATACGGATGGGAAAAATTCAGCTTGCCAAAAGTCTCTATTAAAAACAAAATGGGTAGTAATACGTTATCAGGCGAATAATCAATCCTTTTTAGCCAACAGATTGACGGTGGAATAGACGTGAATGCAAATTTTCCGATAAGGATCTACTAGTTGCTCGTCAAAAGGATGAAGAAAATTTGGATCAAAAGGCAATCTTTTCCGATAATTATGACAGATAACCTTGAAGGTTTTCGGTATGTTCAGAGACGGATTTGACCGACTGTGTTAAGTGGACTGTACCCAAAATACTTTACAAAGGAACTCTTGGGCTATAAATATTTTCAAGTCTTGGAGTGTTTGGAGAAATAATTGAAATGTGGACGAAAAGAAAATTCTGAAAGATATCTTAGACATAGATGGATAACCGATCTAAATATGCCGATAGGTACGCCGTCTATTTCGGTACTGAATGCTACAAACTGTACCATAAACATTTGTCAAAAGCATAAAAAAATTATTTCTGTGTTCTTTGTATTATTTCGATCATCAATGTCATCAGCGGTTAATATGAACCGAATATATCAACCTTAGATGACGTCATGACAGGTTGATATGAACCGAATATATCAACCTATCGTGACGTCATTACCGGTTGACATCTATGCACTACCGCCAGTTGTATATATGTAATTGTATGCTGCTCCCTGTGGGCTCTTTTATGCAATAAAATTTATTATCTCTAATCTGTATAAATATAGTACTAGTTGGAACTGTCATACGACACTCGTGTCCTCCAATACTACGCATCTCTAGCATTATAATCGTCCACAAAACCAAACAATTTCAGGGTCTTCATCCCCTGAACCTCCATTAGGAATCTGCCTTGGACCTAACCTCCAACCTTTCTCGAAAACCTAGGGTTTGACACAACCCGGGCAACACTCCATTCCGAAATCTGTGCCCCATCATCAATCTGATTAAAATACAGATCTATATTATTTCGTTTCGTTTTTTTATACTTTCGATGGCCTACACTACATGAAGATCTGACCGGTTGTAGCGATAGGTCGCGTCAGAGGTCATACGATCAGCTTTTGACCTATGACGTCAGACATTTGATTATCCAATCAGCATTGATGTTACTAGTGGATACCCACAGTTCCGTGCAAAACACGCCTAAAGCTCGCCGTAACAGACCGTTCCATTAGCTATTCCCTCACATCATTCGGAACACGTCAATGATAACAACACTTCCAGATCCTAGTGTAGTAAAGGCAAGTAAAACGAAATTTTGAACAATAAAAACGAAACGAAATAGGATCTGTGTTTTTATCAGATTGCCCCATCATCCACCCCATCTACTTTAGTTGTGTACGTCGTGCTCTGCGAGATTTCATTTAGACAACCCACGCATTTGTGATGTGTTTATTTGACACCATATCTATGGCTGTTTTTGTTACTTTAACTTTTGTTATCAGGAGGCATCAATACATGCTAGCATTGACACCGTGTATCTGATAAAAAAATTTTTTAGTGTACAGAAATTGCGTCGTTAAAAATGCCTTCTTCAAATAGCAAATTGAAAAATGTCATGACTGACACTCGATAACATTGGAGGTAACCAGGGTGGAAAATCCACGAGCAGCTTTCTAATCTAACCAACCATTTCCAAAGTGTTACGGTCGTTCCAAATATTTTTGTTGATAAAATTTTATTTTGTCACTCGACACTCGATTCTGTTTCTCTACTAATATAAAGAAATGGAACGTATTTAACATCTCGTTGACACTTTTCAGACTCTAACATAGGGTAATGTTTACTTATATTGTTATGTCTAAATTGCCTTTCCAGAAATACACAGTTCAACAATTTTGAAATATATTGTTATTTGAATATTGGTGGCCACGCCGATTTTGTAAAACATAGGCAAATCTGAATGGGTCATATCTCAGGAACCATAAGTCCAATCAAGCTAAAGTTAGGAATACAGGATATAAACCAAATTTCAGTCAAATCAAATGGGTGTGGTTACCTCATTGGGTGATTTGACACGCAATGGCCCTCTGTCGTAAAGTATTGATCAG